GTTCTTGGCACAGTGGGCGCTGTTCAAGAACAGTAATCGCAACATCAGACTTTATCATACCGAATACAGAGCCTAATTTCATACTTCTTACGATACCATGATACACACAGCACGTAAGTTTGAGTACTATAGTGTAGTGTAACATTCAGTAGCTCGAAATTATGTAAAGCTTCAAGATATTACTATGTACTGTACAGTATTGTTATAAGCGAAATAATAAAAAGCAAGTGATTATGATAACACTTTGTTGAGTCATAAAACATTCCATCAATTTAGTTAAATTTTATCGTGTATAGCATTAAATGATTCTGCAAACAAACACCGTACGGTACCATAATAACTTGAGTTTAATGTAAATAAAATCTAACATTCTGGAATGGTAAATAAATCGTAAGGAATTAAAATATAGCTATCACAGAATTACTGATATCATCCTATAGCTGCAATTAATAGGTTCAGCTGAGAATAAAGTAAAGATGTGAATGTGAATTCTTGCCTATGGAAGCATATTTACGAAATAAATCAAGAAACGAACGTATGATACTACTTACTGCATTGTATTCGTACTATACATTGCGTGCTTACAATACTGTCATTTTAATTACCAATTGAAAATATGGCACACTCTTTTCGACAACTTCTTCTTCTTCTTCTTTCCTGTAACATTTATCAATCGATATACATTAAGATCAATACAGGATAGATAGCAATCTTGTCCATTGCATAGGTTAACAAGCATACTAAATGGTAATCACTTGAGATTAATAAAGCACTGTTTTCACTTGGTCAACTTTTTAGGAAACATAGCAGTCAGGTACAGTTTACAGCACAGTATTACATTACAACGCCAGCTGCAATGTCGAAGTTACTCAAACAGCAAGAACGTGGAAGGTATAAACAAACATGTAATAACTTCAATATCCTTATATGGCTATATTTTTGTGATTTTTGTAAGAAATCTTAGTAGCCCGCGGCTTGAATTTGGCAGCGCTTTTGTATACGCAGCAACTACCCAAATCGAAATCACCCCGACGGTCGATAGCTGTACACAAACATACTATAGCATATAAACAGACATGAATGTAATGTCCTTATATGGTCATATTTATCATGGTTTTTGTTTTAAATTTTGGACTAGGTCACAAGTCTGTGATTTATTTTCCTAGAGGGAGGCAACTGCCAAAATCGAAATTGCTCAACCTATTGACCCATAAGGTTATGCATTATAAGTCAGTACCATATAGCACAATAGACTATGGACAGAGAGAGAGAGAGAGAGAGAGAGAGAGAGATAAATGTCCTTATATGGTCATCATAGGTCGTGATTTCTCCTAACAAAGCCACTACGTTTCATTGTGCAGTTTCGTTAACTGTAAACTATAGTGAAAAGTAAAAAGTACATAGTACTGTACTGTACAGTATAATGTTTAGTGTAAAACAGCTCGCTATCATTTGTGTAAATATATAGTAAAGTATAGAGACATGTCACGTCGGCGGTTTGATTGATCAAACTTTGATGAAAGTAGTACTTAGTACTGTAAAAGAATGTCGGTGTTGCTGTACTGTACCGTACTGTACTGTACAGTAAAATAATTGAGTGTGAACTTTAGCAAAAAAACTTGCCGAAATTTTGAATTATCCTGTTATTAAACTACAAGCTGTATCAACGTATCTATGAAGTAGCGCAGTCCTGGATATACAGTACTGCTATACGACAAATGGGCTATTTCGTTCACTAGATAAACGAGTACTAATAGAATAATTCAATAGAATTCTATCATACTGTTATCTGATGTATATTAATGTTTTATGATTGTTTTTTGGATACTTACTATGTACAGTTGTACAGCACGTTGCTAGATAAGTAAGATTGCAAGACGCTGTCTTTGACAGCGGCAAATCATAGAATGGTAAGCTTACCTTATACTTTGACTAGATAGTCAAGTGCAACGTGATAAAGAGTAGTCTACAGCATAAGTCACGCTAAAGCGTGCCAGATACTGTATAACACACGAATGATGAACAAATCATTAACTCGCAAAATCGAGACGTTCATCGATTTGTCACGACGATACACTAGTAAAATCTTGGGAATATAGTATGATGGGATGATGATGGCGTCTAGCAAATTGAATCGGGAATAAACGATTCCCTTTTACAGTTAATTAAGCAAGGCAAGCTATAGTAAAAGTTAAATTAAATAATCAACATTTACATTTTCCTACAGTGTACCTGCATGCCTTTACTAAAGTTACCCACTCAAATGAGCATAGTACTATCATCGATTAGTATTCCAATAAATGATAATGGTAAAAATCGGTGGGTACCGTATATGCTACTTGGATCAAGCTAGATCTAGTTATTCTTCACCTGAGGATTGCAGATCGAAAAATTTCGAAATTTGCAATTACTGATGAAATTCGTCATGAGTTGGGCTCCGCATGGGCCACTAGTAAAAACCTAGCAGTCCACTAGAGTCCACTGTCTCGATTACTCAAAACTGTGTAGTAGACCATTATTTCTTTCTTATGATGTATAGTTTTCATCATGTTATTTAACTTACTTGCGTTTCTGGAACCATTTCCTCTTTGGCTTTTCTACTGCAACTTCTGTCTGATCTTGATTATCTTTTCCGGCTTCCAAGTCGATTTCTTTGCTTGAAGCTGCTCGTGATACATTTTCATTGCCTTCGTTTTCTTCTAAGGTCATCTTTCTTTACGTTAAGATACTATCATAACACAGCAAATTTTATAATAAATAGTGTTGTAGTAGATTATCAAGAAATTGAGTAATGTGAGAAATGTTCAATAAGGATTTGTAGGTTAATTACTCGACTGGAGCGGTAAAAGATGTAAGGCTGAAGTATGAATTCTCAGTCGATTCAAAATGAATTTAAAATTACGGTATACTGTACATCAAGTATTACACTACAGTGTATCGTGCACTATCGCTTGTAATAGGAATTTTCTTTTAAGGATGGAACAGTACAGTTCATGTACTCAGTAGCCTATCGCAATCCCATCCTGTACTTAGCGTACTAGCAATATATATTGAACCATAACAGTGAGTCATAAAAGTGCAAAAGATCTAGGATTTCGGTAAAAACGATGTTCTATTCAACTTTTACTTTTATGAGCAATGATGCAATTCTCAATCATGCAGTTTACGACGCTGTATATGGTATAGCATTACCATTATCAATATACTGTACGTAACAACGCTTTTTTTGGCATGCCGTGCAGAAATTTTACGATTATCACTAAATATCAAAAGAATTCTTCTGCCAGTAATAAAATGTCGGCAAAGCTACAAACATTTACTACATTAATGTCATATTATACGTATAGTGTGCCGAGCAAAATAAATACCATTCTTAATTCCGTTACTCGAAAAATGTGACCATACTGCATGCAGAAAATGGAGTACAGTAACGTACAAACTGCAGAATACATTCCAACACAACAACGCCCGTAAGTTACCTTTTCCGATGTTCCAAAATATGAGAGGTAAAATTTTGATGTCAGCTTTCTATGGAGATAGGATAATTGTGACCACGAGCTACGACTATTTGCAACTCATATATTAGACGTTAAGGCACTTCTACCTTACCGCTGGGATCCAATTATGAGAAAATATTTGCAATCTCAGCGAATTTAAATTAGTGCCACGATTTAAAAGTGCGCAAAAAAGTCTAAATGTCATACTATACTGTATTGTACACTGTACAGTCCAGTGTATAGTGTACTGTACAATACAGCACAGTGCTATACACTGTACACTGTACACTGTACAGCTCAGTGAAATCATCATCATCTGCCACTGCCATCTTGGTATTTTAAATATGCAACAATATCGCTCTTGATCGAGTGGTCACGGTGTCACGTGCTCATGGCCACAGGCATGATTCCTCCTTTCTAGTGACCGTAAACTGTTACAACGTCCATAGTACTGTACAGTACTATACTACAGTTACATACTGTACTATATTGTACAGGACTAAATCGGCATGTGGCTTGCTGACATCTGTTCGAGGAGCCCATACTGTGAGTAGACCTGACTAAAGTTCAAATTATGGACCAGTATGGACAATGGACAAATGGACATAGAGCCTGAATGGCGCTGCACTATTCTTCTTTTTTCATTTTTTTATTCATTTATTTATTACTGTATTTATACCGTGTTTTCAGTGATACGGACGGAAACGCGATTGCGTCACTTTTATTAGTTTTTATGTATTGTTTTAGTTAATAAATAAAAATAAAATTAAAGCTTAAACTTGTAATTAACTTTTAACTTCTTTATTATGCACGGTATGGGGCAGGTCTCTTTCTCATAGTCTACTGACAGACTAATTACGTAATGTCGCACATGATACAGCACTGGTAAGAATATTATAGGGCACTCTTAAAATACAGTGATAGCAAGGCATCCGTAAGCTAAATAAATAAATAAACTACAGAACAATGTTTCGTTAGCACTACAGTAGAGAGTCTTACGGTAATTAGCACCTTATTATGTACTGTACTGTACAAAAAAAGGACAGACAGAGATCATGCCAGAATACAGTATTGTAAATTTGCAATTAAGCCATGTGGAGTTCAGTAGCGCCTGAAGTGAATAATTACAATAATAATTGTACAGTACATATTCTGTTTAATCTAGATACATACAGTAAAGTACAAATAATCAGCATTACTAATCAAGTGTAGATGATTCTCGTCGACTTTACAATGGCCAAAGAACTTTTAAAAAACGTTAACCTATAAACCTCTAAACTCTACATTGGTCGAAAATGCCCGGCTACGTGGGTTATGCATATCGAAATTTTTTTGTTTTCAGTAATGTAATAGATATTATTAAACGTTTTGTGCGACGGATTTTGTAGCTAGTTTTTTAATAATAATTAAATTAAATGAACACTACAATAACGATAAAGCGATACTGACCCTCACGAAAAGATAACCGGACTAGGGATTTCAATGCGTTATTTATTTATTAGTAACGGTATATGAGTATCTCATCCATGAAGGAAATTAAATAGATTTAAGCACAATAGTATCCAATAGGTACGCATAAAAAATATAACATGTATCATACAAAATAAGATTTTTCAAAACGAATTGTAGCTCAACTTTATAAAGGACAATATTAAGTTTGCTTAGAGTTATTTACAATAAGATGCTTAATTGTTCAGCTTTGCAGATAAACTTCTAGTATAAGGCAATATCTGGGGCTTATACGAGTACATCACTATGCGATATACTGTACGTCTACCACAAAATAAGTAGCTATTCACGATAAAGACAGTATAAAAAGTTAACACATAAAGTTACGCATCACCAAGACTACAGTTGTTTACAACATCCTTTGCTTTGGCTTTTACTAATTCACTGTCATTTTCACGAAGGCAATGAATAGCTTCTTCTACCCCGGCCAATTTCAAATTGGAATGATGTGGTTCAACTTTCCATAACATTTCAATCAAAGATAGCAAATTGCAACGTACTTCAGCTATTACATTGCTGTCTTGAACAACTTTCACAACTTCTTTGACAATACCAGCTTCATGTAAGCTCTGATGAAGGCATTCTATGAGTATTAATAAGTCCATGATTAAGATAATTAAAGCGCTAACAAAAGCACTCGTATACTTATATTAGGACTTGCAATGCTAAGTATACGTAAGAGTAACGTATGAATTTCCTTAAGCGAAATTTTCAGATGTTATATCGAACGGTAACAAATCGTAAATTATAAAATGCGGCATTATAATTATTGTGATTACAAGCCTACGTCACTTTTTCTGCTTTTATACGATAAATTCACAGATTAACATATTGGCAATTCTCAATCTTAGCTACCGTGTTGATATGAATATGAGCATGTACATTGTACATAACGTACGTAATTGTAGTATTTTAGTACTTACCGTCAGCCACAGCTGACGTGATCAACAAAGCTACAGCACCCTCATTCTGTAACTGTGTATGCTGGTTATGCAACATAGAAATTATGTGGTCTATTCCTCCTATTGCAGCAATGTTTGTTATAATATTCTTGTTTTGTGTTTCTTTGATGATACAGGCCAGCAAACGTAAAGCTTCGCTTGATACACCTTCGTGTTCTAATACATTGCAAAGCTCGACAATACGAGTGAGAATTTCCGTACTAGATCCCAATTGATTGGCGACGGTATCTGCGCAATATACAAATGATTTACATCACATAACTACAAATGTGTCGGAGTCACAAAACCAGGTAGAAACTAGAAAGTGTTAAAATACTTCTTCGCTAGTTTTAATTAAAAAGTAAACTATATAAAGAATTATAACTAAAGCTTATATTACATACCATTCCCAGTAGCTAGTAATCTCAGAATACTTAGCGATTTATAGATTGTGGGGGAGAATAGAGAGGACAATAACGATGATATCGAGTTGATTGAACCTTCGTTGATTAGTTTTGGTCTAACCGATGAGCAAATTGATAGATTTTTTATTGCGCTTAAGGCAGCAATCGCCAGTTTAGAATTTCTATCTGTATCTTCTATTGGTTTTACAGATTCCAGTAAATTAGGGATAATCTCGAAGTCTGTTAATTTTTTACAATTTGAATCTAGATGAAGGAGACGTAATATGATAGATAATGCAATCATAAGTATATCGATGCAGTATTATAATGAAACTGGTAGTAATAATCTGTCAAATTCTGAGATTTCGCATTACCTGAACGAGCAATATTTCCAATTCCAAGGCAAGCGGCGGCTTTCAGATTTACCCTCTTATCTCTTAGCCATCCTAGTAGAATTGGTACAATTTTGCCTGTTCCATTATTAAACATAATTTTCATGCTGTAGTTGCCGCCTAGTAAGTGAACTATAATGGCCACTACATTATCAATTGTTTCTTCATCTGTATCATCATCATTAACAATCTGTTCTATTTTCGAAATCATATTGTTAATACGCTCATCTTCTGAGATCTGCCTCTGAAAGTCGTCTGTAATCAATTGAAAACTTAAATAAGTAAAAAATTTTTCAGATGCATTTACGTATATTCTTGCTAACATGAAGATCATAATATCTGATTTCAGTTGGAGCATGAAGCGAAACGATGAACTTTATACTAATTAATGTATTATCATTACTATCTATTAGCAATGGCTATTTTACATACCGTCTTCAATGAGTTCCATAATTGTTTCGATTACTGATTCTTGAATAGCGTGATATTGATAGTCGCATAATAGAAACAGTAATAAATTTCCGGCATTATGTGCTATCATTTCTTTAATGCCTAGGTAACAAAACAAATAAACGTAACTATAGGTATATCTTGGAAAGACATATTCACATTAAGTAAATGCCTTAAAGCAGGGCAATTACTGCTTGTATATTGAGTCAAGACAATAAGAGGAAAACACGACCTTTAATGCCAATGATCGTTAATAATGAAAGAGCGCCACTGATTACTTTGCTATCATTTATTGACCGGATGCAGTCAAGCAATGTTGATATAATACCAGCGGATAACACTAGGGTTTGATTTTCATCTATTAAAAGTATATTAATATAAAAGCGATTATTACAACTATCATAATTAGCTTATAAGGTCTACAATACGTAAATTTTCTATATAAATTTTCTTAAACGCCCTTAAGCAAATTTATAATGGCGAGAAATAAATGCAAGAGGGGGATCATTAATACATACCACAGTCATTAATATAATTGAGAAGGCAGCCCAGTGAAACTTGCAACATATTAATGTTAGGCTTTGCAGTGCTACTTGAAACTATCGAAATCAACTTTTCCGTAGCGCCATTACTAGCGATACATTGCCTACCAGTAGCTAATGATATATTAAAATGTTTTTAAAGTGTAACGATCTGTCAGTGACGTAACAACTGCAAATATAGGTTAAAAGTTGTATGATGTACGATTAACAAGATATCAATACAATGGTATCCTACGGCAGTTTTGATATATTCGAGACATTGAAGTTTTCAATTTAATTATAACTGTAGTGCATTATTACTTATAGACTTACGCGATTCGTAACATAAATTGCCTAAGGCACGCAGGCTTTGGTAGCAGTTTTTCTCGTCATCTGATTCGACTAGGCCAATTAATGAAGGAACAACCTGGACCTTTGCTATTCTATTTCGCCACTCATCGTGCTTGCAACACTCTGCAATAAGCTGTGCTAGCTGTCCATGAGAACTTCTATAGTCGATATCTTTGAGATAAGCTGCGATTTTGAATTCAATACCAGAACTGAGCATTTGCTCGGCAGCTAATTCTGCAAAATGCATTAGTAAGTATTAGAAGAATAGCGCTAGGTAGGAGTAGAAGTCATTTTAGTGTATTCATACTTTAGCAGTCGACTAAAACATTCTTCTTATTGTTGTCGTAACATCACCTGTCCTGTAAACTACTGCTTGTTACCTTGTAGTGTACGCGCCAAAGAACGTGGGGAATCCTAGATATCGTACAATACTATTTACGGCTTATCTACATGCTACAAATGTTCACGTACATTAGGATATGGTATTAAAGTTATGTTCCTACTAGAGCTGATTTGTTTTCACAATTCTCATGTCTAGTTAACGTGTGTATGATATCGCGCTTGGCGTGGGCTTCCAAATAAAGTAAACTAAAGGAAAGGAAAGCTTAAAATCTCAGATTCTTGATCTCGTTACAATTGTGATAGTACATTAGCAAGCATAATGATCGTTACAGGGTCCTGCTGCACAGCAATAAGTGCTTAAACCTTTCAGATTTGGTTTACGATTACAGATATAAGGTTAATATATGCTAATGATAGAAGTGCGTTATTTCATTGAATGTGATATGTACAGTAATAACCATCAGTAAGCACATATACTCATGCTTGAAGTCGTAAATACATTAATCGCCTACAAATAGAAATTAATTTGTCTGATATGTGCAAATATGCACTGTGCACAAGTGAATAACATATATCAATTGGAGATCTTTCATAGCTGCATGGAGTATAATGTGAACAATACTAAAATCGACAGCATAACATCTATCAGCATCATAAATCCGATACTATGAACTAGGCTTACCGTTATTTTGCAAATCTGATAATATGGATGTTATTACTTCGTGAAGGTCTTCCTTTGAACATTGTTCAAATCGTGCGATGTCAGTATTGAAATCTGCCACTTCATTAAGGTAGATTAAATAGCACAAATAAGATATTGGAACGCTTTAAAGATTTTTTGAAATAAGCTGTAGTTATAAATACTAGCTAATTTCAGCGAAGAGTATGCAATTACAAGATCCTATAATTACGAGCATATAGCTTCAGAACAATGATCATCGTTCAATGCAGGACATATAGTAATCTATCAAGGCTACGAAAATCATATCTATGTAGTATGCAGACATATATTGCTATATTGTATGGTAAGCTGTATTAATTATATCATGCTCTCAGCTAGCATGATAGCAAAGAAATCTTTATCAGGCCGGTAGGCAATGCTGAGATTTTTGCCTCTGCACTTTCATAATCTTTTTACGATTTAAATTCGCTCTGTATACTGTAGAGTATTCCTATCAAAATTGATTCTAACTTACAGTACACGCTATGTTGTATCACTAAGGACGTAGACTAAAATACTGTGCAGTATTAATAATATAGTACATGTAGGCTTTCATAATAATACGTGTATATTGAAGATATATGCACATCAAAGCAAAGTTGTTATGGCTTTCGGATCAATTGTACATATACAGAATTATTTTGGAAGTTTACTTATCGCTTACTTCAGTATTGAATTTTGTTACAATTGATAGAATCGGCTACCGCAGCTTGCATACGCAATGAATAGAATTGGGTTGGAATCAGTTGAAGACTCTGAAGATATGAAATAGAAATCGCATGCGTACAGTAATAGTGTAAAAAGATCTCACAAGGTTTATGATTGATTTGGGAAAGGGAATAGAATTTTTTGTTGCAAAAATGAATCCAATTTATTTACGATAGCCAATTAATTTAGGGTCAAATGCTTGAATGGAATTGGAAAACTAGCCTAGTGCTAACAGTAATCTTAATGAACATGATAGATATCATACCACACTTACTGGTCTAAACTACGGTAGTATAAATATTTTCAGAGAATTCTGTACAGTACAGTACAGTACAGTACAGTACAGTACAGTACAATGTACTATGCACTTATTACGTCGCCTAGTAAAGATCTCTGCGCAAACGCAGCTAGTGCAAAAATCTACAGTATGCAGCATGCGCTACAGTACAGTACGGTACTGTATACTGTAGGGTGTCTCGTAAAAAATTACCGACGATTGAAATCATATGAAAACACAATTTCAACACCAAATTAGACAAATTTGGTATCAGTCTATTACAAATAAGATGCTATATGTATATATATAATTTAAATTTATATAAAACGTGCTAAAGCTACTAATATTAGCACTTAAAGTCAAAAGTATTTATATAAATTCTGGCGTTTTTCTACAGTACGTACAGTACATTGTAATAAGGGTTACAGTACTAATACTGTAGAACAGCACCAGTACTGATAATGTGTAAAGACGAAAGGCTGTTGTGGACGAAATGGCGAAAGGATCCAAAGATAAATTGAAAAAAAAGAAGAAATTAGAGGAACGAGAAATTGTGAAGAAGCTTAAAAAGCAGGTTGATTGTAAATTGATTTATAATAGTCGAATTAAGTCATGTGAGGTATATTGTAACGATACAATGTGCATTGAATGTACGAACTGCGCCAGCTCCACTGCTAAGCAATCCTCAGCTTTGGCATTGAGTGCACACATAATGTAGTGGTTAGTAAATTAGTCAAAGAAATTTCCAGTTAATGCAATAGAATGCACTTCTCCAAATTGTTTTCACTCTTATAAAATGGACAGTCAACACATTTTCCGCTGCACTATACTTCTCTCTCAATTATTTTGATATATTGATACTGTACTACAGTCTACAGCATTTAAAAGCGTATGATTACCCACGTTATAAGCTGAGCTATTTATACTGAATGGAGTTGTTAGCTTACTGTAAATAAGAAAATTACTTTTGAATATACTGTATGTGTATTCCAGCCCTAGTTTATACGATATTTCTAATTACGGAACTAAAATAACGTTGTAGACTTTCTGACAGCCTGTTAACTAGCTATGGTATCATGCCTGCTTAGATAGACTGATAATTATAATTTATCACACACGCATTATATCGGTATTACAATATACTTTTGCATGCAGATACAAAGTTACGATTTATGCCCACTACGCTTATGCAGTACAACACAATTTAAGAGCAGGACTCTAAGCCAACCATCAAAATAAAAATGATGTAAACTGTCTTGTATTACAGCTATAAATAGGGTCAGTACGGTAGTGGACTGCTTACACCACTATTATGAACTCTATCGCACTCGACTTACAGTAGCTGGTAAAAAATTTGATTGCTTGTCCTATGATCTGTAAGTTGTAACGCTAGCTATGTAACATCATAAACCTTTAGAACTACTAGTTCTAGAGTTCCATAGTAACATGCAGGCTATTTATTTTATAGATATGATTATTATCTTTGTTTTTCTGAAGGCTGTTATATGCGCGTACATTATACCCGAACAATAAATTATGCTGCACAATCAATACAGAAATAAGCTAACGGCGATACATGTGCAAATATCTAGATATACATACCGATGTGTTACAAACCTCATTGTTTTATCAAAGTTTAGAAGCATTTATGTTCATTAATAACATAGATAACGTCCAATTAAAATAAAATATACGTCTTTTGTAGTTCGAATTTTATTTTAGCGATGCAAATCTGCAAAAAGACAAGTTCTTGCGCAAGATGATTGACGAAGACGAAAACGGATGTAAGTTAATACACTTGATTACTATATACAAATGCAGGAAACGAGTACTGTAGATAAGCCTGCTGTCTATCTTAAATCCAGTTTTAGGAAAACGCTGTATTAAAGGTTATAGTATAGTTAGGCACAATTTTTCAGTATAGGAGTAATTTTATAAACTAGTTGTTGCGCATGAAATTAAGAGGCAAACACCTTGTGGTGACCCAACGCACTGCTGAACCGTTACTTTACAGTCTACAAGTGTCAGAATCAATACGTTTTAATATCAAGCTATTTCAGATTTAGAAATATTATCGTTTTAATAATGTGAGATATTAATATAGAACACTGCACGTCTACAGCATAGCAAACTATTACAGTAACTTTATTTGATGACTGCTGTAGTATTACTAACCTGCTGAAAAGCGAGGCATATTATCTTAATATTATTCTATTGTATATCTTCAAGATGTCGACGTTGCTATATTTAAGAAATTCAACAAAGTTAAAGCCCTCACTGACAATTTTAGCTTAGTTATTAAAGCTATCAAGATGTTAGATGGATTAGAGGTAAAGTACGAACTGAACTGTCTGTAATCAGGCTGCTTTGCCCTAACATATCTAGATTGCATTGGATTATGTCAACGTTAGCAATTTAGCATAATTATCTTTATAGATGAGTGAGGATGGAGAAAGGATTAGGCGTCGCACTACGATACCAGCTGCAGAATGTATTGATGAAAGAACGATCTATGTGGTATTGGATTAACTTTAATTGCACTTTCATGTAGAAATGATGTCTAAGCTATTGTAATAGCTATAATTTTATTATTTAAATATCTCTTTATCTTTAAGTTACAATTCTTATAGTTTAGTTATGCTAACTTTTTTTGGAATATTACAGGATGCAACTATATTATAACGATACTAAACATGGTGTTAATTGTTTTTGTCTAATTTAGGAAGTTATCCCAAAGCGCGTAGATCACGAGTGGGTGAGGAAGCACTTTGATAAATTTGGAGAAATTCTATATGTAAGGTGAGTAGATCATAGTTCGCTTCTATCGTTTTAGATAATATTATTAGTTTAAGTGCCAATTTTTGTTATAACAAATACAATACAACTAAAAAGTACGATAATCGTCTGACCTTATTATTCTGGTATCAAATCAAACGAAAGTATCCCGAAATATAAAAGTACAGGAGACAATAAAGGTTTTGCCTTTGTTGAATACAAAGATCCTGAGAATGCACAGAAAGCCTGTAGAGTATGCCGACAATAGAAAATAATATTTTATTACCGAAAACGTTAAATCCTATCTTAACGCAAACAATAAAACTGCGTATTATCTATAGGCGTACATCGAAAATTCAACATTTAATGATTCAGAACTTGAAAATAATTCTGGACAGGTAGTCAAATGATATGCAATTCTTTGACATAGTTTATAGCCTAAAATTATCTTTTCTAACATTAACAATATACTTTAGGAGTCCGGAAATGTTGACCACCTAGTTAAGAAAAGAAAATTGAGCGATGAAGACGTTAAGAAAGCGATACAATCGATCGAAAAAAAGCCTAAAGTAGATAAAGGAGAAGAGAAAACCGTCTATAGTGAAGTAAAGTCTGATTACAATAATTCAGAGATGGATAAATCTAATCAAACGGTTGGAAAAGTAATAGGAATACTATCTAGTAAAGTAGTTTGGTTAGAATAACTAAGCGTCTTTGAATATCTAGAATCGTAAGGATAGTGATAAGAAAATTGATGAAACAAAAGATTCGAAGGCCGCTTCGCAACGAAAGCCTAACGCAACCAATCAGCCGTTTAAAGTAATCTCAAAGTGAGTTTGATCCAGAATTCGACTGTCTTTTGTTTTATTTCATCAGTATAATTTTATAAGTATTTCGTAAAAATTATCAACCTTTTCAATGATAGACTTAAATGGCTCGAATATAAAATGCAGTATAAGGAACAACAGAAGGAACGTATGAGAAATATTAAACAGGATTTCAATAGAGAATCAGATGTAGCAGAACAGCCAATAAATCGCAATAAATCCAATATAAGCTATCAACCGGGTGTAATTTTGTGTGTTAACAGCTCAAGCGACGATGGATTACAAAAGAAAGTTATTAAAGTACGTTTGAAAAGTTCATAACGTATACTTCGACTTCAATTTTTTGATTATAACCTAATTCTTGCTTTAGGCTAGTTATTACGATTTATTTAATCATATTATGAATGTATTTTATACAGTCAATGATACCAGATGCGGTGAAAGTTCAATATATCGATATCATTGATGGAAATTCTACTGTAAGTTTCACTAAATTCTTTGACGTAAACATTAAATGCGGTATCTCTACACGTTTACATAAATTTTAAATTATTTTTGTACTTATTAGGGTTATATTCGATTAGCGTCTGAGGATGATACTAGCAAATTATTAGAAAAATTCAAAGACACTAATTTAAGTGAATCTAACTCCGAAATTAATCTTAACATTAAGTGGCATAAACTAGAAGGTAAAATGTTCAAGTAGAAATTTATAGAGGAAATCTTGATGTTTTTGTAACGACTAATAAAAATGTATGTAGTAACACTACTACCTTAGCTTCATCATATAAAGATTTTTGTATTTGACTTTGAAGGAGTAGAAGAAGAAAAATATTGGGAAAAAATAATTGAAGATAAGAAGCACCGAACTCATAAACAATCTATCCGAAAGAACAAGAAGGGATCTGAAAAGGTAATGCAAAATTGCTTACAGTAGAATTGAAGTAAAATTTGCTTTTCATTCAGTATCGATGTTGACATGGACGTACTGGCATATTCATATTTATGCAGAGCTTCCATACGTGTACAACTAATTTCTTAATCAACCTTTAATCTAGATACTGGATAAAGCCGAAAAGAGAGTTTCAAAAACGTCATCATCGCATATCTTCTTTCCTGATAGCTAAATGGCTGAATAAATTTCCTTGGAAATATCGTAGTCCAAAATTAGTCATAAAGTTAAAATTTATGACACGCATTTGAACTTGTTTTATTACTGTATAACTTATTCTTTCAATTATTTAATTCTCTCATGAAGCTGTATCTTTTCTATTGCTCACTCAGATGATATGTAGATGTTTTATATTAATATATTAGGCTGTGTTTGGAGCTAACTATGGTTTAGGCTGCTGTACATCTTTAAAACATTGTCTAGCACTGTACATTTGTAGGTAAAGGCTGTTAATTAAAAGCAGTGTATCATGCTTGATTCGTTTTTATCCATGTTTCTTTTCATTTATTTATGATAACAGCGATATAACTTACGTATCGTCAATTGCATGATGGCTCTGATCTGGTAATTATGATCAAAATTTATATCAATTTCGTAAGGCTATAAATACATAAGGGAAAACTTTATTTTAAGGGAGTACGCAGCCTTCATCAACATTCAATTCAGTATTTAGTTCGAAAATAACGCTTTTTCTAAAACTTACAACAATCATTTGCTTACTCCAGACATTTTATCGTTACGGCTATTTAATCACATAAAATCACCTTTCATGGTCAAAAATCTGTTCTAATTCAAATCCAATTCAAGTTTTCTATAATTGAATAACTTGTATTGGATATTGAATATAGAATATAACTATTATGTCAAGTAACTATCTTCGATGTTACAATTCAGAAAAAGTACGTTTCAGAAGATAATTAAGTCGAATATTAGGTTAGGATGTCGCATGAAGAGATTGGTTATTACACTGCCTGATTAATTATCGTACCCGTTTGCTTTATATGAACCATAAGTAATATAAAAGTTATTAATGATAACTATAATTCAATAGCAAAAAAATATCGTATCGTATAGTAATTTACTTAATAAGTTTAAGTCCAATCCGAAATGACATATTTCTCGGGTGAGCTCCAAAAATTATGTCCTAAATTGCTCGATTCAATCTTTGATATTCATGTCAAAGTACCAGAGTTGGCATACTTAATTGATTTCCCAAATTCTCCAAGAAATCTATAAAATAATCGCATTTTGAAAGCTATTGGTAATTTCCTTGTGCGGTAAAACAATTGCATTCCGAATAACAAGCTCTGGCGAGATGTGCACATTGCGACCTAGCAAATTAACAGAGGAATAACCCTTACAAAAATGTCATTACATAAAATATTCATACTACGTACGTCAGTGTACATTCAATATGCTATACATAGCGCAATTACGACAAAGGATAGTATTTAAATTGTTACAGCCCTTAAATATGTAGGAGTACAGTGTTACAGTAGCTACAACTACTCATAGGTAACTACGCTGTGGATCGACTCAAGCAGTGTAATGTATACCTAATATAGTAATGGAAGGTGTTAAATGGCCATCTTCGTCAAACATTGAATCCGAATCTAATCGTGCAAATGGATCATTCGGATTGGGATCAGCAGGAGTTCCTTCGATTCTTGACCATTGTCCGATACTGCAATTCCATCCTATAATGGTATTCATGACGCAGCAGTGTTCCTAAGAACAAATAATAAAATAGTCATTAATGTGAAATAAAAGTATAACCATTTCGTATTCTAGCTAAGTGCGTAGTTTGATAGATGCTATAGTCAGTGGGAATAGTCATACAGTATCCTTTAAACATCATGTAATACTGTATATACGGGTATATTACCTTTAGTTCTGCTTTATCCAATAAGATAGATTCTCGTACCCGTACGCCTGGACCAATCGTAACTCCAGACCCGATCGATACATTCGGCCCAACCTTATTATTTTAAGTTAGTCAAATGTCAGTATTTTTAGCATTCATCTCATCTTGATATATACGTAATTAATATTACTGTCTATTAATGACGTACAACTGCTGAAGGATCAATGGATGCGGTTGGGTGAATGTATACATCGCCTGTATCAAAGAATGAAATTATCAGAAGCATATTCTAATTCAATAACACGATCGCTTTTCGTAAAGAATATGGTACAAAGTTATGTTCAACCTAATACTGTCGGCTTTTCTTCACCATTTTCGGCTAATATGTTTGAGTTATTAAGATGATATTCATGTAAGTAATGGCGATTAGCGTATATTGCATTTCTTTATTAGAAGGGTAGAAAAAGGATAGAATGTCAGATGCTAATAGACCTTGATTTTTCAAGCCTCGCATTTATCTCAAAAATTGGCATGCGTCCGTACAATAATTAAGCAGATTTCTAATTCAGCATTATGCACAAACCCGGACGTTTTGATTTGACTCCAAAAACCTTTGTTCTTGTGTACGAAAAATTTTCCGCTGCTAGCAAGCTGCGTCAGGATATGTCTTTCTAACTGAGTCGGCTCTTCTGATAATTCTCTATTATTGCATACAATAAATGGTCTATTTTAAGCAAGTTTTGTACCAAGCACACAATAAATAAATAAAATTCAAATTTTGCTCAAGAGTAATATCTATACGTACAAACTATGATGGCGATCCTTAATAATTTTAGATATGAGATCGATTATGGATGGTGAAAATAGATAAATCCCGCAATTTATAATATCGCTTATAAAGGTTTCCGGTTTCTCCACATAATGGAGTACCTACATTTGTAAAAGCAATTATTTCAATACAATGTCTTGTCGATTAGAGGAAGCCCAAAACTAACTCACTTCATGAGTATCTTCATTTTCTACAATACAGCCGTAGTTGGGAGCTTGCTTAGATGATGCCTATAAAGTTATTGTAAATTTAACGAAGGATCTACTGTAACGAAGCGATAAGCCTAAATCTTGCCAGATTAAACCGTTATTGATTCAAATTTGTCATTAAAGCTAGTTATTATATTGACTGATATGATTACAAAGTTGAATATATCCAATTTGTAGCCTGTATAGATGGATACATAAATAATGCAAGTACAATGCATACTTGAAAGTAAGATGGTTAATTTAAAAAAGAATACCTCGGTACCCAAGATCAAATGTCCATTGCTGTCGAGACAGTTATTTCGATAATTTTCAATCATTTCACTAAAGGGAAAATCACAGCACACATCCGCATTACAGACTAGTAAAGCCTGTGGATTGCAAAGCGTGATCTGATCCCTAAAGTGATAGATGCCTCCACCAGTTCCCATTGGACAAAATTCTTGTAAGTATCTTGTTGTTTCAATGATATTTTATAACGAAAAGAAAAATTATATTCCGAGTTAATATCGATTACGATACGGAATCGCTTTAAAAAAATAATGCTAAAATATGGCCAAGACTAAATAATTATGCATCTTGTCCAACCTAGGGCTAGAAAAAAGCTATGTACGGTATGTAGGCAATAAATGGGCACTAAATGCGAAGTTATAGTTTCGATTATACGTAAAAGTGAGCTTACTCTGCTTATAAAATTTACGATAAAATGGTGCAATAATAAGAATGATGGATATCACTTTAGTATAAGAGTTTACTTCGATTTAGTTGCGGTACCTAACGAATATGTCGTATTTTCGTTTCATATCTTCTATGAATCGCAATAAGTACTCATTTTGCTGATAGAATCCTATTAGTAGAACTTCTTTTATTTCCGGAATCTAGAGCATATAATTGACGTCAATTGAAAAACAAGAAGAAAATTCCAACGGTGTTACTTCAAACTGAAAAACTGATGACACCTCTCTTTATTGCTCGTAGCCTCGTACCTTTGCACATGCTGCCACATGGTGTTCAATCATTGGAATACCGGCAACCGGAAATAGCGGCTTTGGTAGTTCAAGGGATAACGGACGAAATCTAGTGCCTACCGATATTTCAAACGTTGATTTCAATATAGAAATAAGAATTCATTTGGATTTTAAATTGAATCTTGTTGATTCAATCTTAATATTTACATCATTGCTACTTATTCTTAATAATTCGAGCAAAGGATTGTTACTTTATAATTAATATATAAATATATTGATGCATAGCTATCAATATTACACAGTAAACATCCATGTTTTAATTCTCCATGCCGCAGAACAAATGGATGAATGATACTACTGTATCGGTATCAATTCTTCTGACGATATACAAATATTCAGTCGCTTGATTAATTACGATCATTTGATAAATAAACATCGGTTATTAATTAAAGTACGATATTAACAACTTATCATCATGTAATTTACTAACTTTTAATTTTAAATGACGATTGCAAAGTCTAACAGATTATTTGTATGTAGACTTTGTAGAATCAATAAATCCGTCTACAATCTGTATAGAGTTTATGGTTAATTGTACAATTATTATCGGCATACACAGACTAAGATAACTTGCACTCTACGACAGAAAATGATCGAAGCGTTATTACTTGACCTATCTTCTATCTATTGTGAAGCGGTAGCTAGAGTAATGCTATGGATTCAGTAGCTACTAAGTATTATTAGATCAGGAACATAACCTGAGTATTTTGAGTTCTTGGAATCCATACTGTAGATCACACCTTTAGTTGTTGGGGATCGAGTACAGTATTTGAAGATAACATGAAGTAGTCATCATCTACTCAGACTCTTGAACGTTTCATAAAACTGAATACAATACTACAGGAATGGTACAAGAGTTGATCGCATAGCTACTGCAGTATTCCATGCATCTGACTGACAGGATTGATATGAAGTCGTCATATACGAGTGTATAGTAGTGAAATGAAAGACGGATTTCAATGTTCGATGTACAAGTCGAATTCAGTAGCGTTTCAAAGGGTTGTGCGATTAATATCCAAAACTTCGGTAATACTTGAATACAGCAAGACAAGATAATAGGAATAGGTTAAAATAGTCAGTCCATAATACAGCTAGTATCCGCTACGGTATATCGACTCAATGTGTGTTGCCCATTCATTTGGAAGGTATAAACAGTAAGTTCTATTTTGTATAGGTTTAAAGCTGGTCATTTTGCGCCTATTAGAATAAGTCAATGTTATTTTGCTACCCTATAAAACCACTTGATTATAACAACCGTACTGTACCGTACTGTGGAGTATGATGATGATTCTTGAATGCGATTAATATCTAAAATTCTGATAATACTGTTGTGAGACAAGATTAAAGGAACAGATTTAGATTATCAATCCATTTGTATCCACTACATCAACATCATAGTGTTTGGCCAATTAATATTGAAGGTAAAAATACATCATGTTCTACTTTGTATAGGTTTAAAGTTCATGATTTTGTACTATTTGAATCAATCAATCAAGGTTTATCTTTGTACCGTACGAAGCAGTTGATTATTTTATCACTACCTTGATTAACTACGGTGGAAGTGAAGGATTGGTATGCAATTATTGTTTCGTTTTATACAAGTATAAAAAGTAAACGGATCAATTAACTACTATTGTACTTTCATCTATTCATTGGGTAGCTTAACAGGCCTACAGCCTTACACCCATCAGCAAGCTGTAGGCAGCGGTTGGATGGAAAATGACGCAAGCTTAAAAGGTCAACGTTGTATTGCTGAATTTATTAATACTAGTAAATGACCATTTATCCCAGTTTATTTCCCACTTATCATGATACCGACTACATTAGGGTAGTCTTACCTTTTTGAGGGCCACCAATAAGTATGATTGCTTTGATTAACATGGTTTCAAAGATCGCTCACCACAGTAGCTGTTAATGGCCACTTGCAAATAGTTGTCGGATTTTAAATGGACTCGGATAGTAATAAATGACGTCTGGTGATGACACACCCTTAGCCGTCTAGAGTACAGTACCTTACAATACTACGTACTGTAACTTACTGTACCAAGGACTGTACAGTATGCTAGGAATTACTGAGTACTGTACACTCTAGTCCCTGGCTATGTACTGTACAGTCTGTACTGTATGGAACTGTCGTATTGTGCACGTGGACATTCGACTACCACACCTTGTGTCACACTACAAGGCAAAAGGCAGAGGGGTGTCAGTCGTATGGCCCCAGCCGGACGGAACCGAACCGGCCCGCCAGGGATTCAGTCCGGTCCGGTCCGTGGGATTTTTGCTTAGTTTCTGTAATTTGATGAGTTGACTGGTCTAGTTGAAAGATGTTCAGCGTTGCTTTAAATTATAAAGAAATGTGTACATACCTTAAATTTGGCTCCAATTCCATGCAGATAGATCAATACAACCTTGAGTAATTGCCTCTTGATATTTGATTACTTTTTATTGCAGTATTGAAGAATTGTATTTCTTTCAATGTTCTAATACAAACTATCAGTCGCTGTTACATGTTCGGTCGCTCGAACCAATTTACAAGTCACGTCGTCATACTCGTCTATACTTTACAGTGTACAGTGTACAGTACGGTAGCAAAGTGTACTGTATGGCACAATACTGTACAGTATTTGGACCAGATGAGGCCGGAAATGTCTGTCCGTCCAAGAGTGATGGGTCCAGGTCTTCTTCCAGCAGCCAACTATTTCAGTTACTATTTCAATCTTCGCAGTGTCTGCTATGGACTACTAAAATACCAATGTTAATAATTTTAGTAATCCATGTCCATGCCATGACTGTACTGGATCATAAATGAGTGTACATAGCGACCCTTCTCTCTATTTGACTCCTATTTCAAAGTCGATTTGTAGTACATCAATGATCGCTACAGTGTCCTGAATGTCAGCATAACAATAGACAAGATTGTCCCTTGACATGTCCATACACGTCCGTACGATGTTCTGTATGCACAACATTTGCAGGGCTGGTTCGCGGAAATGTTCCAAAATATCCTACATGATTAGATGATTGCTTCGATCTATTCAAGTGGAGTCTAGACGATTCGTAGGAGCTATTTTAGACAACGTTCACACACTATCGTTGGAATAAACGTAGTAGGCAAAGAGTGAACAAGGCGTAGAGGACGGTATACGTCGACGGACTGGTGTACAATTGCACCTACATGCCTACGTCGATTTCAAATGATGCTGTCCAAAACTGCTAATATACATACTGTAAACAGTTCAGCAGCAATCATATTCTAACCGTAGTATCATCTTAATCAGAGACTGCATCTTAGAAGATATCGATATAGCTCAAGTTTTCTTAAGAATAGTATAAATGGGATGACGATGAAATGGATTGCAATATCACCTACGCCTAATTACTAATCAATCCATCATTATGGAAAATGAAATGATTGAGATAGAAAATTTCTCCGATCAATGCGATGAATTCAACGATTTCCATTCTCAAGATGATATTAGCGATGATGATTGGCAAGGAATATTAGATGATAATAATGATACAAGTAATACCAAATTATCCGATAATACCCAAGAGAGTGGTAATTCTGCCAAGCAACAACTTAGCGACAAAATTGCTATGGCTCGCATGGGACTAAACGATAGCAAAGCTGGCATGACTGGATTAGATAAACAAAAAATCAATCGGATCATCTTAGAAGCGACTAAAGGCTCGCGCTTTTATAATAATGAAATGAGAAAAGAGAAACAAGCAACGGAAAGAGTTACACGACTAAAAGCAAAATTAACCAAGATAACACAAGCGCAAAGATTAGCTGCACTAGATGAATTGAAACGTATGGAAAATCAGTTAGAAACTACCCGAGATTTATCTCGATTTATTGTCCATGTCGATATGGATGCATTTTACGCTGCTATTGAAATAAGGGATAATCCTAGTCTGGCCGATAAACCCATGGCAGTAGGTGGTACTGGAATGATGGTAAGATGAGTAAAATAGAACTCTAAATTTAAAAATTTCCACGTTTTATCCCTTGTATGCCATCTTCAATTCATTGACGGTATATTTTACAGCTTACCTCCAATTATATTGCACGTCGATATGGAGTTCGAGCCGCTATGCCTGGTTTCATCGGTAAAAGACTTTGCCCAGATTTAGTCTTTGTTAAACCTAATTCTGCCAAGTATGCACAAGCTAGTAAAGAAGTCAGAGCAATTTTAGCTGAATATGATCCGAATTTCGCATCAGTCAGCTTGGATGAAGCTTACATGGATTTAACGGAGTACTTGGAAGGTAGAAAATGTACTTTCCCTAGCAGCCATGTTGAATTTACCGTTCCTCAGCAGGATTTAACTGAGGATATGTTAAAGATTCTTAATGAAGGTTTATTAATTATATTATTGAGCGTTTAACGTTGCTAAAATTGTACTCTATCATCTTAGATGTCAAGATTTAAATTAATGCAGAAGGTATTTTATTTATTTATTTCAGGAAATCATCTTTTACCATTAGATAACAAGGAAAATGATCAAGTTGCCCCTCCAACTGTTGATGGCGTTGATAGTTATAATAATTGTTCGTCTAATTCATCAATTAGAAAAGTATCGTTTGGTCATACCATAGAAGATGTCATGAGAGAAATTCGATTTAAAATTAATCGAAAGACAAAACTTACAGCAAGTGCTGGTATAGGACCCAATAAAATGCTAGCTAAAATTTGCTCTGATTGGAAGAAACCTAATGGACAATTTAAAGTAGAATTTACTCGAGATAAAATAATAGAATTTATGCGACAACTTCCGACTAGAAAGGTACAGCATTGATTAAATTTAAAATCTTTCATCTACATGGGAGGATCAAGACCGTCACTAAATACTTCAACTCTTACTGTTATCTTTAATATTTCCTTAAGATTTCAGGTATCGGCAAAGTCAGTGAGAGATTACTAAATGAGATTGAAATTTCGAACTGCAAGGAACTCTATGATAAAAGAGATTTGATTTATTTGCTATTCTCCAATGTATCAACAAAGTTTTTCTTAGCTGTTGCAATGGGCATCGGATCCAATGAAGTTAGTAGGTAAACAGAAACTAATTCTTTTCGCATTAACTGGCTTCTGGAACGCTCGAAGGAATCCTTTCAAAGAAATTCAATCATACATCATACTAATGTTTTGCTTTTTCCTTTTTTGCATCTTAAGCAAAAATTATCAAAGAAAAAGTATTAGTTGTGAAAGGTATTAACAAATCTCTAATAATTAATGAATTAATTAGAATCACTGCGATCGAACATTTTTCGTAGCATTACGTGTATCGTTGTTTATGAATTATAGTAACTGACAGTCAGTGATGAATTATTATGTGATGCTAGTTTGCGTAATATACATGTTATAGACATATTGTAAAAGTCTATTACCCTACTCATTGCACAAACTATATTAAATATTCAATTGACACTATAGGACATTTGGAGAAATTAGTAGATTAGCAGACATGCTCGTTAAATGCCAGAAACTATGTGATAATCTGGCAAACCACATGAAGAAAGAGAACATTACGGTAATTGCTGGAATGAACTATGTGTACTTTAACTCAATGTAGAGTGCGATATAACATACACATGTATCGATTATAAAAAAACAAGGATATTAGCATTGGCCCCAAGTATAAAGTCACTTTCTTCATTACTCGCTTGCTAAATTTACCTATCCATAAATTTTACGTATACGATTTTTTAGGGTCGATGTTTAACTGTGAAACTAAAGACCGTTGCATTTGAGGTTAAACAACGCTCAGTATCGCTAAAACACCACACAAATTCTACAACTGAAATGTTTAACATTGCATCAGAAGTTATTCGGTCAGAACGTTTAGCTTGCCAACCCGAAAGACTTCGTTTACGATTGATGGGAATCAAAATGTCCACGCTAAAACGTCATGAATCGGATGAAAAATCTATACAAGATACGTTAACACGTTACTTTAACAAATACGATGAAAACTGCTCGCAATCGCAATCGACAATAAATGAAGCAAGTAAGAGTTTTATCAACATAGAACAGCATAAATTAGACGAAAAATCTAAGCTAGACAAAGTAACTTGTTACTTTAGTAAATACGACGAAAATAGCTCGCAATTGCAATCAACAATGAAGGAAGCAAGTAAGAATTGTGACAACATGGAAAAGGTTACTTGTCCTGTATGCGACCAATTCTATGTTTACAAATCTGATGAAACATCGTGGCTAGCGTTACTAAATTCTCACATAGATACTTGCCTTCAACAGCCTGAAACTATGAAACCATCTCAATCACATAACGACTCTGTAGGAAGTTCAAAAGGAAAAGGTGTTAAGCGACGTAAGCTACAACATAATCGTATGCAGCCTACTACTGGTAATAAAACACTTCATAATTTTTGGCAAGCAAAAGATAATACGCACCAATAAATTGTACTTTACTGTAATTTATTATCCTATTACTGTCAGTAACTTTGATTCTAGCATGCATTTATTATACCATCTTTTCAGAACATTGTAATATATTTCTAATTCATTACGGCTACTATTGATCTACACCTACAGGATTGTGCGATACTTGTTTAGGAGTCGAGAGCTATAAAATGGACATTTCGGCTTGTATTTAATTATGATTGTTAGTTTCTTATTTGTTGGGCATGTTATCATACCCCGTGAATATTTGCCATTCATTTAAGTCAATTAGTTTGAATCAGCTACCAACAGCAAGAAGTTCAATTCTTACGATACCACTATGGTGGTTTATTATATGCATATGCTCGTGTACATAATGTAAATAGTTATGACTTCAATACATAATCGATTCTATTTGCTCAATACTTGAAATTTTCTCTGTATAGCAGACTGAGAAAATATCATAAATTTAATGGTTTCTAATATCATAAAGTTGTGTAGCTAATGGAGATTACTGTATAAATACGTATAGTATTTTTATATTCCGATTAATACAATTATACGTAACGTATATCATTTTTAATAAAAAGACATTCCGATTACTTGATGTTTTCCTTAAAACACAATTACAACTTTAAGACTTAAAGGCTACAATTGGCCAAGTATTTATTACGAATGATCCAATGCCTTTTAAGTGGCAAGTAATTAAAGAAATTGTCTACCCTAGATCTAAAATAAATTGATAGAGCATTGCATTAGCCCGTATTCGTGAAATTATCTTAGAAAGGTTTATTCATGATATTTCAGAGTCATGTAAACTCTTAAACAGAGTTGATCCAAATATTCGATAAATAGCATAAAGTCTATCTATGAATTTAATTAATTAATTTAATACAAGTTACTCCGCATAATTTGCGTTAGGTTTAATTATTTTAGTAGATTAACGCATTCTTCCTTCCAAAATATATAACCCAGTCTGATACTTACCTATAGGCACGTTAGGTTTTGTCACCACTTCTTAAAATAGCTCTTTTTAAAAGCATACAATCACTTCACATTCCGCCCAAAATTACAATTTAACGTGAATAAGAAGGTATTTATAACATTGATAACCGATAGTAAAAATATACATTTAATATATATAATTATATACACATAAATGTCAAACGAATCTTTAAAATTAAAACTATTAGTTTAGGTAATTCCTAAATGGTATTATTATTATACAAATAAACCTAATGAATAGTATTTACAGAGTGCTTATAGTGATAATTGAGGTTCTATAGAAATGGACAAAGTATTTGCGCGTTTCAGTAACAAATTCATACAGATTTACATTGTTCATATTCACTTGTTTAGTGATCATGCATTGAGTACACTCATACATTGTATAAAAATCATTTATACTTTACGGTTTGCTCCATCGTATTCACTAGAAGTTTCTTTACAAGCATTACTAGATGGATCCATCAGCATTTTTTTCACAACATCTTTACTATGATGTACCACAGCACCGCATGCCAATTGCATGTCACACATAGCACGCAGTGGCTTTAACAAAGCCTATGAAGCAAAATGAAAAATTAATTTAAACACATTTGCGAAATAGACGCAATTTTAACCGACATTATATAGCGAATTAGAATACTGATCCAAGACCTCTTTAATATGGTGGTCATTTTCCAAAATTTCTAAAGAAAGTGCCACTGCTTCTATGGTTGATACGCAAGTCACATTGGGTTGCGTTCTGATTACGAATTTACTGATCTCATCGTCTACAAGTTTAACCTGCAAGAGTAAGCCCTTTCTTTAATTAATATGTACGTGGCATTACATTTCTTATATACTGTATAGATGGTATCGTTAGCTATAATTTTTGAACATACAGTATACAAATGTATCGTCGTATAGCCTGATAACTCTATTCAAGTCTACCACGTGTATAATATATTAGTGCCTATCGATTTTTATTTAGTTTTTATTTCTATACTGACCTGAATGCATCTCTTTAGAAATTCATTTCGGTGCATGATTGTGCGCGCTTCGTTCCAAGTGCCATCAATAACAAATAAGTTAGTTACCTTTAATTCTTGGCAACTTAATTGCTTAATACCTATAGCTATAAATGAAGGATATTTAATGTTACTCATCAATTAAAATATATACACTTCTTAAAATTTATGCAAGCAAGGTCAGTCAGTTAGATAACAAAAGATATCATCAACAAGCTTGCAGTATCGTATTATTGCAGGGTTATCACAACTCTATACACTTCTATATATTCATTTAAGGAGATTTTAGAAGCATCTAGTGATTTGTTAAATAGCAAACTAACCTTGAGAACTAGGATAAAGTATGGCAGTTGATGGGGAAGATGCAATCTCAGCCAGTTCGGTTAACCTGTAAAACGATTCTATGCTATTATACTTTTACGGGTACATTTACTATTCGTATTATCGGATCACTCATTTTGTGTTAAAAGCACAGTATGCAATACACTATCCATTTGTACAACATCAGATCATAGCATGGAGTAATCTGATATCGTAGAGCAATATTTTTTTATATGAGGTATAGTGTATTCAAGTCATAAGAGTAACTGGGAAAACTTACCGATTCCTTGTAAATCGTATACCACGATATACATGCACACTATCTTTTGCCAATGCAGCTGTTAATATTGGTACGGTTGTCAATCTTCGCTTTTGCTGTTTTTTAGAAATAGTTGTATACGTATAGGTACAAAATATGATGGCTGTTTAATAAGATTATTTAACGTTTATCTACGTCTTTAAAAGGAAGAAATTGATATTTATTCACTAAATTGTCATTAATCAATCATACGTATTGCAATTGCAGACCTCGCGTGGATGTTGCAAAATACGGATTTTGACTGAAGTTTCGATTGGTTTGGCTGGCAGATAACTGCATAAGCACGTTCGAGCTGGACGACTAGATCAACAAATCGCAATACATTTTAATGCACAACCACGCTATCTGTAGTCGATTTTATCGGCTATAATTGCAATTGCAATCAGAGATGCAATTGCATCAGAATAATACTATTATCAACATCATCCACAAATTAATAACATTACAGGGCAGAATATCTTTAGTAAATACAGTCGGACGAATGATTAGCAATTTCCTTCATGATATTTTCACCTTCAATCAACAATAGCGGAAGTTCATACTAAGAGCAGATATAATTTTAAATTGAATACCCAAGTCCACAAGCAAAGAAATTTTCAAATGTTGAAAATTACCGTCTCAGTGATGTTTACTATAAAATTATAATTCTTATCCTTGATATTAATTTCCCCATATCAATATCATCCTATACTAAACCACTTGCTATTCTTTATTGGCTGCACTAGTATCGTAACATCTAAATGTACTACTCACTTGCATCGAGCACATTCTTCACGGCATTTATCGCTACTCTCTTCTATAACATAGCCATTTAAAAATTCATCATATGTCTCATCCTCTTCCGCCATTGAAGCATACGCAATCTCACTATTTCAGTATTACACGTCACTGTATGAGATCAGTTATATTTATGAGCGAGCCTTTGGTATTTAAATGTGCCAGTCAGCACCTTGATTTCCAGTAATCAATGTTGATCGTCTTGCTGTAAATAACCAAAGCTCTAAAGCGATCATATAAAGTATAAAGTTGCGGGAATATGCGCGATTTTGGATAATATTTTGATGCTTTTCTGCAGCAGGGCTCGCTGTGAAGCATAATAATATGCTGAGCTTTTTCTTATATACTATAGTATACTGCACGTCTATGGTGTGAATGTACACTATTGTACAGTATCACACACTGTATTACCATGGTAAAAATATACGGTGGTACGCGAGCTGTATGCTGCCACGCCCGCACAAACACACTGTGCTCAATTTTCCATAAAAATCGTATTAAAATGCAATCTTTGATGCACGTTATCCAATTATTATGATAATATTAATTACCAATATAGAATCGCAGATATAAGCATCAAGGTATTCGCTACTTTTATCGACCTGTTACAAGTGACTGATGCTAAATACTACTAATTAACTAAAATGACCGATTATGTGTATGTGTAATATTCGCGTTTACGCGTACGAGTACAGTATATTCTCGTATGTTATGGTTAACCCCACTCGTTCTGACTAAAAATCTTGATTTCAATAATAACATATAATGAAAACTATATTCCAGATATTAAAGATGAAAGTCATATCATTTAAAGCAGTATTTTTCACTGTATATGATGATATAGATGAGGGTAATAATTTCGTAACATTTAAACATTATTTCTGGCATAGTCCAACTTCGGGTTTGTCTGTAACTTAATATAAGAGTATATAATCAATAGGCCTAAACCATGATTTTAGCTACTGAGGGGTCGTGCAATTCCGAAAACTTCAAAAATATTTAGCCAGTAATATTCACTGAAAATCACTGCTGATACGTCTTATCCTCGATGCTACATAATTTTCAGGTAACTTAATGAAATATAAAACATCTAATTATCTAAATACGTACAGTATCATACAGTGCAATTATAAGCAGAAAACTTTAAACTGATGCTTAAATCAGTTAAATGTATTTAGTAACTCCTTGTGTATACCGGTACAGTATTGTATTGCTGGCTTAAGGATTCTAACTTACTTGGTCAGCATTGACAGTATTTGACACATTGATAAATGAAAAACTTGATGTTAAAAAGTCTTACAGCTTGTAATTGGAATGTAACTCAACTGATTTTTATTGCGTAGTGGCATACAAGTATAAGATATGATACAAGAAGATTTAATTATGCCATACCAGTTTTAAAAATAATTATTTCGTGCAAAATTGGTAATCATGGTACCACTCGTAACTACGACAAAGAATAGCCTTCATAAACTGCCATGGTGTGACCGCAGTTGATCGATAAAATATCTCTACACATCGCATTACCCACTAGTCACATCATTGAATTAAGATAACTGAAGTAATATTAAAACGATTTAATGTAGTAAGGGATAATGTACGGTACAGCAACTCCTGCCTTTAGTAATCTGGGTAATGGTACAAAATCCAAACTATGGTAACGATTGATTAACGACTTACAAATCTTACTAATCGCTTAGTATAATACACTTGTAATATTAAGATTTATCTCTTCTACGGTCAGGAGATAAACGTCTTCTGTCGCGATAATTAAAGTCATCCCTTCGTTTTCTTCGAGGTGACGCGCTGCGGCTTCTACTGAAAATATAATAAATGGTCATAAACAATCTTAATAATAGTCAAGTATTGGAAACAAATAATTCGAGGACATGTATAGATAGCTGGCTTATCGTGTCATAGTAATGAGTTTTTTACAGCTGAATTACCGTTCATTCTTTTGCTCGTAGTATCCACCTTTCTTTCTTGCAGCATTAGCTATGTAATCAACAGATTAACCTTTAAGTGAATAGTATATTATCAAATCTATAGGTGGATCAAAGAAAATACTGTTCCTACCTGAGTCTTCAGAGCTACCACTAGACGAAGATGTCGATTCCGAACTCGAATCAGAATCGGAGTCTGAATCTGAATTGGAATCTGATGAACTACTGTCATCACTTGATTCAACAGCTCTTTTTTGAGCCATTATTAGCTTCGGAGCGTTCTTTAAGTGTGCTCTTAACTCATCACTGATTTATAAAACGTATGCAAATAGTTGTTATTAATTACGATATTAAAAGCATAAGAGTTGATATTTTACAGCTATTAATAGGCTTACGTTAATGCACCAAGGCCAATTGAGGTAAAGAAATTGATAGCAAATCTAGTATAACTTGGATTATTTCGTGGAAACAAGCCTTCAAAAAATTCAGCTAGTGTCCTAAAGCGGATTAATACGATAAATTGTATAAAATGCATAATACCAATTGCGAAATTTTATAATTGTATTAGGGTAATAATCGATAACATTACTTACTCATCTCTGAAACGCTTATTTAATTTCATGATACCCATGTATTCAGATAATTCTTGCAATAAAATCTTTGCAAATATTCGACTACAGTTGAGTATAAGTAACGATTTTAGCGAAAGTATAATAGCGAAAAGATACTCAGAATATGGCTTACCTTGATGATGTAGTTTCGTCTTCATTTAGATGAATGCAGGACAAAGCCTTTGATTATAATATTAGTAATTATGATATCGTATTTTCACATTTAGTATCAATGTTACTTTCAAAATAATAATTCTTACCGTCCAAGGAATAGCATCCGTAAAAAATAGATGTGCAAAAAACTTTACCACATTTCGCAATTTATTAGTTTCCAACCTATGGCAATTTTCGTACTAAAATAAGAGAGTACCGTAAATAATTGAATTGATTCGTTGATAAACAAGTACAGCTAACATATAATAGCAATTTGATTCTAACTTGGTCTTGGAATATCTCGTCGTATAGTTCAACATAGGTTTTGTTTAACTGACAAAATCTCTGAATCAAAATATTTTATAAAAATCACGTTAATAAATGTAAAAGGTTTTCTTTAAAAGCAAGACTTCTCTTACTTGTGCTAGTAAGCCGTACATCCTGAGATACGAACGCTCCTGGGCACAGCAGTCTATAATCATACTGCATAGTTCTTTCTAGAATTGACACAAGGTCGTTTTTAGTCGCATAGGCATTATCCTTATTTGCGAAAAATTAATTAAATAGTTTAACCTCCTGCCCCGGTTTTATCTCCATTTTCAATAATTTATGAGCACATTCTTCGAAATCCAAACTAAATTAGAAAAGTAAAATCACTTAAAATTTTGAATTATTACCTTCACAGAAATAATCTCTACCTGGACTGTATGGTAAGATAAATATTCCTCCTTAAAGCCACCAAATTTGTCTCGGTCTGATCCAAAATCATCTTATCATCTACGTATTTATTCATTTATAAAATTTTTCTAATAAATGTACTAAAAATTGCAAATGAATCACGTTACGAAGACGTAACAGTACCTTTTTCTTCTTCTTCATCATCGTCATCATCATCGTCCGATTCCTCGTCGCTTCCACTAGCGGACGATCCATCATCGTCATCACCTAGTATACCTAATTTTAAAGCAACACGAACATGAGAGTATGCTACTACAATTCACGGCAGCTTCACGGTTGCTTATTAAGCTTACCTTTTCGTAATACCTGATACCGTTCTTCATTCTGTAAATAGTCTGGATCAAACTTGAAAATATCTAAGAAATGCAAAACCGCGCTTAATAAAACTTTATATCTATATCATAGCTTTATCTTCTCGCAATTGCCAATATACTTAGTATATTTTCTCCATCAGCGGCGTCATCGAGAGATAGAAAATGTGTGATTTGATCGGACTCTTCAACTAACACCAGCTCTTCAATTACAGTTGGATAATCCTATTGATGTATGATACGGTCTTTAAAACATAACTTCAGTAGCAGTAGTTACAGAGAGAAAGTTAGAGTACCTTAAAATCGTCTTTCCTAATGGCAAATAGCACTTCTATCATATATTGGACGCGTTTTCCTATATCACTGTCTTGGATAATACTTCTAAAGCGATCGAAAATTCCTACAGATGTTCAATAAAATTACTGTTACCTACTGAAAATTCTATAAATTTGTCAATTAATATCTTTTTGATATAAATTACCTCTAATTCCTGTTGGCGATAGTTCACCCAACTTTTTTCCACATTCCTTAATAACACCAACCTAGTATTCATAATGAGATCAGGATAACGTTATCTGTCAAGATGATTTTAAGAATTTTAACAAATCCAGATACTTACAGCAACTTCAACACTATCTTCGGTTGGATTTTCTAAAAATACAGTCAGTATCTCGAGGATAACCAATTCATGAATCTTATCATGACAGAAAATAGCAATTATGTTATCGATAAATCAATTAACGGTCAATTTCACAATCATTCCGATACGGTTAACATAATTGACACGATATTAACACTTACAACTTGTTGGTTAACCAAATGCGCTAAAAATTTAGCAGTTGTAAGACATGTGGCTTTATCGCCTCTTTTCATTGTTCTTTTAAACTGAATTAGTAATCTCTTCAATAGCAACTCTCCGATTTGTGGAAACTATAAGTTTTATTGCATATGGGAGCGATATAATTATTGCAATGAGTGCTCGATGCATAAGAGTATTAATATACTTTATGTGTAAAATCACAAAGAAAGTCAGCTTACTTTCGTATTAATTACTGCAACCAATGCTGCATAAACATGAGTAAAAGTAGGAGATGCAGCTTGAGCAGTTATAACTGATCTAGCTAATAGGCCCCTATAAAAAATAAATAATACATGTTTACTTGTTACAGCACAAACACGCGTACAGTTTATAATCTTCTGCGAATAATAGTAACGTACCTTCCGCGAACAATATTCTCCTTGAATAATTCTCTTATTATATCAGACATATTGCCAACGTTGACCTATATCAAATACCCGTAGTCATTATAATATGAGCTCATTGCAATAGGCAAAGCAATGTTAAATCCTTTACTAACTTTGTTCACCAAGCCATTGATACTCTTCTTTAGGGCTTCCCAGCTCAATCTTTGATAGTTTTCACTACGAATGAAAGTCCATGAAGGAATGTTATTAACTGCATTGATATTCTAATCTGTTTGTATCTATAAGTAATCACTTCAAATTTATTTTTTTACCTGCTCTTATCAGTAATTTGCTCCTGCATCATGCGAAGTCTCGCAGGTGGAATGTAAGCACCACCTGTATAAGAGAAATGGTCCATGATGAAACAGAAAGAGCGCTACTATTTTCAATACAGAGCTATTATACATGTATAGTATCGTAAGGATGGGATATTGATGTTTATGCGCATATTTTTATGGAAAGGCATGAGGAAAAAAAGGAAGCGAGGCCACTTACCAGTCCTACTGGTTAAAATGTCTTTCTTTTCATTTGTTTCTTTCGGTTTCTTATGATTATTATCCCTATCATCTATTATAGGATCATTTTTCATTTCTTCTTTCCGGGAATGATCACTTACATATCTATCACCCCTGCAGAAGGAAAATTTAAATTAATTTCTTCATTGCGATCTTCATGGATAGGACAAGTACTTGTCGATTGATCCCTCACCGTCGTCTATCTCGGTCACTATGCCTATCTCGTCTGTCTTTGTGGTCATCTCTATTTCTATGTCGATCATGTCTGTCTCTTCGTCTATCAGTGCAATTTTATGCAAAAAAAATTATTGCAGTTTTATGTTTTATACAAATGCATACATTTTACAGATACGTATATCAATAACATTACAGTACACGCAATTTACGTCAGTAATTCAAAATTCACGCGGCAATTAACGAATTCTATGCACATTTTCATACGTGCATCGCTGTAAATAGCATATTAGTAGTAAAAGTACCGTGGAGATCTCGAGCGGCTTCTTGAGCGTCTCCTTCGAGGTGATCTGGAGCGTTCCCTATGTGAACGCTTAGATGCGGGACTATGTTCTCGTTTACGATCCTACACATGTACGTTAAATATCAAAATGGTATCTTTGCCTAGGTATCTTATTACTGTACACTATAATTATGAAATGATTCAGAAGTGGCTTAAATTGAATTGAAAATGGCTATCGAAATTAGGAGTACAGGATGAATCATGTAGGAGTACCTTTACATTTGCCTCACGGCTATGTTCTGGAGTAGCGCTACTGTCTTCAGTACTAGAATGAAGTATGGTAGGAAAAATGAGCATTAAACTTTGACGTTTTCTGCGAAAATTTCTATATTTAATTGAGGAAAGCAATTGCAGTACCTGGAAGGCATCTTGCTTGTGATAGCTGTAGCAGCTGTACAATGGAGGAACTACTGTACCAATTGACACTTTAGTAAGTTATAGTATGAGGCAATACACTACATACAGTACAGTACAGTAGGACGGTATCAGCGAATTGATTACTGGACATCAGATTTACTTGACATGCTTAAGGACTAAAAGGTAAGTTACTACAGTCCAGTCTGCCAGTCAAAGCTTTCTCTACAGTACTGTAGAAGTCGCTGACAGTACAGTACAGTACTGTACAGTACATACTGTACACTGTACAGTATGTACTGTACACTACAGCGGATAGTAAAGAGTTGATCGAGAGCAGACTCGGAAAACTTGCCACAGACACTTTACCGCATAAAATAAAATCAATTAATTAATTAATTTTAGCTGTACTGTACAGTATTAGGATTAAATGCTACAAAATATTTAATCCCCCCTCGTACTATCAAATCTATATTGATATTGTTTTCGTCCTATACTACTGTACATTGTACTGCGGTAAATTATATTATCCCCGTCAATTTGTCTTAGACCCATCCAGAGACTATCGTCTACCTCCATCACGGGTTGTTGTATTAATTAATGAATCGATACTATAAACCATGGAGGTAAAAAATCGACTGAGTACGGTTACTGTGTGTGTGTGTTGTTGCTCTATTCTCAGCTCTTAATACTTCTTGACTCCTGTTTCTCTGATCTGCAATTCTCATATTTCAGCTGCATGAAAATAAATAAACTCCTATCACTTACAGTACTGTACTGTATTTTTAAGTCCTCGGTATAGTCGTATTGACTGTCTCTACATCTACAGTATACAGTATTACAGTGTATAGTGACTATACTGTACAGTACAGTACTGTACACTGTACAGCTCGGCGCCATTCGTACAGTACAGTACAGTTCGTAGAGTCAGCTGTCAGTGGAATCAGTTCGGACTTCCAATATTCTAGCTCCGGTATATGGTTGCCATAGTGATGATCGGTAAATGATGCTGAAAGCTAGGTCTAATTTCCAGTTTAACTGAACTGACTTTTGATTGATCACTTACCCAAGAGTATTGTTAATAGTAATCTGTAACTGTCGTAACGAAATCTTATATCCTGCAAAAATACTTTTATTTCACAAATTGAAACATAGAGTCAAGATATTGCTTAATATTACTATACTGCGGATACTTAATCATTACAATAAAATAGTTTAATTTACACGTTACTAATATACCCTTGTATAGACTTTAAATTGTTGTTACATTCTACCCAACTAAAAAGAATGTCAAAATCGAAACGACCAAATCGTGAGCCAACGCCACCATCTCGTATAGATGATGTAGATCGGGATGACTTCTTCGCTGATCCTGATATGATGTTTGATGAATTACCTCAACCCTTTCGCACGATCGATAAAATATTAGAAGGAATATTCGACGATTCGTGGAATATTATCAACAAGAGACAAGCTGAACGCGAAGCAGGTACATTAAAGGTTCCAGTCCCAGTATATAATGGCGTTAGAGTTGGTACAACAACCGAGGAGCCGAGATGTCTTGCTCCATCAGTAGATGGAAATTATGTCTTTTTAGGTCATGCAGATGGACTAGTTGTACTTAAACCACCATCAGTTCTAACATTAACGTCTTGGGATGAAAATGGTGTGTTACCAGTGCAGTTATCAACTGCTGATATGCCAGGATCCATTTATTTAGTTACGATGCTTAGTAATTTAGGTAAGATCTTGATACTAATATACCCTATAAAGTCATTACTGTTCATAAAGAATCTAATTTACTGTATAATTAAGCATCTTCTGTGAAATAATTTTATGCAGGCGTAGGTAGGGTCTTTGCGCTATTTAAAAATAGACTGTTCCTGCTACGGATAATCAATGATACGGTAAATGCTAGGGCTAAAATTAATGTTCAGCCTTAACTAAATCAATCCTTATCGTCCGTATCGAAGTAGTCATTCAAAAATTTGGAAATCTTTTATATAATAGGATGCTGCTATCATTACAACAATGAAGTTATCAAGTAATGGAGATTTTCTTGGAGTGGGCACCCAAGGTAATCAGCTAAACATTAATTCCACTCGTGGCATAATAAATTGTATAATAAATTGTATGTGTATAATGACAAGAAAGCTTCACCCTAATCAACAATTCCTAAAATTTTGTGCTAATTTATTTTTCAAATAGCATCAAAAAAATATTTCTTTGAAGTGCATCGTTTACCAAGTGATGGTTGGACGAGAGAGCTAACATCTGCTAACCGGCAACTTTTGAAACATGAAGTATGACTCGTTTTTTTATTAGTTGCTAGCATTAGTTCAAGTTATTAATAGAATTAATAATTACTGTGTCTCCACTACTCTATATATAGTCAAAAATAATATCTTCAGCTGAGCAACATGTCCCACAGCAGCTAATTAATAATCAAGATAAACCTGTACCTCCACCAGTACAAATTGTTAGTCAAGAGGTTTGTAGAAATATACGATAGATCTACTTTACTGTTTCTAATGATTGCTACTTTAAACAGAATCTATAAAGGTGACATTTACATTAAAAGAAGTTGGAATAACTTCTTATACAACTATTTGCAATCATTAATTAGGCCGAAGGAACACCAAATCCTTCGCAAACTCAACTGGAAGGGCAGTCAAATCCTACTCTCAATATCACAACTGGAGCAGTACCTTCGCGAATTAATTTCTCTAAACCAACTCTTCTCATACGTGTCAAGTGTTCTAACACGCCGACACCGTGTAATGGCACGAATCCAGCACAAGCTTTATCTGCTTACAACAATAGTGACTTTTTGACATTGGGAAATGGTTTAATTCATTCTCTGTCTGCGCAATTGCTTGATCAAAGGCGTACTGATTATGATAGTCTCGGCTTTATTTCACAACAAGATAGTGAAGCTGAAATACGCAGGTTTGACAAAACAAAGGATAATTTCTTAATTTCACACTAAGTAGTGTAATTTGTAATTGTAAATTACTTCCAATAATATATATGTTTTTAATTAGTGTCCCAACTTTCCATTTTCTTGGACCAACTAAGTATCAACCAAACAGTTTAGAAGGCAATCAGAATGAGGGTAAGATATTGTCGTAACATAACTCTAGATAGATGACATTATAATCAAACTCTTAATAATAGTAATAGAAATAATTAAGTTATGAATTTATATTTTTAGTAGCAAAGCCATCATCTGTTGTTATGTGGTGGTCAAGTTGTAACCAAATCTTTCATTATCCTCTACCAAAGAGTGGACGAGGTACAGCATATTGAATACATATGCAAATATCACCTTATAAGGAATGTAGATTATTAAATTGATGTTGTTTCCTTGCAGTCGATAAACCTGATTTAGTATGGCCAAATGGAGATGTTATAATAAATAGTACTCTGAGTAACGACAAAACCTTGCTAGCAGTAGCGTTAAAAAATGGTATATTGGTAATCTGGGATGTATATCATGGTAAATAGTAATATTGATTGTTTAATTCTATTAATCACATTATATTACGAGAATAATTGATATTAGCTACTTATTTACAGGTTTAGAAAGGAAAATTATTGGATTTTCGAAAAGAGGGTCTATAATTTGCATGCAATTTCTACTCCCTGGCGCACTAAATGAGACTAAAACCATGCCTAAAGCAGATCCTGGATCAGCTACTTTTCGAACAGGCCCAGAAGGCTTAATAGTCGCCTGCAGCGATGGTAGCTTGTGCATAATCGAATGTGAACCGGATAAAAGTGAAACTGCACCAATTATATTGGCACATCCTTCGGAAATCCCTTTTTATCGAATTCTTCCGCTACCAAATCTACCACAATTGGTAACGAGCTGTAAAATAAGTTATTGTCGGAAAGCGGATTCATGCTACTTACTGTTAATAATTGCAAGTATACTTCTATATTCTAGTTTATAACTGTACAGAAAAATAGCGAAGTCATTGTTCATGATGCTAGGAAAAGAAAAAGAATGTGTGAAATTGTTATGTCTAAATCATACCACCTTGATAATCCAAGAAAAGAGGGTGAATTGATTTTAGCGAAAGGAGGACGCGTTGTAGTCATGAGAGGTACAGGAACAATACTAAGAATTAGATTAATTTTACGAATAATATTCTAAGTGCTGGTTTCTGAACTATTAATAGACTTGAAATCTATCCTATATCAAGACTATAGCCTTTAATTTCTTTTTTGTTATAGGTGTCAAGGATGATACTATGTTTACTGAGCTGGAAGATGTAATTAATTCCTTAATTTTTTCCTCATGACTCGACCATAGCTCAATAAAATTGAATGAGTCCATGTCTGGTCTTTTCTGATATTGGTTTCTTCTTATCTCATTTGTATAGGTCTTTGCAGTGTATGCAATTCAATTACACTTATGTCTAGAATTAGGAGAATACTTTGCAAAGATTCAAAAAGACAATCAAGGACGGCAACAGGATGAAAATGTAAAGAATCAAACTACTGGTAAAGACAAAAAGCGTAATTCAAGAGCTAGCAAACAAAATAAAGAAAGTGCTTCAATTGATGAAATTGAAGAAAGATTAAATTCAATGTTACGTGAAAGGTAAAACTAGTAGTTATATTTAGTAGCATTAATACTTAATACTTTCATTTCTTTTATATCCGATCTACTATTAATATATTGCACTCTTATAATGTATTTATAGTCTTTATTCAAAATTACTCTCGAGCGCACTTTTTTTGTTCCTACAATGATTTCTACGTAATTTTATTTTAATAAAGAAATGCGGAACAGGCACTTCGACAAGCCAGAATGCAACAAAGGTGGTCAAGATTAAAAACAGAATTAAGGGTTATCTCTGCAATAAAACATCAAGCAAAAAGAAGAGACTTTTTACGCAAGGCTTTTGTAAGCATATTAGTCTTAAATTATTCACTATACTAATTGTGCACAGTTAATAATAACCTTGAAGCGTAGTTTGTTTAAATTATAATATACTGTGTCTTATGTTATAAATTAGAGAAAATAAACAGGGAGAAGTTAACCTGACTGCTCAAGCAACCGCAGACTGAGAAGGAATATATAAATTCCGCATAAATCGAGAAATTGTAAATACTACCGAATAATACTTTCAGCCGAAATTTTGTTCGTTGTAATAACTCACATTTGGCGAATTACTGTGATCGTGCGATAAAAGTTGCTAAATAAATAATTAGTATCCTTTACCAAAACGACTAAATTAGTTAATATGATACGATTGCATTAGCCTTGTACATAAGATCTTAGTAAATCTTGCAAATACTGCATTAACTAAGAATCGTTGGAAATATTTAAACAGTCACAATCGACCTGAAGCAAATCTACAATTATTGTATGTAGCAGTAATTGATGTTAGGATGCCATAGTATATTTAATTATGATATTTTTTGGAAATAGATATTGATATCTATTTAATTTAACAACGCTAATGCGTTTCTTGTATATTTGTTAAATATCCACCATCTGTAAAAATATTTCATGAAAAATTTATATTGTTGTTTATAATATAGGGCGTACTAGATAAATACTAATGTTTTGACGGAAACATAGCTCATGAAAGATTTAATGATAGTGATTAATGAATAAAAGCAAATTGATAATCTCATGTGCCTACTATAATTTCATAATTTAAGATTAATGGTTCTTTATTCCAATATTTTCAGGAAATTATTATTATTATTTATTAATATTATTATTCTAGTTATTTATACGAGTAGTTCACTGTCTGAGAGTAGTCCCAGCAGAATGCCACGATATTTTATTTATTTATTTTTGAATTTACAAAATTCACTGATTTACCACAGCATGTTGTGTAGTATAGGTACAAAAAGCGTTTACTTGTGTTGTAATACTGTGCATATTGTGCCAGCTAACAGTTCTGAGCGTTAGAAGTTCGATTAATTATATAATTATCAAGCCTATTCAGAAGTATATTACCGTGTTATGCCGTACGTACTGCTTCGTAATCCATAACTATTGTGCAATATAGGAATTGGATTTCAGGGTATTAACATAATAGTCGATGATTTTATTTCATTTATTTATTTAATTTCACCTTGGCATTTAAATCTAAATTTAATTTCATTTAATATTTATATAGTCAATAGAAATTAATTGCTGTAGGAGATTACTAAAATACATACTTGTCATGGACTACTTAACCAATTTTACTCTCTTGTATTAATAACTCAGGTAATTTTTACCTATTATACAGTATGAAATAAAATACTGCGTTCGAGTATTTATTTTACAGAACAGTACTAGTACAGTACAGTACTGTACAGTACAGTACTGTATGTCGTAAATGAAATTTTCAGAAAGTGCTCACTATGTACTGTACAGTTATACTGTATGCTATACTGTACACTTGGACAGTACGCAGTGTACAGTGTGTAGTACTGTACGCCTCACAGACTGTCATTGTACACACGTGCCGGACGCATGCTAACGCCCAAAATGACAACTCATTTCAAAAAATCGTACGTTTACTGTGTACTGTATGAAGTATGAACTATCACTACTAGCCAGTAGTAGAGTTTGCAAGCGATCATGGGAACAACATCTACAAAGAGCCTGCGTTGCGATCACCTCATACGGTATCATATCACATGGTCTTGATCACGTGCTAGTTTAATTAATTAAGGTTAATTAATTTATTTATTTATTTATTCAATTATACTCTACTGTACAGTGTACTGTACGTATGTACTGTACAGTACAGTACAGTACAGTACAGTATAGTACATTGTACTGTACAGTAGAGTACGCCCTGCTATTACAGGACAGGACAGGCCTACTGTAGACTTTTTATTTATTCCTGCTCTTAGTAACATCGGCTTCAATACGTTTTCGTACAGTGCGAAGTGCGTATCATTCCAGTTGAGAGGCAGAGGCCCTTTCTTGTTCGCTGATTCGCAAATCCAATACTTTTCCATAGAAGATTTTTGACGATAACTTATTGCAATATGCAGTTAGCTTCATTATTTCGAAATCATGGAAGATTTTGTGCTTCTCATCCTTGGGAGGTCATAGTAGCAACGTTAACTATTACAGTTTCGACTTTGTCTTTCAGTTTAAACTCCAATTCTATCGCTGAAGATCTCTGTCGAAACGGAAAATCTTGTGAAAGCCATCAAGATAAAAAGGTAAAAGGAACACATTATTTCATGTAATGAGAACCTGTCTTATACTGCACATTACTGTTGTGGTCAGTTTGCTTTTAAATTTGCAATGTATGAAGAGCATAGTGCTATATATTAGAACTATTTTGGATTATCTTCGATACAATCTCCAAGCTTAGTTTGAAGTGGTTTATTTGTTCAAAACTTGCGCAATGCCTGTTGAAACATATTGTATTTCAATATTTTGCTATTAACTATGAGGCAAGCCGAATAATGGGAAAGTTTGGGTCATGTTAGAATCTAGTGTTCTAGTTGTATCTCATCGTAAAGTGGACCTGCATACTTAAAAGATATAGACTGCTTTTTGGGGTTTCCATGTACTGCTTCTCTTAAATTTACAGCACTGTAGTAATAAATAATCCTTCAGCTTACTATTGTTATAATTATAATTGGCTTAATCGATCAGATGTAATTCAGGTTCAAACTAATTTCTTAAGTAGTGTATGTCGATACGATCAACATCTGCACTTGGACAAGTTAACGCAAAAATTATAAGTCTTAGCTTCGTGCAATCAACATTACAGTACTGACCTACTGTAGTAAATCATAAATCATAATGTAATATTGCCTTGAGCGGTATCATACTGTACTGTACAGTACAGCGTGATTATTTTCTCCTCAGATTACGAAAAATGAAAGTAAACGCTTAAAAATTGATCAAATCTATTTAAAATTTATATCAATCGATAGCTTATGAGCTTCTAATTTCAAATCTGCAGTTAGATTTCTGTTCTACAGAACATCCGCGGCATTGCTGATCATGATCAATATTACCGTTATAACACTGACTCTCCGTCGGATGATGTCAGCACTGTAGCTGTACGTCACTCTAAATGGTAGAGGCTACAATGCCTTAGCGTTTTGTGTTATTCAAGTGTAGTTGGAGTGGGATTACACTTGGCGTATCACTAGTGTACAGTAGTGTTTCACTAGTAGTAATTTCTAGTAGTCCATGGTACAGTTGTCTGACTGTCTGAGTATGGCTACTTAGATTAACAGCGATACTGTACAGTACACGGTACTGTTCATTGTGTGAAGGTGTACGTGACATATTGCTAGATCTGACGATATTGCACACAAGTTGTTAATTAATTTATTGATGAAATAGGGTATCTAAGTACTATACAGTACGTACTTTGCGAGCTTAATTTACGTATTAACTTGACCTGCCACGCTCTCATCAAATTGACCATGATTGCCACTAAGTATAAAAAATTCGGAGGACTCAAAATTACCTTATTTAGTCTAATGATGTCGACGAGTACAACTGGACCAGACCGGACAACGAAACACTGAGAAATTTTCCGGATGTCAATTCGCACCATTTGAAATCTAATGAATTCTTCCCATCCCACTGTATATTCTTTATAATTGTCAATGGAGACGGGGGATGGCCAGCTCAAGCTTAACATCTAATTTTAAAATTTAGACAAAGTACGCATATGTGCAGTACTGTACTCTGTATAAACCTTTGCGGTTTAATCCTTGTGATAGTATAATATTCGCGGCGTACGATGACAAATTTTTTACTATTTTGAGGTGTTTATATGGTATCGTTTGTAGCAATTAAAATTACTATTAAATTAATACCTTTAACAACAGATGTGTTAACCCATAACTGATTTCATCGACTTTACCATTCTACAGACCCGCGGCGATGTTATTGTTTTGACGACCACTAATTGCTTAGTTGTGGTATGTTGGCTATATCTTCAATTCAGAGCCCTTCGTAAGCTTGGTTCTAAGTATCTTCTAGGTATGTGAAATCTTGTCTTTCAAATGAATTTTATATGATGTTGCCGTATTAATTTACTGAATACCAAATTGATATATTGTAGGAGTTGCTGGTTTATTTACCTTGTTTGCCAGTGTTGTTTTCACTCTAAGTGCCATTCGTCTGTTGAAACAAGATATAACGGGCTTGAAGTTAGTGGTTAATGGTTATAATTTCTTATCTCGTTGCAAATTTGAGGTCTTAATGTGATATTATTTGGCGTTTAATTTACTACAGTGAAGCCTTACCTTTCTTTCTATTGTTGATGGACTTATCGCGTGCGAGAAAACTAGCTAAATTTGCTCTTAATGCAGCGTCCAAGGTAATAGATTCGATTACGCTAATGCTTAATTGATAAACCGATGATATTTATGGTTGGCTGACAATAGTTTATATTATGCCAAATTGAAGCTAATAACTTTGTTGCTCTAAAATTAATAGGATGAAGTTATAGAAAAAATCGGTGAAGGAATGGCAACTCTCGGGCTTACCATTACTTTGGATACCTTTGTAGAATCGCTAGTGATTGGTGTCGGTACATCAACAGGTATGTAGTATCACCGATATCTTATTAAGAACAAATTGTGATCGCTTAATCGAGCTAATTTTGACGTATTTCTTAATTTTATGAAGGCGTGAAAGAACTGGAAAGAATGTGTTGTTTCGGCTGCATATCCGTCATAGCAAATTATCTGATTTTCATGACATTCTATCCTGCCTGTTTGTCGTTAGCGTTAGAAGTATGTTATTAAAATAGATTTATGTACTCTTACCTATCAGAATTCCAAATAAGTGATATAATCTTTATTTACTTGATAGTTTTCACATGGAAGTTCGGAATACCGTCGTATGTGGGAACTGAACCGTTCATCTATCGATTCCTCTTCATTTAAGCCTAATCCTGTAGTGCAAAGGGTCAAACTCATCATGGTTTGTAAATGTTACGCCATAATTTAATCACTCACATGCTGTAGTAATTGGAGTAATAACAGTTATGTAATGATATCGTTTACTAATCAGCTGTTTTGAATTGCAATAGTGCGCTGGGCTAATGTTAGTCCATTTCCGCAGTCGGTTCTTTGGCGGAATTGATAATGATCAAGGATTATCTATTCAATCTATTTTCTCTCAAGAATCAAGCATCTATGAGAAGTGGTGGCAACGGTTAGTTTTATAAAGTTATTCTTAAGAAGCTACTACAAAAGCTTTCAGCTAAATTCTATTTAATTAATTCAAACTTGCAGAGTTTTGGGGATGAGACCAGAAGAGGTAATATTTCAAGTATCTTATAGTGTAGCTATCGTTAAACAGATATAGGATATGAACAATAATTGTAGCTTAAACACAAAAATATCTGTTTAGTTTTAATCGTAAGTTTTAAATCATTACGCAGTACATCACCGTAGGAGTTGCTGTATTTCTTGTGCTTAAATATGCACTATGGGAAAAACATGATGATACCGGCAGCAAATTAGCCAAAGAGTTCAAGAAGGATTGTAATAAAAAAGAGAAAATTGTTACTAGTAATGGAACTGTAACTGATGCTGAAAACCACACCGAGAAACTATCGGCAAATGAAAAAAATACGAATGAAAGCTCTCCGTCAGTACCATTAAAGGCTGGGCGTGAAGTAGTAGCTAGGAAGGAAGAAAACACGAAAGGGGAAGAAGCAAAGCCACAGTTTTTTATCGATACCAACTCCGATGAAGAATCTGACCGTGATAGTAAAAGTGAAGAAACTGCCGACAGGAAAATACAAGAGAGAGAGAAAACTCTGGAAGAATGCCTTGAAATTCTTAATAATAATGAGGTTGGCAAATGTAAATTGCAAATATTTTTTTGTCGTTCATTTTTTAAGACGGGTTATTTTTGTGTAGAAATCTTGTGATCTGTTAACCGATAAAGATATCCTGAGGCTTGTTGAGGCTAAACATATTGCTCCATACAAACTCGAATCGGTATTAAATAACCCTGAACGTGGCGTTTCCATTAGGTATGATTTGATAACCGTGTACATCTTCAGGGATCTTTGATTACTAATATGCTAAAATTACAAGGCCTTTAAGCTGATCGCCTTCTTTTAATTTATGTTTGGAACAGACGTCAAATTCTTAGTCAGAAACTAACTAATGTAAATGCATTGGAGAAACTTCCTCTTAGCAACTATGATTATTCTTTGGTTAGAAGAATATATTTTAGTATTTTTAACTATCAAGTTCATGCTAGATCATTGTTTTATCCAGAGAAATCTACATTCTTTAAAAATAACACGTTTATAATTATTATCAATCTTTTAAAATAGGTTATAGGAGCCTGCTGCGAGAATGTAATTGGTTATACGGCAGTGCCTGTAGGCGTTGCTGGACCTCTATTCTTGGATGGAAAACCGTACCATGTACCAATGGCAACTACAGAGGGATGTTTAGTCGCCAGTACCAATCGCGGATGCAGAGCATTAACTGTAAATTATTTTGTGATATTTCCTTAGTTCATCGATGGTCGTTTATTCTTGCGTGTAAGATTTAAATTTTTTTAACGTAGCAATGTAACGGAGTACGATCTGCTATTTACAATGATGGTATGACTCGAGCACCTGTTGTCAAGTTTCCTTCTGTAGGAAAAGCTTGGTAAGTTATTGCTTTATGCAATTATTTATTTGCCACTACTGCTAAGATTTAAAAACACTAATAAGCCTTATTCCTACCATTAGTGAAGCCAAGTTGTGGTTGGACGAACCCGATAACTTTGAAGCTATCCGAAAAGCTTTTAATGCTACTAGTCGGTTAGTTGATTAGTTTATATCAATGACTTACGATACACGATAGATAAACTTAAAATACGTAATACAATTTCTATGATATAGATTTGCTCAGCTAGTAGGAATTCATTGCGGTTTGGAGGGTCCACTGCTTTTTATTAGATTTAAATCCAGAACAGGAGATGCAATGGGAATGAATATGATATCAAAGGTAGTAATACAATTTAGATTATTATTACTGCATGCATGTGTCATATTACAACTTTTTATTCTGAAATTTATGCTCACTGTTATTACTTATATAAGGGTACAGATGCTGCTCTTCGGTGTCTGGAAGACGCCTTTCCGGAAATGGATATTATTAGCTTAAGTGGAAATTACTGTACTGATAAAAAGCCAGCAGCGATCAACTGGTATAGTTTGTGTTCGGTATTACTTAGTAATTGCGTCAACTAATGCAATAGCAAATTTTTAAATAGGATTGAAGGTCGAGGTAAATCTGTCGTGTGCGAAGCTGAAATTACCGCGCGAGTCATCAAAGAGGTAATTCATTATCACATGTTGACAACAACCGTGCAGTAAGGTGTAATATTTGATGAGCTATAATAATGTGTAGATACGATACTACGTTGTTAGAACAACATTCATTACCCAGGGACCTCTAAGTTTTCTCTCAGAAGTCCCTACATTACCATAGCACGATAAATTCAAGCACTAGAAGCAATAAGCTAATTGATATTGCATAAATTTAAGATTCAAAATTAAAGTATAGATTAACAATATTCATCGTATATATACTTTAGGTTTTAAAAACAACCCCCGAAGATTTAATAGAAGTTAATTACGACAAGAATTTAATTGGTTCAGCTATGGCTGCTTCCATTGGTGGTTTTAACGCTCATGCTGCTAATATTGTAACGGCAATATATATTGCTACTGGCCAGGTAAGGAAAAAATTACTCATCATTCGTTATTTAATTTTAGTTTGGTTCATAAATAATCTTATCTCTATCTTTTCAGGATCCAGCTCAGAATGTTGAAAGTTCTAATTGTATCACAACCATGGAAAAACATGGTGAAAATGTCAGAATGTATTGTACAATGCCTTGCATAGAAGTTGGAACAGTTGGCGGTGGTACTATATTAGGTCCTCAATCTGCTTGCTTAGAGGTAACACTTAGCAATCCCAAAGATTTCCTGTAAATTGAGATTATGATACAAGATTTTAAGTATTAATAATATAACTAATACTCTCTCTGTATAGATGTTAGGAATACGCGGTGCAAATGTATCTTCACCAGGAGAAAACGCCAGACAACTAGCTCGGATAGTATGTGCCACTGTAATGGCAGGTGAACTGTCACTACTTTCTGCTCTCGCTGCCGGGCACTTAGTGAGAAGTCACATGAAATACAATAGGTAAGATCTTTATGAGGTATACATAAATAACGCTTCCATTTATTGCGATTTTATAACATTATGTATGATTCTATATTCCATTTTAGATCTGTTGTTAACTTAGCTGGCAAGCGTTGATAAACTTTCGTCTTCGACAGCACTGCTCTGTATACGGTTACTATATTATGCGAAGTGATGTGCTGTACTCTCTTAAAATTTTGCGTTGCTTTTTCCATTCTTATTCAGTATTGTAAAAGGTTGGTTTTACCGATCACATCAAAATTTTAAAAATGTAGTCAGATTGATGCAAGTGACTAAATTGTTAGTTAATTGCTAATTATACTGTGTATTGTATACTGCAAATTTATACTATGGAAGCTAAAAGTTCAGCGATTTTCTTTTTTCTGTATATAGTTTATAGTGATGATTATAATGCTTTTGTAGCATTTAATATTACATTTCCAGAAAGATGCATATCTAATTTAAAACCTTGGAAGCATTCGTTTATATGGTTTTATGATAGTGCTGTTTTTATAAATATATATAAGCATATCTTGCAATTTGTAAATTATTATTACGTCATGTAATGTGTCATTTCGAAATATAAACACCTGGATTTATTTATAAAAATCTTGGGATTTTTAAGAGCTTGCACTGTTTAGTTATCCACGATGAATTAAAATATTTGGTAAGGCTTTCCAATGAAAGGAAATAAAGGAGAGTGTGGTTTATAAAATTGAGTTCGATAAATAATTGCGGCTTCTGGTTAAATGAATCTATGCGATACTGCTGTAGGTGTAACAAGATTTAATGATGAACGCAAAAGTAGCATTTACTTTTTATATAGGGCGAGAAATAGCTGATGATTGATACAGTGTTACTTGCAGATTTATGATGAGCTCGATACTAAGTTGAGTTAAACTTGTTCTATCTACTTTTGTTCGAATGAATTTACTATGAATGTACAAGTTATTCTCAGATTCTGTAGGGATCTGACGGACATCTGTTTGGAAAACTGTAGTTGAGTAGTAAGTCACTAGTAACATTAGATTATGTTTACGGTTGGTAAATGTACCCACATGAGTCTGGTTACTTTGGTTTGTTGTGATAGGTTTTGCGTACTAAGCCATGGACTACCGGGTATTCTAGTAGTCCTTGACTAAGCACAGTTTCAATATTGAAGTAAGACACTTCATCCTTTAGATCTCATTTTATGCGCCGTATCTTGTACTGTATATTATATTAGTTTATGGATGACATATGCATTCACTAGATTACTACAGATATCAGTTGAAATAACGCGTGCCAATAAGTCGGTGTACGCTGTACATCACCAGATTACCAGTACTGTACAGATAAAGTCTATACAAAGTAGAAACTAGCTCATCACTATACTGCACGGTATACTATATTTTTACTATACTGTACTGTATCTCAGATCACATTTCCCTGCGTGCATGCAAATATAGACTACAGTACAGTACAGTATTGATATTGAACATTACAATTAATGCCGGAGGACACTTTATGACAAGTATTACAATCCGTATTGTACAGCACTGTATTTACCATTTACCTCCATATGCACCCTTATCGAAAAGTTCACACTTTAATAATACTAACATCTGTCATCTACTATAATCAGATGTAAACAAGACTAGTGGTACGTGATACAGAAAAAGAGTGCTGGATTGAAGATTTTCTGATAGCCGTAATAAATCTGGTACGTAGTGCTAAAGAGCTAAAAGCGCATAAAAAATTTGTAAGAATTGCATATCGATTGAACCACTTCAAAGCAGAAATCGCTCATTTTACCTTGCGCTACTGCAATAATAACGAAGCATAGTACAGTATTGCAATAACTACTGCAATAACAAAGTATTGTATTGTAGTCCATGACCGAGTGGTTACTGGAGTACTGTACTGTACTGTACAGTACAGTATTCAGACTAAAATACGGACGTGGTCGGTACAAGCGTACATGGTACGCTGGCATAGCCATGCACTGTACTGTACGTAAGGGAAAACTATGCAGATTCACTACCGTACACGTACTGTAGAACTGTAAAGTACTGTAATGTTCTACAGTACAGTAGTGTACAGTACGTAGACCAGAGTACTATAGTGTACTGTACACTGTACAGTACAGTACTGCACTGTGCCTAAACTACCCTAATTTCGTAACCGATTCCAGTTAAATACAGAACTGATGTAGCAGTTAATTTAAGCACGGCAACTCTCCAGTCTCCATACAGTACAGTATAATAATTTCGCAGGAAGTCAAGGTTGTCACATGATTTGATATACAGTACCCGTAGATTGATAAAATGGTGAATGAACGTATGTCTCCTTAGCTAGCTGATTCCATCGTTTCTATCCACCATTTACTATTATTAAAGGTTTTAGCTGCGTTAACCTAAGTTATCCTTTAAGCAAGAGAAATGAGAGAACATCAGGTTTTAACGGGCACGGCTAATCTAGGTGATAGCACAGTGTCTGTAGGCTACGTCGACGGCATTGCAATCGTGGTAAGTAGTGAGACGACAGAAATATGTAGGTTGATATCTTCTTTTCTAATTCAGCCCGATTGACTTCTTGGGCGAGCATATTTACTTCAATATTTTCTGAAGCGGCATATGGATACTGCAGAATTTTACCTGAGAATTGAAGCAATTATTGCACATTAAGATCTTGTCATTAATGGAATAGTAGCTAAACTCATTATTGCGATATATTGAAATCAATTTTCTGGCCGTATACCAACTGTACTACTTTGGCTCGTGCAAATTCGTAAATTAATCAGTCACCATTGATTCAGCATTACTGTCCATAATCACTACGTGATTTGGGTATGACTAACTGCAAATGAATCTATGTAACGCTTGCATTTTTATGTATAGTGTGTTGCTTATATTTTAATCATTGCTTAGATAAAATCAATACAGTTGAATACCTGACTACAGTAATTAAAATCAACAGTGTGAACCATGTTGAATCCCACTACAGTACAGTGCTTATCTTTATTAATTATAATTATCACACGATTCAAATACTGTATTAATTCACTCTCTTTAGCCAGATTACAGTACTCATACTTGTTTCATTTCTATTAATTTCTCTTCTCATATTCTACGATTTTGGTGTTTATTTGGACCATGATAGGCATACGCTTCTGGTTGTGATGTTGTCATTTTATCTGGCCAATTTCAACGTATTCAGACCATTGCTGACCTGCATCCTAGTATCGCTCTGATATCTTGCTTGCGTTGCGCTGAAGTTGGAGGCAAGGTAAATATATTACGCCATGATTAATGCAATGAATATTTACTTACTTTCAAAGAATTATCAATTTCTTATATAGCTCTATATATTTTATTGCTACAATATGGATATCATCATATCAGTGAGGTATCGTAGTGTACTTGAACGTAAATGATCCTCATAGTTGTATACCGTACAATATTACATGAGTGCTATTTGACATGAGCCTTATTACAAATATTGTTTGACATACCCAGTCGTAACTGTAATTTCGAGTCATACATTGTGATACTCGTATATAGAAATATTGATGACTGATACTACAGTAACTTTTTTGATATTTGAAAGCCTTATTATTCCTAAGATATATTCAAAAAATGAATTATTATACTTCAACGATATATACGCTAGGAAGTAATCTCTTTGATTTTCTTATACAGATCGCTGTGGGAATCGAAAATTGCGTTTATATTATTGAACCTAAACTAGTATCTTCTAAGGATATAGCACGGGTAAGCCTACATATGTGGTACAATAATATACATAGGTATACAGCAATTTCATAAGCAGAGATAGCTTTTGATAGCATGTTTCCGTTGTACAGCTTGCTAATACGGTGCAGTACGAGTAAACTTTACTGTAAAGTTGTATCCCTTCAAAACATAGACAACTACGTATCAATCATAAGAGGACTTATGCTGCAGTATGGCATGGCCTCCGATGAAATACGCTACATGTAGTATCCGAATGTCATTCAATGTATATTATCATAGTCTTCGAGCTAGCTACAATAGAAAATATTTGTACTCGTAGTAGATATTTCTATAGGATGTATAGTATAATTTATTTATATTTAGAACCCTTGATGTAATATCAACAGAATAAACGATTTTATATTTTACTACGGTAATATAATTTTATATGCGCTCTACGTAGGACACTGCATCATACTTTTGGGAAAAAGCTGCAGTTATTACTACCGAAAGCAACGTAACGAACTTGCGTTGGACTCGTGATGGTAAGCTTAGTTATACGATAGGATTCGGTTTACAAGCAACATCGATACAAGTATTACAGTAGATCCTTCAATTTTAGCGTCTAGGCTATTAATTGTAAGCGATGTCTTGCAAATGTGGAGTACCGATTTGGGACACATATATGAAGATTCTACAGATACTGATGACGCTCTTACTTGGAAATGTATTTGGCATTACAGGCATGTCGTTTATAAATAATTTGACGGGTTATAATCGTAGCCAGAAGTGCAGTTTTATTCTTTCTTCATAAATTATCATTCGTTTACTTCAAATTCTGTCATTTTTAATAGAGATTGCATAATAATATGTTATGCTGATTATATCTAGGACTATTGCACCTATTCGACTCGTGGAGTTCTCTCCAGATGATGAACTATTTGCTACTGCAGGCGAGGTAATAATAAAGTATGAAAGAGAAGAATTTATTGCATGTTCATTATTGTCAATATAGGCGAGAGCATTGCCAATATTACGGTTAACATTGTTTTAAATTTATTCATTTATTAACACATAACCATTACCATAATCGGTATCTTTTATTTTAAAATAATGCAAATCCTAGGACGACTGCATGGTGAAAATATGGTATAGTTCTAAAGATTCAAATGGTTCTTCGGATGAAAGTATGTCACTATATTTATGGTTATTTTATAATTAATTATTGCTTCTATATGCTATTCATACTAACGAAATTCTCTTGGTTGCCTTTCAACCCCCTTTCAATATTATATTTATCGTAGCTCATGCTTCTTCAGCGGATACTAGATACAGCTTCATATATATTACGCATCCTAGAGCAGTTACTGGATTCTCTTGGCGAAGCACCAGTAAACACATGTTAAAGTAAGTACAGTGATGTGAAGATAAGTTTTTATTTATTATTACTCGACTATAAGCACAGTACAGTTGTGTTCTTAATATATATCGATACTGTCTTATTACTTTAATAGAAAAACCGTAGCCAATGTTCTACTTACATGTTGTATGGATGATATATGTCGAATTTGGAAAGAAACCCTGCCTTATTATCATCCATTAGAGCACCAATCCCAGGAAATATCGGATAAAAATCCTTCAATCCATATAGGTAACTCTCAGCGCCCTGGTAATACTTCTGATGGAGAAATAAGAAAAAATGATGTAGCATCCCCTGTATTACATTTTCATATCGCTGCCAGTATTCATCCTAGCAACGATATGCCATTACTTCCAGCTATTACTCCTAAATCTGGTTCTAATAGTAATAAAGCGCCGTTCATCCTTCATTGGCTTAACAATAAAGAACTCCAATACTCTATCTCCTTTGAAGCAATTACGACGACCATTGCAGAATCTAGTAGCACTGATTCTGGTATAGAGTCAGCTGCTAAGGGAAAGAAAGGAGCTACCAGCAAAGATCGCCTTAGTATTCCTTCTGGAACACAGGGCGAAAATGAAGAATTCTCTGACTATGAAGGTGCGCAAGACGATGATACCCCTGAAGATACTGCTACTGATAAATTACAACCGTCAAATGATATTTCACTCAATACTGATAAATCCAACAAAAAGTGGAAAAGAATCAAGAAAAGGGGTGGTAAGAAGGCTCTCGAATATTTTAAGGTCCACAAAAGACAAAGTCGTGATATCACAAGTCTATTCGGTAGCGGGCGGACCTCATCTGTTAGTATACCTACCTCTAATGTATCTGCGCTTAATTCTAATCAGATGAAAATTAATGAGCTCAATCGCCAATGGAATCAGAGTACTGATTCACTATTTTGTATTCATCCAAAAGATGGCTCTCTTCTGGTATGGCTTATTGAATGGCTGGACGATATTGCTCCATCTTGTTATCGTCAGCCGCACGTTAGCTTTTCATCGCGCATACCGAATGCTGTACCTACTGGCGATTCCTGTACACTGTCCCAAAAGTTATGTATTTACAGAACTAATAAACAATCAACCGTAAGAGATAGTAGAATTAAGCCAAACTTAAGGAGGGCTAGATCATTATCTACTCAAAGGTTGAATCTATTGTCTAGAACGGCTTCTGTACAGCGTGTTGATGCATTATCAGCTCTTTATTCTCTAAGAAGTGATTCTACTGTTGATATTGTTATGATAACAACTCATTCTGATGGTACAATGAACAAATGGCATGTTGGATTTGCGGATAATTCATACTATAACACAATAACTAGTTTAACTCATGGTGCTCGATGCTGTGGATCGCGCTTTCATACCGATTCCGTTTATTGCCATCCAGTGTTACCGTTATTACTTACAGTATCACATCAAAAAGACAATGCTAGGAAAAATTCTAATAGTAATAATATCATCACTGATACAAGTCTTAAAAGTTCGGATGAGGAGAAATATACTAAATCAAGTGAACTCATGCTATGGCGAGTTGATTGTGTAGGCCCAATGTTTCAAAGTGGTGGATTGTATGAATTAGCTCGGATACAATCTAGTCGATGCTCAGATTTTGTTGCTGTAGCTTGGCTACCGTCGTTACTATTTAATTCGCCCTTATCAACCTCCAGTATGTCTCTCTCAATAGTTTCTGCAACCCCGTGTGCTTGCTTTGTTGCATGCGATCGCCGATCAATTAAGTTTTATCAAGCAATTCTGGATGCGCAAGCGATGTTAACTGCTGCTCATGATGTTCATAACCAAATACGCGATGGTTACATGACAACCAAGAAAGAAACTTTTGCTACACTTCCCGGTTATGTTGATCCACATTTTATTGACAGCATAGTCAGTTTACAATCTGGGAAGCAGCCTGGTTGTATCCTTGAATTATGCACATTAAATGATTCCAATTGCAAATTATCCGACCCAATCTTTCTGCATGTATTTTCTGAGAGTTCGTTATTTGGTCCAAGAGTAACTCAGCATGGAAATGATATTGGCCAACGAGCTAATGAGCATTATTTCGTAGTTGGCTTAGAAAACATTAAGACCAACGATAATAAAATCAAAACTATGTTATACATGTGGCGCATTTTAATTATTACTGAAGTCGAACCATTAAAGAACAAGCAAAACAATGCTGAAAAGTCAGATCAAAATGTGTTCAAGTTTACCGAAAGTGCGATAGAGTCGCTAGAATTATCAACTGAGTCAACCGTATTTGACAATACGCCTAAAACTCCAATGTTTTTGTCATCAATGCACACATCTGCTTCTATCCAATCTTTAAAAGTGTACGAGAAAGAGTTGGATTTGCCCCCTGATGTCTATGTAACAGAAGCCTCTGCTTCTAGTGACACGTTTATTACGTCTGCAATTCAGATATCTTCAAAACCGAATTACCTAATTTTAACGACTTGTAGTGATAGTGTGACAAGATTTTGGAACTGTGCCTCAGTTCTTGAGAATCCACAAGATATCACTCCTAGTGCGTATGAACCATTTTTATGGTATATGTGGAGTGCTAGTCGCCTACATGATCCAGCTTCTACAGCATCCAATAAAAGGCTTGTTAATTGTTCAGCAAATGGCAAAGTTGCTTGCTTAGAGGAGATGATGTCGGATAGTAACAAATCCGATTGGGATGTTAAGGTATCTATATGGGAATGTGAATCAACTGGTTCATCCGTATGGATTTTAGATGATTCATTATACTTGTCAGATTATGGATTACAGTCTATGCCATTAATAGCCAATTCTGATAATGATCTCAGTTCTCAAGACGAAAACGTAAATTTGAACTTGTGCTGGTCACCTTGTGAAGATGGTAAATTCTTACTAACAGTTGCCGTAGCTTCAAAGGTATTTATATTTGCGGAGTCTCTCATTCCTCCGTATAGTATTGGTGAATTATCAAGTAAAAGTACAGCATCGTCATTAAATACGCCTAAGGCATCGCCTTCTGCTGTATCGCCTGTCGTTCCTGCAAGCTGGCAAAAAACGAGTACTACTGCAACGCAAATCAAGCCTGTTAAACATCGTTGGTCAATAATTCGTGAAGTAAATATAGATGCATACACTCTTTATAAGTGTCCACTTTCCATTGATTTACTGACATGGGTTAGAGACGGTATGTTGATTATTGGATATAACAAGGAACTTCATGTATTTTGCCAGTGGAATGAGAGAAACCCATCTTATGAGAAAGTATCTGTGCCTGGTGAAAATGTAGCTTTTGCTACTAACGATGAAGACAGTACTGGACTATTTGAGAAGGCTTGGTTTACAATGCCTATACTACCACAGTATCATCCACACCAACTCATTGAGTTGATCAAATGTGGAAGAATTCGTCGTGCTCGTGCGATTCTAGCTCATCTCCTGAAATGTGTCGCTGGCGCTGAAGCTACTTCTGTAGCGATAGGTGCTGGTGATGAAACCCAGCGATCTCGTCAATTTAGCACAGATAGTAACGGTAGTCACAATAAATCATTTTCATTTAGTAGGAGTAGGAACGTAAGTACCAGCAGCTTCAAGGGTATTAATCCCGATGGTGATATAGAAGAAGAAAGAACGTTATCATTCTTACCTTTGCCTTTACACTTATTACTTCAAGCAGATCAGGAAAATTATAAGAAAGTAAGATATCTTACTTAGAATAGCACTTTTGCTGCAGTAGATTTGATAGAATTAGATTAATAATCTTTGTTGTTCATTCATTAATTTTTGATAGTTATGTAAGTTGGAAGGTGAGAAAGGGGTTGATAGCGCTGCAGGGTTCATGGATATAGACGATTACGATATGTTAAACTATGACGAGAATCCAAGTGCCTTGTCAAGTTCTCCTAAAGGTGATGATATGGTAGCTAATAAAGAACTAGCAGAAAATCAGACGCTAACTCAGATTCGACAAAAGAGTTTAACGTATTTTGGAGTAGCACAAGCGAAACTACTCGCTTCTAGTCTGGCTAAAATGCAACTCCCTGGTTTAACTAGCCTTGATCAACTATACCTGTTAACACTAGCTGAAGATATTGGATCAATTAAAGTTGAAATTGGAGCATTTTCTCATCAAGATAAAGATGAAGAAAGTACGTTTCAAACTACTAATCGAATGACAGCAGCAAGTTCCTTTACTAGTAGCGATGGTGGTGGTTATGCTAATGTAGACAGATTGTCGTCTGGAAGTGGAGTTGAATCTGTTGATGATTGTGGCCTTCGGTTCCTTTTAGCGATGAGATTGCATATAGCACTGAATCGTTCTTTACCTCCACGCTATCGGATGTCATTAGACAAACAGATGTCTACATCTAATTTTGCTTGGGCATTTCATTCTACTTCTGCTGAAGATTTGGTCGCTCTTATACCTGCTGTTCATCGTGGCGATCCCTCTTGGGAAGAACTTCGAATGGTTGGTGCAGGTTGGTGGATCAGGAGTAACGATCTTTTAAGGCGATGTGTAGAAAAGGTCAGTAACATATATTAGGGATCGCAATATTTACCAAGATATTTCTTAAATACTTCTTTCCTGTTAAATTGTTTAAAGGTTGCAAGAACTCAATTTAATGCCAATCAAAATCCGTTAGATTGTGCGTTATTGTATTTGGCGATGAAAAAAAAGAGTTTAATAACAAACTTGTTTAAGTATGCCATGTAGATTACTCTGTACCTTATTGGTTTACATATGAAATGACTGATTAATATTATAAGCATCATTTTTTCTCGTATAGAACGGTTCAGGATAGCAAGATGACCCAATTTTTTGCTCATAACTTTGCCGAAGACCGATGGAGAAAGGCAGCTTTAAAAAATGCTTATGTTCTTCTTGGACAGCAGCGTTTCGTGGTCGCTGCGGCATTCTTCTTACTTGGTGGATCTCTATGGGATGCTGTGGAAGTCTGTTTGAATCGATTAAACGATTACCAATTAGCACTTGTTATTACAAGATTACATAGTGGTGATGACTGTAATAGTAATCAGACTTTATATCGGATCTTAAATGAATACGTATTAGGCAATGCTGATGACAATGAAGGATTACGAGATCCTTTCTTACGTAGTATTACCCATTGGTGGCTTAAAGACTATGCTATGTCATTAAATATTCTCCTCGATACTGTTAGTTCTAATGAAATTGACAGTGCAACTGGTTACGAAATCGTAAATCCTGATATATTTTACCTATATTATTATTTGCGACTTCATCCAGTAATTAAGAAGACTCGATTTGCTGCAGTTCCAGCATCCCTTCAACAGCCTAGTTCTGCAACAAGTGCTATCTTATCGAGAAGGGCATTATCTAAACCTAACAACAAGCCACTACTGTCGATTGTTACAAATACTAATGCAAAATCCTCTTCAGTAGGTATTGGCGAAGATGGTTTATTATATAGGAAAGAGCGCCGACTATTCTTTGCTGCCGCTAACACTCATTTTAAAACAGGTTGTCCGGCTTTGGCATTAGAGATTCTCTCACTCTTGCCTGATACGCTTAAAGATGGTAGGAATGGTCGTCAAACTATTAAGGCAACTTCAGTAGTATTATCACCTGCCCCTAGTAGTAGCGTACCAAACGAAATTATTCATACTGGTACATTCGGCACATTCGATTTCAATGATGGAAGTCAGCTACCTAGTACCTCAGCCAACAAAACTTCCAATGCTACTGACTTCGATTGGAGCCAGCCGGTATCGACTCAGCTTGAGAAAAAAACAAATAACTTTGACTACAATCAAACTACTTCAGATAAATCGAATGATAATGCCGCCAGCTTTGACTGGAGTCAGCCTGCTTCGGATACATTACAAGATAAGGGGAGCGATTTTGATTGGAGTCAACCAGTATCTAATAAAATTAATGATACTGAAGATACATTTGATTGGAGTCAACCAGTATCCAATAAAATTAATGACACTTCAGATACACTTGATTGGAGTCAACCTGTATCATCAAAATTGACAGAAGATCTAGATATGGAAAGCTATACAACCGGTCCAGACCTGAAAGTGACAAATGCCAGTGGTGTTGAGATTGACAATGATACTAATATTAATAAAGAAGATCAAGAACAGATTGGAGATACAAGTAAAAAGACGATAGAAGACAGCATGTTAGAACATTTAAAATTTTTTGCTTGCCTGAGAATATTATTAGAAGAACTAAGGGCTTTACCTGCGGATTGTGAAATTACAGGAAATACCAACCGTTTAAAATCCAGGCTTACTGAATTCTTAAAACAGGAATTCGATGCCTTAGCTGCATTATGTGATTACTCCGGTGGTAATAAGGCAGAATTTGCTACATTAGAAGTAACTGATGATGACAAGCAAGCTGAGGATACGAACGATACCGTAAATCAAAATAATGCAAGCAATACGCTTTCTGTTAATATTTCAGAAGATACATTATCTCACAAACGAGCAGTTGCTATAGAAAGGAAGAAATGGTTATTACGAAATCAAAAGTTGCTAGCAGCATTACTAAACTATTGCACTCTACATGGAGCAAATAGTTCAGGATTAACTACGATAAGGATGGGTATACTATTATTGCTTCATGAATCGCAACCTCTTTCGCAACAACAACAACAGCGTTTGTCGCTAATACCTCCGTCAGAAGTTCCCCCTTTAGTAACGTCAACATTGTCTTCCTCTCCGTTATTTACCAACCCTATCTCACTAATTCGTTCCCTAACTAAAGATATTTTATTACCTCTATCGCAACTGAAGATGCCACCCAGCCCTGATCGTCCTGTGGGATCAATATCTGTACTGCTATCATTAAGTAGTACGTTGTCTTCGTGCATTTATCAATGCTTATGTTGCGATGTCTTTGACGGGGAACAGGACCGCCACACGTTCAGTAGTCAACCATCCTCTCCTATCTTTAAGATAGCCTCATTTGAAAGTAATAATCGCCTCGATATGATCGAAAAATATCCATATTCTCAACCTAGCAAGTGGCCGGGTATGCAGGCATTGCGATCTCTCTTGTCTCGTGATGGTGCCGAAGAATCAACTGCGTTAAGAGTTCTACTGGTAGAGTGCTCTGTAGCAGTATATCTTACTTTGTTGGCTTCAGCATGGTCGGAGCATCTGCCAAATCAATTATTTCGTCTTATTGGTAATCCTTTAAGCGATAAAATGTGGTTAAAAGTATTTGGTGGAAGCGTAAAACTAACTCCAAAATCAACACAGAATAGTAAACCTCCCGGACATATTGATACTGCACGTCGACGATTTAATTATAAGGTATTTCAAAGTAGTGGAGATGCGGTAGACCATAAAAATACTCGTTCTGAAAAGTACATACCCCCGCAACTTCATCTCTTGGAATATTTCCTGACTAAGGTAAGCTGCTTACTTTATTCTATTATGAAGTACACATTTTTAGCGTATGAAGCTTTATGTATGATCTGCTGTGTATAATTTAATATTTTGAGAAGTAATTATTCCTAATGTCCAAATTTTGTTAACTTTAAATAGCCCGACATGACAGATAAGGAAATAAACTATGATTCTCAAGAGTCCGACGAGGAAAGCTGTGATGAACTTTCCGATGTTTACGACGATGATATTGACGGCGGATCGGATACTGAAAAAGAAGTGCAAGATCAAGCAAGATATGATAGCTTCAGTTGGGCGCTAATGAATTATGCAATTATTAAGTTTGTTTATAATAAATTTCAAACTCTATTAACTGTCGCTGGAATCGAGCTTTCAGGTTTGAAGTGTACTTGTCTTAGAATTACGTAATGAATACTATAGTTATTTTAACTTAATGTTGGTAACGTTGTATTTCTTTAGAATTACCTAGCTCGTCGTTGCTGTTATTTAATACGATGAAAATGCTAGAGCGCTGGCAACGCGTGCTATTGGAAAATTTGGAGGCTTTCAACGGTCCGCCGTCTAATTTCATCAATTTTGTCGCTACTCCAATCCAAGAGGATAAATCGCGAGATGTTGCAGTTTTTAAGTACAAAGGCCTCCTTGAGCCTTTAAACACACCTTTCAGGTAAATAGATTACAAGAGTTAAAAATTATGCCGTTATGCTTGCATATAAACCTTAAGCAATTTCGTTTTAGTGATAACCGAAAGGCAGGTGCCGAGGGAAGACTGTGGAAATGTTTACTGAAAGAGACTCTAAGTGTCTTTGTTGATTACGTTTTCCGACAGCAAACAGGAACAGATAGTACTGTAAGTTACGAAGTAGTAGCATATTCGTACGATAAGATATACCTAAGTTACGAAAGAATTTTAATTGATACAAAATAAAATTAGCCGTTACGAAATTGAAGATTTAGTTGCATCCATTAGCAGCATGATTTAAATATTGCCGTATTTTTCTTATCATGTCAATTTTCATAGGATCAAGAGAGTTGTAACACAGAAAGTACGAATACTACCGGAAATAATGCTGGCAGCAGTGGTCAAGATGAAGAAATTGTACTATTCAAGAGCGCCGAAGCTATGAATTCATTTTCTTTAAATAACGGGAATCGTAATTGTATAGTCGTAGCTGATAAAGAGGATCTAATTGAACTTGACGTATCACCGATATTATGTCCAGATACATCCACTTGGATTGATGATAATGATGGTCTCGCTAATCAAGGGTAATATTTAAAATTGATTTCATATTTTGAGAAGAGAAATTGAAATTTCTTAATATGTATATGATTAATGTCTTCCTCCTGTGCTAAATTTTTAGAACTGGATCTTCCTTGAGTCTATCAGGAGCGGATGAATTCGTTATTATTAAATCAAATAATCAATCTTCTGTAAATTTTGGTTCGCATAGACAGTCTCAGGCTTTCTTACCTATTGCATCCGATACATCGGAATCTCTGCAATGTGGGAAAGCAACTAATGTGGTATGACTACATTTTTGCTGCATGCTTTATACACATTGTCTAAACAGGTGCTATCAATTATTTCTAGCTTTTGAAGAGACCATCCCAATTAGCGCGTAGAACAGATTCACACCCGCAGCTACCATTCTGTGAGTATCGTATAAGATCCTGGTCTAAAGCAATCATAAGTCTCGTAAAATGTTATATAAAATACAGAATAATAATAGTCTATTGGTCAAAAAATAGATATTTCTGGCTCACAAGATGGCAGTGTTCGATTATGGGAATATGGTCATGCTCGTTGTTTATCCACTGCTAGAAAATCTCTCAGTCATTCTTCGCCTGTAACTGGAATTCATTTTACGCCTCAAGGCAATAAGGTAGAACAGTATGAATATGCGAGTACAGTACTTTGGCACGTAATTGATTACCGATATAAAAGAATTTTAGTATCGTATTATAGATCTGAATTGGACACGAATTAAACAGTTAAACATTTAAAAATTAATTTAAATTATTCTTATCTCCAAGTTTGGTGTTACTGATGGCAGTGGAACCCTGAGTCTTTGGCAACTTACAGGCAATTCGTCGAATTCGAAGCCATATATGGTACGTACTTAGGGCACATTCTTGTTATTATATGCATATTAATTAAATTGCCTTTCTTGGAATCGACCAAGATAATTAATGTAGAATTTTTGGGTAGATGTTACGATGCCATAAAGCGGCAAATGATTTCGCTTTCGTTGGATCATCCAGCTTCATTGCTACAGTTGGTCAGTCACTGGATGGAAGGTATGGGATTAATCAATTATCTTAATAGTACAATACGATTGACTTCTGGAACTATACCTTTACAGAAATCTGTGTTTGTGGGATACACTTGTTCCTGTTAGAAGCGCACTAGTTAAAGGTATGGCTTCAAGTTTTTCGCTAACGAAGTGATTGGCAAAGACGTTAATTCTATGCACTGTTCCTGTTTTTTATATCGTTAATTTATAGGCTTCAATTGTCATGAAAATGGTGCTGGTGTTGTAGCTTATGCTCCGATGCGGCAAGTTATTATCACCGGCGGCAAAAGGGGACATATATGTATCCTAATTACAAGTTATATTTTACATACTAATTCGATTAAGCCAAATTTTAAGCTATATTATATTCCTTGACGACTTGTTCTTAGCTGTTTATGATGTGCGTCAGCGTCAGCTTCGATATTCATTCCTTGCGCATGATGCTACAATAAATTGTTTGACAATTGATGAAACTGAAGAATTTTTCATCACTGGTTCCTCGGATGGTGATATTAAGGTATACTAGATGTCCAGTTATATAAATTTAAAGTTTTCTATGATATAAGAAAGAGTGAGTAACATTCTTAAAAATGAATAGGTTTGGAATATGTCCTCACATGATGAACTTGGTAAATTTAACGGGATACACACAAGAAGCGGGATTTTCAAGACTGCAGGTATTGGCGTTACAAAGCTGGTTCTCCTGCCTCATGGACAATTATTTTCATCAGGAGGAGATGGAACGATTAAATTTCGAACGTTACCTGAGACAATAGTGCCACGTTATGATCGGTAAAGGAGAGTGTAATAGCCATGGAGGCACTTATTTAATCCGATAGTGTTAAGATACATGTATGTATGGTACTGTATAAATTTGTCCGAACTATCTTTCAAGAACATCATATTTATAATTTATGAGACGGAACTATTATTTCATGAACACTTTCCTATATACAGTAGTATCATTTCCATAAGATTAGCAGAGCCTTCTTTAAACACTACTAGATTAAATTGATATAAGTGATACTTTCATGCTTAACTGCTTTACACAATATATATTATATTTGTATGTACAGTATAATAGCACCCTAAATTATTTTACGTAAAAAATTTTTACACTACTTATGATTAATAAAGAACTGTCTCAGTCAGAGTTTCTGTACGTTTTTAATAGTTTTGTACTTTAGCTTGCATTGCACAAAGATGACAACTACCTCAAATACGGTATTACAATATCGGAGGATTTATTACAAGTACAGTATTTAATATTCAACTGGATATCGTGGTCATTAATTTACTACACTTTAACGAAAGAATAAAATTTATTTAACGCCTGAATTAATCGATTTTTGCTTTGATGTACAGTACAGTCATACAGTTATGCTAAATCTTACGTTAATTCGAGTGGATTAATGCAGAGTTATTTATGTGTATTTGCTATATTGATAAGAACTAACATTTAATCGGTCATTAGCTTAATGGTGCTATTGCTATTTAATTTAATCTATATAGTACAATACTAAGCTTACACGATTACAACATAAAGGCTCATTATAAATAAGTTAAACTTTAATCATCAAGAAAAATGATATCGTTAATAAACTTCTGTGTGTGACGTGCGCGTTTAAAGTCTAATATTGGTAACCTGATTCTGTAAAAAAGAAGATAGATGATTCCGTAAACGTGATCATTTTAAGTATGACACAGATATTGACGATATCTTGTAGTCATGCAGCATATTGTTGTATATATTGGACACATTTCAAATCATCATCTAATCTAATCTACGTGATGCATAAATACTTGTATAAAACAGATCTTGGCCATATGAATAGCAGAGAAATTTTGATTGCACGTCTAGTAGCAAAACAGAGCTTTATTTCGAGTTTCTCTATATTAATAGCGACCCTAAAGTAACGTTCATACATTTTCAGCAAAAGGCTACATTAATCTAGCAGGCATAAGTAACTACTAGTGATAGTTATTATGCATATGCTCTGTAGATTTAATACTATGTTGTCCTTCTAATATATAATAAGTGTATACTTGATACATAACTTAAACCAATATTCTTGTTTGATAGAATGGCTCAGAAACACATTCAGTAAAATATGATGATTTAAAAGTGTTGTCATCTTTAAATCACTACCATAGTTAAGGTATAGCACTTTCTAACGTTATTCATTCCAAGTATACAATGTAATAAGTACCAGCGGCTAGATAACCAAAGTATTAACAGATTACAAATAGATCTCAGTTTATTTCAAAACTAATCACTTTTAAACGTCCATACTAAAAAGCTACGGCGGGATTAATGATCCCAAAGGGTTATACGAATACTTTGGTATTTCATGGCAAGTACACTTATAGCATCAACCAAATTAAACAGTTAACTAAGCAATAATAATCTATATAAGAATATTCGAAATCGCTAGAGCTAAGATCTATCATAAGTTAAATGTCTTCATTTTAAGTTGTAGTATTTTAATAGCATTATGGATTCATATATATGTATGGTGAATTATTAAAATTCACATTCCGAGCTGTTACTGTGACAATTTGTAATCTTTCTCCTTTGGAAATGCAACCAAGCCACGTAGAATGCAAGAAAATGAGCAGCCTTTAAAAAGTGCTTTACAAAACGTTGAAATAATTACTAAGCAAACTGGCTAGGTAACTAGTCAAATCTATCAGGGTGATGCTAATGAAGTACGTATAATATGATTTATGCAATAGGCGCCTACTTTAGGAAGGGCTCAATTTAATGTCCTTATTTATCTGTACGAGTATTCCGATTAAGGAAGATATGACTCCAAAGACACCAATCATACCGGAAGAAAAATTGGAATAACCTAAACGAGTCATAGGAATCCAAAGATCACATTCATTCTTGATAAAATCGAGCAATAAATCTTTTCGACGGCCAAACAAAGTAGGTATAAAACCAATAGTTTTAACAGTATCACCACTCGTATTGCGTGATTTTATAGGGTTGAAGAATAACGTTATCATTTCGTAGATATCCCGCAATAAAGCTGTAATCAACGCAGCCAGCCAAAAACGAGATGCCAGCAGTGTAATTTTTTTCTTATCTAAAGATCCTACACCAACATGAGCCAGCCAGACCAGGTGATCATGGAAGAGATATAGGGCCCGGCAGACATGAGAGACGGTTAGGGTCAGCTTGTATAGAAGATCGCCTAAACCTGAACATTTCCAGGCATTCAGGACCTCATCGATGGGTTTACCAATGCGAAAAACTTTTGTATTAAAACGTAAACAAACTTGTTAATATAGGACAAGTTGAAGTAACACAATACAAATAGTCCTACAGTATTGATACTGGATCTATTGATGTAGTAAAACTACTAGCTGAAATGGCATAACTAAGTTTGCAAATGGAAATAATGACTGTGGAGAGGAAAAGGCATTTCGCTGTTAGGTCCAATTCATTTAATTTAATTTAATGAAACTTTCTTTATTACACTACTGTACACGTGCCTATTATGCCAGCATATATTATGCATCACAGTACTACATACCTTTCCTTGCCATAGCTAAACTTGTAGATAATGTATTGATGACTTCAATCATCTTGGCGTTATTAGGATTTCCTTCCAATAGCCAAGCGGCTATTTTAGAGCCATATTGGACGACTCTATAAAGTCAACAGGAAGAACGTAGTCGATCAGTTCAGCGTGCCCGTACGGACAAATGTTATTATTTATTTTTATTATAAACTTGCAATTGCTGCAATGGAGGTGAGAGGTTCCCCAACTACCGGAGTACTGTTTGGTTCTACAACTACCGAAGTACTATAATTTGTTGATCTTATTCGTCATTCTATGCTAAAACTGCTACGATCAAATAGCAGCATTTCATAGGGAAAGATGACAAAAAAAAAGTGGACGAGGTAGTCGTTTCGCTTGCCTGTTGTAGCAAAATCGGCTAGAAAGATATTTTTCTCGTAAGATTTTAAACTAGAAGTACAATAGGATAAATACTACTGTACACATACTTCATATTTATTCCATCAGCTGGCTATTACTGTCTTGTCTCGATCATTATACATGTTTATAACAGTAAAACAAAATACCGCACTGGGTGTTGGACGTATCTCTATTATAAGAGTGTCGAGTGTATCTTGCTGTCGTATACTACGGACTTGTACGGTAATAATCTCCAATTGTAAAAACTGATTCTTGTAGCTGACATCGAATCTCGTAGCAGATCTGTGTTGCGAATATAAAGCAGTCATATCGTAGCTTCACAGTGGATTCTCAATTTTTAGGATTGAAGGGGAGGAGAAAAGGAACAGTAATGAAAACAAAACAAATCAATAAAGAAGCTGCTACCGTATTGGTGATTTTAATAATAATGTCAAGTTGAGATAGAATACACTTACAGTGGTGAAACTATTTCAATTCGACCCGTGAGTTTATGGATAACTTTCGACATGTACAATAAAGTGAATATGCCGTTATACTGGATCATTAAATGGTATACTGGAAGTATTAGTATATCTATATTACTTACAGTACTATCAAGATGGTGAAATTCATCGCAGCGTTTGCGTTGCAGAAATGGAATAGGAATAGTGTCTAATATCGATGATGGTAGCATCCATTTTGAAAGCAAACTTAACGATGCTCCATCAGTAGGTTGTTTACAGTTTACTGGAGATGTAAAAGAGAACTTTGTCGTACAGTATTTTTGCTTTCGACATGTAAAAACAAGCGCGTTCATATCGATTGCATCTACTCGTCAATGTATTCTACAGTGCAGTTAATTGAACGTGCTTGTTAAGTCATTTGGTAATACAGTCATTATCCTCAACTATTAGGGCATCACACAATGCAGTATCCATTCTAAAGCATGCTTGCAATATCAGAACTAGCCTCTCATGCATTTTTTCCTCTGATTTTACATTAATTAGACATCTGATCATTTGAAATTTAAGACGATAAAATGATGCGTTGGTGATAGCGAATCCTATCGTAAAGCATACAAAGGGTTAAAGCACTTTATCGTTGAGCTATATCTACTATAACTGTCTTGCTTGAAAGTTAACATGTCAAGACAAGCTGACATTATACTGGCAAGACGCCAAAAGGACATCGATAAACTTGTCCAAGGGTAGAAAAATGAAAGCATTCCATAACTGCGTATTGCTTTTTACAGAGCAATGTAGAGTACACTTGATGTTACTGTACAATTCAGTTTGAAAGAAGAAGAAAGCAATCCATGTCTTGATTGATTGATACAATAACCTAGTTTCACTCTCTGGTGAACTAGAAATGGAACATTTGTAGGCAAAAAGAGGAAAAAAAATAAAAAACTGCTGGACCTTCTGTGTTGCACGCAAACGAATGTCCACAAGCTGATGCCCAAAATGCCTGGCTAGTCGATGCATCACAACACAAACCCTTCAATATGGATAAGTATTTATTCTCCCATCTATACTAATCTACAATCATTTACCTGCAAAGTTTATCTCTTCCGGCTGTTTGAGCTGCATATTTGACGTAGAATTCTGCATAAGACATGATGGATTACAATCTGCTGCTACGAGGAGTGTGGCGGAGATGGGAAAAAGGTCAAGCGAGAGCAATTTGCATTTGCTTACGGAGGTTGATCCAGGTCGACCGTCGACTACGTCCAGCATATCGACTGGAGCCTGACTTGATACGTTCCAGTAGCACGCCAATATTGATACAGAGGTCAAGCTGATGGTATTACTCTACCGTATCGTATTCATCGTCGTACATTCGACTCTACCCTCAGCTCGACACTAACTGCCCCGTTGCTTACCAAGCGCCATACTGCCACACTATCAAGCGCAACGAGTCTATGAAAGCGATCTTCATCCACTTGCATCATCGGGCCCATTGCATCTATCCCATCCGTCCGTACTCGTATCATTGTAGCAGAAAAGCCCCTACAGTACTGTACTGTACAGTACAGTACAGTACAGTAAGCGTGAACAGGTAGAGGTACAGTACTTTGTACTGTACTGTTGTTGTGGGTAGGTGTGGCATAGGCGTGGCTGGTAGTCGATGTCCAAGTCCGAGCGTCCGTATACGGAGCGGTCTCATTCTGTACAGTACAGTGTACGCACGGTAGATACAATGCTAGCTAGATACTGTACACTGAACAATAGAGCGAATAATAGTACAAGTTTAAGACAAAAACCCCCTACAAGTGCACATTCGCCATGAACATTCAAAATAGGTATACAGTACACTGTACTGTATGCTGTAATACTGTAGAACTACGTACTGTACATGTACACTGTAATACTGTACTGTACAACTGTACAGTAGGCCCAGCCATAATAACCCCGATTACTCAGATACTCAGCGTAAATAGCTTAAACGATGATACATTATTTGTACAGTACTGCATATTGAACATTCTATCTAAAAGCTAATGAAACAGCGAGCGTAATTAATATCCAACACTATCTGCAACAATAAGGTGGCCTGACTGTACTGTACTGTACCTGTGTGGAAATCCCTTCCACAGGAAGGATTTCGCTGCCAAATTGCATAGTTTGACGGCTATCTCCTGCAACTGCAACATCTCTCAAACATTTTAAGCTACAGCGATGCAAATCCTGCCCTTCTCCAGCAGCATTCTGTGCCAAACTGTGTACATTGCCTATTCTATTGTGATGCCCAAATCTAGACCAGGTAGCTCATAAAACCTTTCATCCTTTCACAATGATATTCCTCGCTAAATTTCATTTTTTTACGAGTATAGGTTATAATCTGGCCAATGCCCGAATAACTATTCAAATTTGACCAATTTACCAGTAGCAATGATGACTACTGAATCTACCGAAGTACTGATGATGGTGTAAATAAAGGCCATAAATAGATAGGATTGAAATGTTAATTCCGGCCTTGGTTAACTTGGCAGTCTGTCCATAACTTTACGCAAGCACAGCATACTACTGTATAGCTGTAATACGTATATGGCATATATGACGTACAAATCACTCTAGCGAAAAATGCCAGTTTACTTCAAGATTAATTAAACGAATCTTCAGTATGAAAACCGCATCATTCCAAATGCTTTGAATGATGTAGTCACTAATACAATTACAATATTCCAATTTGGAAATCTACAAAAAAATTTCAGACATTCACTAATTTCGGAACTTGCGTGTAGAATAGGTGGAATATATATATATACAGTAGTATATTGAAATATTTAATGAACATTACAGCAACACAGCACTATAGTGCGTATATAACTTAGAAGTGAATTAGACACCTGGCGATTACTTTAACTAACTTCAGAAAATACAAAATCTCGCTATAAACGATCATCTTTCCTGAGTACGTACATTAGCTATTCGAAACGCGTAAATAGGAAAATTCAAAACCTTGACTTCATGACGTATCGAAATATCCACAAAATGACTAAGTTATCTGTTAGAAATATACGAAGAATCTGATACAGATCCAACGGCCTAGCGATAACAAAACTTTTAAAAAGGCTTTTACAAGGATTTATAGTCAGTAAGATTTTTTATTGTCCTATTCTACTTTTACAAGTTACAAAAATGAGACAATCAAATATTACAGATAGTAGAAATTTGAATCTTTAATTGAAGAATAGAGGTCATAAATTAATAAACTATTTGTAAAAAATTGACTTCTATTAACTCAAGATGGGCGTTACATTTAAGATGTACGTATGTACTGAGAACTGGTCGTATGTTATACGTTGCATAGCCACTTTTCCCATTGAGAAATCATTGACACTTTCGATTTTTCAGTTAGGAAAAATGTATCATCTTTAATTATAAATTTTGTCTTACGTGTAGATTATAGTGATGTAAATTTTGAATAAAATGTTTATAAATCAAAATGTTGCTATATATTAATTAGAATGGCTAATATGACGATCATTTTTGACCAATATAAATTATCTATAGATAACGTATATTTCAATATTCATTTAATAATCGTTTCGTAAGTTGGAGCCAATGCTCCTTTTTTTTTTATCTCTTCTTGCTATATTTATTCCCAACAATCGCTGCGGTAGCATCTAACGATGGCAAACTGGAGATTTTTTCTCTTGATTTCATGCTTAGTTGTAGGCTAGGATAGTTTGGCTATAGAAAGAATTGATAGAAAATACAACTAAATATTTTTGTGTAAAAAGAAAGAGTGTCAAAACGAAACAAAGTCCACAGAATTCTATCGTTTTCTTTACAATCATACTTGCTATCATTTAGAATCAATGATATTTTTGTAGATTTTTTAGTCAAGAAATAAGAATGCATTTGAGCAGAGGTACTACTTTAAAAATGTTTATAGGGCAGAATTTTATGAATGCTATCCAGCCTATGTGGACTACTTAGTTTTATAATCACAACTTAAAACTAAAATCATTCTTAATTACAGTATAAATCCAATGCAATTTCTTATTGTAACTTTAATTGATAGTCATTTGATAATAGAAATATTTATGACTATATCTTGAAGCATATTCCACTTAACTATGAAGTCATTAATTAAAGGGTGTGAAAAAGCTTTCTACTAACCAGTTTGATCGTCGTTTGGTCAATCAAGATGGGCTGTTGTTCTGCAAAGACCCTATTGTAATTGTCTTCCCTATTCAAAAGCTCCATCCTGAATTTCTGAATTTCCCTCTTTAGTTTGGCTATTTCATTTTCGTACTGTATAGATAAAAGAAATTGAAGCATATATCAATTAGCGTTGTTTGGTTTGTTACATAATTAATTAACATCATTAACTTGATAATGGGTTAAACTGAACCACTGAAATCATTTTGGTGTTTTCTAACTATTTCTAGTTTGAAAAAGCTTTCAAGCAAGCTCCTCAGATTGAAAGATATTTTTTCTTCATATTATAATATGTAGTGATTTAAAGTTAAAGAAAATTGAGCTAAAAATTTTTAAGGTACACCATCTTAGGCGATGGAGAGATAGAGAAGACCTGGACCCCCGCGAAAAATAATAACAAAAAGATAATGGACCAATCGCGAATCGCGCATACATTATTGCATAAATATATATAGAGAATTTCAGAGTCGAAACGATATATATATTTCTTTGCGCTCGCGCGGCGTATATATCCGATTTTTAGTGTTTCATTTTTTATTTCCTTTTATTATCTTTTTGTTATTATTTTTCGCGGGGGTCCAGGTCTTCTCTATCTATGGAGCAGAGTGACTTAAAGCTTGAAAGTTTCTAAATATGCACCTTCAATTTTTTTTAATCTATATCATACTAAACAGTAAATTAAAGCGGTAAAACGGTCTAGACTGAAAATCCTTAAAATGTTCTCCTTAAAAAATTTTAGACTCTACGATTATATTGTACAACATACTAGACTAAAGCAACATTTTAAAAAATTTTCTGGAATACATCTTTGAATACTTTAATGTTCTATATCCTATTAGACAACAGACTATATCGATAAAATACTACCTAAAGGTTTTTAAAAGTACTATTTGAAGGGTCATTTTTTACTGCGATTATGATATTAAATAAAGTACACTAGAGCAAGAAATTATGACTAAAAAAGTTTCATACAAATGCTCATCCCTTTACAAAGTTTTACTTTGCTGTATAAAGTTGGAACAACAGTAGACTAATTCAGGGAGAAAAAATTGTAACAAGCGTACAGTTATATGGTTATCATGTTCTAGGATGGCTAACAAATATTAGCGTTAAAGATGCTCCAAAATTATCAAATAGCAAGTCGAAACTCATTCAATATGACTTATGACAAGTGACTTACCTTCTGCGTAACTCGATATACCTCTGATTTAGGTGAAATTCGATTTTTATCTTCTAGCTTACGCTTTAATGTTTTAATATCAGCTTCAAGTTTTTTCACCTTATTTTGATTGGCTTCTTTACTTTGTCTTACTTCTGTAATATTAATTAATAGAGTAATGGTAAGTTTTAGCTGATCTACACTGATTAACTTGCAATCGATTCAACTAAAAGGTATTGGTAAACATTACATTCACAACTTGATTAGTAAAACCACAGTACATTATAATCTAAATGAATATTTTACGAGGCATCGAACCGTTTAATTCCTTGGTCAATGATTCTATCTGTTGGGTTGTATCTTTACTTGAATCTTTTAAATTTTCGGTTAAATCATGTATTCTATTTTTGGCTTTCTTCAGCTCTTGCTTTAAATCTTCAATTTCTTGATTAAGTTTAATATCAATATCGTCACGTTCGCTGCTTAATTCGCCAATATCTTTATTCATTTTTTGAATGAGTTTATTACGTTCTTCCCTCAACGATTTAACTTCAAAGTTTAAAGATTCATTATCTCGCACTAGTTGATTTCTTTGGTCAATAAATGATAAATCTTTTTTATTTAAAGCCTCATCTCGCTCCAGTAATTGTTGCGAATATTCTTCATGGAGTTGCTGTAATTCACTCTGATGAGCTTGTTGCTGCTGAATATTATCATTTTCTAACTTACTGATTCTTGTTTTAGCATCAGCAATCACAATAGCAATTTCTTTCTCGTAGGCCTCTTTGACAGCTTCGACTTCCAACTCCTTTTCGCGATTTTTTGTAAATAATAAGTGGACCACTTTGGTTAATTCCGCTACCTTTTTAGACAATCGAAATTGTAATTCTTCTTGACTCATTAAAGATTTTTGAGAAGCCATCATTAAGCTCCTTGTCAGCCTTTTTATTGAAATTAAATAAACAAATGTGATTAGGTAGAAAAATAAGACTCAAATTGAAGGCTAACTTGTATATCATTATGAGAGAAAGAGGAAACAATTCAACTTGAAGTTTAATCTGCCATTGCTTCCTTTTTCTTACTATATCTGACCATTAGTTTACAATGATCAATCGTAACACTCAACTCGAATAAAAAACTTTTAATCGAATCCTGACTGGTTTTGTTATTAATTTTCCGGTTTATTCCATTCACTGTTACTTTCTACTACATTACCGTTAAGAAATACTTCTATTAACAACACACTAATCCTAACATCCGAATAATATAAAATTTAACAGAATATCGATCGCACTACGTAGTTTAAATAAGAGAAAAAAAACTAAATTACCTATAGCTAGACCGATTTAATTTAGTTCACAATTACTTTAAGCGGCAAATAAAGTGAAGAAATCTAATTATTCTATATTGCGCTAATTTCAGCATTATTAAGATTCTAGCACTATTTCTATCTACTGTAAAAAATTTTCAACAATAATGAAAAAAGGCGAGAAAAAAATAATTTTGATTATTCTTACGACTTACTTGTACTCACCGACAATTGCGTGAAGTTTATTATCTTGTTATAGCGTTTAAATTAGCGTTAAAGTAGCTTTATCAGTTAAACCAATATTGTATTCACTATCCTCTTTGAGTAATTTTAAACTAATAAGCATTAAAAGCAAGCTTAGATATCTTGATTTTCTTCTTCATAAATTATCGTTAACGCCTGGTGGATACCATTAATTAATTATCAAAGGTAGAATATATCAGCAGTGTCTATTCCATTTTGAATTACTTAAATTAAATGCTCAATGCTATCATAATCTTAGTAAAATGGGTCATCAAGTAATGTACGTCTAATTTAGAAGTAATTATTCAAGTTAATGAGCGTTCGGTCTAGATCAATTTCCTACTACAAAAAATAGCTGCAAATAACCAAAAGATTACATTAATGTCAAGGCAAAGAATAATGTGGATCAAAGCGAGATTGTTGTAGTTTGATTATTGCTCAAGAGATCAATAGTATTTGCCTTGTTTCTAAGATCCAAAACAAAGTTGCACTAATGTAATACAGATGTGATTTATTATTTGATCTATTCTTTCTATTGTAATGCAATCAATGGCTTGTTACCATGGATAACCATGGACTAATTCATATTCCTATACGGTTTTCCATATTGCACTATTTATTCAATTCAAATTCAACAAACCATTTAATTGCTATTCAATTTTATTAATTAATGGATAAGAAGCTTTAGACAGTCTCTGGCATATTCTGCTCCGCAGTTATATGATAGGATTAAAGAATAAAAATTTAATTCTTACTAACGTCATTTTGCCACGTGATATGCGTAGTATCATTGCAATTAAACTATTTATTTTAGTTCGGTGTAATAACTTTGATGGATTGCGCGAAAGATTTTAGTTCCTTTGACGGGTTTAAACGACATTTTATCAGTCTTGATATAACGTCGCTAATATTAGATACAATTTCGATGTTAATAGCTACTCTGAATCGATCCAATGACATCAAGTTTACTGTTTTATACAAAATACAATCTTCTATACATTACCGTAATGCTGCTCTACGCGCATACTAGATAAAAATTTCAAATGAAAATTAATAAGTAAAAATATACCATATCAGACCCTTTAGGCTAAAGGGCACTTGCAATCTTGTTAATTATAAACTATTATAGTATAAATCTTGCTGAGAGTTTAAGACACAGTAATTAAAACAAATACTAAAGCCTTTAATCTAGTTTATTCTATCTCTAGTAATTGATATCTGATGTATTAAGATCAAATTTGCTATTCACATGTAAATCAAATTGTACTATGCAGCTACTGTATCTTATAGCAAATATGTTAGTTTTTCATACGTTATTACTGTAGCTATAAATAAGAACGATACTATTCTTATGAGTAAGCTTGCTAATTAGCGACAGTCATAGTACAAGTCTTATAAAGAATTCTAGTATATAGTAATTAATACGAAATATATCAAGTTTAAGATCATTAAGCAAATTACATCCTCTATACTATGCCACCGCTGTATATTATAGGAGATATGTATTCCATTAACTGTAAAAAGCTATACACAGCTCGTAAAAGAAATTTCAATAGACGGAAACCGAAAACGTTGAAATTTCAAATTCAATTTAGTCAATTTAATGCAACAACACATGTGTACGTAATCAATATTAATTATGATGTGATGGCATCATATTCCATAATATACAGTATATATATAATCAAAGGTACCAGTATTTGGTTTGCAGTTTATGCAAATCAAATATATGCTGCCGCTGTATTTTGCATGCATATTCCTATTAACTGTCAATAATCGCAACGTAATCCAATTTTATGATTTTATATCACTAGAATAGTATAAATTATCTTATGAGACTGTAGAAACTTGATAGGGCTGTACACTTGTTTGTCTTTCAGGCTGCTTTAGTGTACGTTGCAGATAATATTAAATCCTTGGAAAATTCACTGTTAAAGCCACTGCGAGGATATTTGTTCTATAACTACTTTCTAAGACTTAGCCTAGAATGGCAATAAATTCTTGAATACATTTAAAGGTTAATTCTTGATCGTAGTAAATTCTAGCTCACCATTAATATGGTCTGAATTCCGGATACTACTTAAAAAAATTAATCTCTTCACCTACCATGGAACCCAAGGGAGTTACAGCCTTGCTCATTATCTTTCTACTCATATATAAGGAAGGCAATCCATATTATATTGGCTGGAAAATAACTCTTTCTGTAGTTAAATTCTTTTATACAAAAATGAAAACGTTGATAACTTCATTTATCGCACAAGCATAACAGTGAGATATTAAACTGATAATTACCGTTAAATTTTAAAAATTATAAAAGTAAATATTACTAATTAATTACTCTGGTTATTACTCTAGCTAGGCATTGTTATACAGTAAATCCTGAATAAATATGAAATTAATGTGAAATATTTATCGAAATTTGTATTGCCATCATTATTGAACAACAGCTCGCAGTATAGTCGATGTTTGGCAGTAAACTGGTCAATACAATTTTCATGGTACTGTACATTTGTTTCAAGGATTTCGTGATTACAATAAATAATATATTTAATAAAATTTTATGCATCCTTCAATCCATCATTGGGTAATAGATGTAGATTACTTATCACTAGTGGTATTCTATCATTATGAAGTATTTACATCTATAAATTAGTTCTTTGAAGTTTTAAAGCTTGGGTTTTACAACCTCTTAGGTTCGCAATCGCCTAACTCAAAATCTGAGTAAATCCCTAACTTGATACAAGATCATACAGTAATTAGCTGAATCTACTACAGAAGTGTTTTTTATATGTTTTTAGTAATGAGTTTACTTCGTGAGTAAGATTTATAACTGATATTTATTATTAACGATATTCCAAAGCATCGATAGGTGTAGTTACACCTAGATCTGATTACAATTTATACTTCGCGCTACAATTAGCAAATTATTAGTCAGCCTTTTACAATCTTGTCGCCTACAGTATTACAAGCACTATCATGCAGTTATCATGTATGTACATACGAGTATAGTGTTTAATTCTTTTCATGTATTTAAGTGCAACATATATCGTAGCTAATCTATCACTATTTATATATATTCCATAGTGAATCTAACTAATTGTATAACATTTTTGAATCTATTTTGTTAATTAGCTGTCAATCAGAGTTATAGATGGTAGTGTTTGCGCCCTGTCACCTTGTTTGTATAGACATGCCACATATATTGATGGTTTTAATGGCACCTATACCTACACTTGTCCACAAGACTGGACTGGAAATCGTTACTATCAAGGTAAGACTGGACTGGAAATCGTTGCTATCAAGGTAACGCTCTAACAGTTAATATTCAAGCCAAATAATTACGAGTTCTAAGACAATATCACTATCATTAATGATGTATTTGAATAAGATATTGGTATCGATATCATTTATTTATAAATACGTTGGCTTTACCGTCACCTGCTGTTCGATAATAGGTGAATTTTAAATAATTTTAGGATAAAATCATCACAGAATATGGTAGTATTTTATTGGTTTTATCCCATCTTTTGCCAATAAATTGATAGATTTAAATAGTTGCCAGAGTAGTCCGTGTCAGAATCATGGAACATGCATCAATAGATGGCCCTAATGGATGGATATAGCTGCCATTACCCACCAGACTGGACGGGAAACTACTGCTATCAAGGTAACCTTGCGTTGGCTATCGATTTTTTTGTACCAAGGTTAACATACTAATGGTGTAACTGCATCTATGACAATAGTCTAATATTGCAATCACTTTCAGTTATTATATTATAAAAATTGATCTTCTATTTTAATAATTTTCCCTATATTTTATTTATCTAAGTTTGCTCAATTATGGTGATGCAATCATCATAGATTGTATGTACTGTTCGTTGTACCACTAGAGCATTAGTACTGTCCTGTATGGCCATTGGCCAATACTGGTAAATTGACTGCTACTGTGAATTTAATAGTCCACAGTGTACAGTACTGCTACTAGCATGGATCATACTGTAGACTACAGTACAGTACTGTACATTCAGTTCAGTAGTCTATGATCCATGGTAGTAGTAGTCATTGATCGGTCTCTCCGTCTGTATACTGTAGAACAGTCTAACTACTGTACTTAGCTGTCAGCTAGCAGTAAATTTACTGTAGATGGTTTATGCGGTACTGTACGGTATTGTACAATATACAAGTGCAGCAGTGGTAAAGGGGCACAGCAGAGCCTTGGTCGAAAATTGAACCTTCCGATTCGTCAAACTCCAAATTCAACATAGAAAATATTTACAAGAGTGATTTGCTGCTATACAGTTTCAAAAATGGCTACAGAAGTTGATATCGATGATTCATTTTATAGGTAATAAATATTATCATGCATGGGTAAGAGATACAGTAGTTAAAGATACCTTACCGGTACAGTAGCAAGACCCTTCAAGCTCAATTATGGCATTCATAACGAACATCGCTGTGCAGTGATGCTTCAAAAGATGTTCAAGAAGAACACATCATTTCAATGATAGACTAGTTAGAACGATTTAATTTTACAGTAACAGTGAATAATTCAATACAGGCTATATATTATACGTGGTAGACCATGTCATTTTACTGATGTCAATGCTGTAGGAATAGCTATTACTATATACGGTGTAAACCATTGACAGGTGTAAGTACTACTGTGCTCATTTTTCTCTATTTTGATAATGACAGTCGACAAAGGTACATGTTGGGCGATCTTGCTATGCGCCAACTATCGAAGGCTAAGGTATTTCTTAGCGGTTTAGGAGGCCTTGGCGTTGAAATAGGTATAGCTTATGATGATAGTGTAAAATACTCGATCTATCATGACATTTCCTTGACTTAAGCATTCATTCTTGTTAATTATAATTAACTATTATCAAAACATCATGGTGTCCTCTATGATATCGAAGCAAAAAATGTAACGTTGGCCGGTGTTAAGGTAAATTATTCCATAGCAATGAATTGCCGCATACCGTAATGTATCAGTCTTTGTAAAGAATGAAAGTCTTGCAGCCATAGGCAACTATTCTCTGCCATTTTAGCCACAAGTATTATCCTTATGTGCAGAGTTACTATACTACTGTTTCCCTTTTTGGGAAGTAGTCTGATGGATAATTCTAAATGATTTGATACTACGGCTAAATCGTAACATCTAAATGTGGCAGGGTCTAACACTTCACGATGTCAAAAACGCTTCTGTCTATGATCTTGGAACCCAATTCTATTTAAATACCGAAAACATTACAAAAATTGAGAATAGGTACGGTTTACTTATGTGGAGTCAATATATCGATAATGATTAATTAAATTAATTCAACTAATTGACTAATTTGCTAGATACTCGTAAACGTAAATTCTTATCATACACTTATGTTGGATACAGAGCTAATAAGTTGTCATTTATTTTTATAATTAATTAATCATATCAAAAGTTATCAATATTCTATTCGTAAGTTGTTTTATGTCTTTCATTCGCACTGCCATCTTCTATTTTACAGAGCGAAGGCAAGTTTTCAAAGCATCTCTCAACTTAATCCACATGTTGTAGTGGATGTTTCAACTACTCCATTCAATTGCGAAAGTGACCTATCGTTCTTATTACAATATCAATGTGTCGTTTTAACTGAAAGTCCGTTAGAGTTACAAGTTGTCGTAGATCAGTTTTGTCGATCGCAAGATCCACCTATTGCTGTAAGTATTGAGATATTCTACAGTTATCAAAAAATGAAATGGTGCTTCTAGCTGATAATATTTATTCTTAAATTAAATTATCTTGCATATAACTCGTCATTACTCCTCGCTTGCACAAATCAATTTTGAAATGCTAATGCATCTCTTTATTAGTTTATTTCAGCTGATGTATTTGGATTATTCTCCTTCTTATTTTGTGATTTTGGTGAGAGTTTTCAAGTTATTGATGGAGATGGAGAAGAGCCTGAAGAAATACTTCTATCCAACGTATCTAAAGTAGGGTTACTGATGACACTGAGATCTTATATCGTCAAATATACTATAATGCAATAATTTTACTTAAATTATTTAAATTAGGATAATCCTGCGGTAGTGAAGACAATATATGGCGTGCGTCATGGTCTAACAACTGGAGATTACGTAAAATTTCGTGAAATTAAAGGAATGACTGCATTAAATAATAGAATTGAACAAATAACAGGTATTAGTCGGCAGTAATAATGTTAGTACTGTAGCATGGGTAAGTTCTCAAAATTTTTCTCGATTCTTGCTCTTTGTAGTGATCAGTCCGGACGAATTTACCATTTGTGATACAACCTCCGACCAATTTGGGTCGTATGCCAACGGTGGTACATGTGTTCGCGTTAAGATACCGTTTAATGTGCAATTTGTAAGATTTAAGCAGTCGGCCATCTGAATGGATGTTTTTAACTTAGTCACGTTTGGATATCCTCACATTTTTGCTTTTCTATTTTAAATTTTGCTATAAAAGGAGGATCTATCAACGCAATTTAATAAACCTGATATTGCAATGACAGATTTTAGCAAGCCTGAGGTTCGTGATTCGAGAAACGAGGCCATCAATTTTGACTGGCAGCACTTATTTTAGAGCATTCTATATTGTTTAGGTAAATTTGCAAAGTATAATTGCTTTAAGAGCCTTACATACCTTCAACGATGGCTATAAGCGAATGCCAAGGATAAGGTTTAACTGCAATGAATTTATGAATTATCTTTATCTAGCTATTGTTAATTTGCGTGTAGGCTTGCAATGACGTTTTTGTATTAGCGAACTATTAGTTACTGTTTCTAAGGTTATTCATTAGTTGAAGTAAGGACCGTCATTCTAACATGAAGTAGCTTGATGAATTGGTTTAGATTTCAGTTTAAAAATGGGTGTTATCAATTTAAATCTATAAAGGGACACTAAAGATGCTGAGCAAGTCATTAACATAGCACTGTCAATAATTGATAGCATGATTACAAAGGTATCATTTATATGCATGGTGATTGATATTTATTTGATATGTAGTCAAATTGATGGAGAGGTTAATTATAATTGAAGATCGTTGAATTTACCTTTAGGTTGATAAATTAGATGTTGATATAGTTACACAGTTGGCGTACACTTGCCAGGGATGTTTTCAGCCATTAGTTGCAACCATGGGCGGCATTGTTGGCCAAGAAGTTCTTATTGCGCTAACTAATAAATACGCACCTATAAAACAATGGGTACAACGTTTGTAACCATAAAGTCATTTTTTGCGGTATCTTCAAAACCTTATTGTTAAACTTATCACGCAGTTGTGCCTAGAAACTCAAAGTTTATTTGATGGAAGCAAAGACAATTCTATGTTTTTACCAAGGTATTATTGTAAACTTTTAATTTTAAAGTAGCAAAAAATGTATTTAAGGTTTAATGAATGTTAATCCATTGCTTACTTTTAGAAATGATCGATATGATGGACTACGAATATGTATTGGAAATGATATTTGCGAGCGCTTGTCTAAGTTGAGGCTGTTTATGGTAAATGAGTATGACCTAATTCTTTAACTTAATAGTGCTATAGTACGTTTACACGATATATATTTGTAGCGTAGTAGTTATTGACTTTCATGCCTGTAAATGTATACGACATCCTATATATCTTTTACAGGTTGGGTGTGGAGCAATTGGATGTGAAATGTTAAAGAACTGTGCACTAACAGGGATTGCTACTTCCGTAGATGGGCTAATGACAATAACTGATCATGATCTTATAGAAAAATCGAATCTAAATCGGCAATTTTTATTTAGAGAATCCCATATTCAGGTAGTTTAAATCACAATACAGTATGTTTCAGACTTCAGCTTAAGTACTTATATTAAATTAAGCAAACATGCGTATTATTTAGAAATCGAAGGCAGTTTGTTCTGCAGAGGTTACTCGAGTAATCAATCCAGGTTTGTCGTAAAGGACTCTGAATCATTTTGTGATATTTTATATTGCCGAAAATATCTGACCTAGAGTTTTACGCTTTCTAAAACTCAGATATTCATATCGAGGCTCAGCAATTTCGAGGTACAATCCGTGAATTTGCGATTAAAATATGGCTGTCTATATGGCTATTTTTCTAAGTGTGGCTAAAGTTTATAACATTTCTAATTAATATTTTTTTACTGTAGTTGGTCCTAGTACTGAAACGAGTGTTCACTGTGATTCATTTTTTAAAACGTTACACGTCGTTGTAAATGCTCTTGATAATGTTGAAGCTAGACGATACATGGATGGGTAAGATTTGTAGTTCTGGCGCTTTATTACTATTACAATGTTATGATTGTAGAAGTTAGTAATTACTGATTCCTGCTAAACTAATAGCCGTTGTGTAAGTAATCAGCGACCTCTACTAGATTCTGGAACGACTGGCCCTAAAGGGCATGTCCAGGTAATTTTTATAGTTAAATAAGTCTAAGTATATTTATTTAATACTTTATGATCTTATCTGAGCTGATACTAAAACTATTATAAATTTGTTCAGTATTTCATAATTGTCTGTACACTGTTAAGTTTTGATTGTTTTTCGATTCATGAAGGTTATCTTACCATTTGAAACAGAGACTTACTCCGATCAGGTTACTGCAAGTTTTTGATTGATTAATTAATTTGAATTCGATGCTAATATCATGATGAAACTAATTCGTTGCGGTTATGGTATTATGTTATGTCTCTAGCGTGATGCAAATGATGAGACTGTTATTCCTTATTGTACCTTAAAATCTTTCCCAGCACGTATTGAACATACTATTCAATGGGCAAGAGATAAGGTTAACCTGTTTAAGATAAAATTTATCACTTTGGTAATTATCTTCCGTCAATTTATTAATCTCTATTTTACTAAAAACATGCGCTTATACAGTTTGAATCTTTTATGGTACATAAACCTTCTACTTATTCAAAATTTTGGTCAATTCATGGTCAACCAAATGAAATTATAGAGGTAATGTATGTTAACATCCATGTTAAATACGAATGAACTCCAAAGCCATTTACATGACCTGAAAACGAACCCAATATTGCTATTACCTCGTTATATGTGCAAGTATGTATTAAACCGCTACTACTCATTCTTAACAGAAACTTGAGAGAAACCAAAGTTTACAAGGGATCGTAGTAGTCGCGAAGCTGTTAAATAACAGGCTCCATACTTGGGAAGATTGTATCAGAATTGCCAGAATTAAATTCGAAAAGTATTTCAATCATAAGGTAAAGTATTTATATGGGTACCGGAGTTAATCTGGGCCTAGTTCCTTGTACGTCTTTGAGTTTAATTGTTTCTACTATTTTAGGCTCGTCAGTTGTTAGATGCGTTCCCACTAAGTGCAACCCTTTCTGATGGATGTAAGATATGATCCTTTATGCAAGAAACACACAATACAACTTTGTTACTCGAGTTCTTCATAAGCAATTTGTATTAATATATTTTATTTTCGTACGTGTAGCATTATTTTGGAGTTCTCCTAAACGTCCTCCCGCTCCTCTACAATTTGATGTACATAACGAAACGTGAGTAATAAATTAGAAGCTATTTTGCAATTGTTCGTCTAATAAATGTACATTATTGTAGTCATATAGCATTTATTGAATCAACGGCTAGATTACTTGCAGATGTTTATGGCTTATCGTATAATCAACAGGTAATGAATATGTATAGGTGCATCCTGCTGTAGATCTTTTTGAGCTCTATATTTTTGCAGTTGCTGTTAATAATTTCACTTACTCTTGATGAACTTATAATTAATAGCTAGCGCGGATATCTATTCCTGCTATCGTTGCTGACACTGTTATTCCTGTATATACCAAATCAAATAAGGTTAGCATTAGATCGCTATAATGAGTACAGTTTATAAATATTCTTTTGTGCTGATATCAAAAGTAAAGGTATATTTTGGAATTTGTCTAGGAAATTGTTGTTGATGAATCGGTGAAGAAAGAGGAAATAACAAAAGTGGAGACGAAAATTGAAAAATATATTCATGATGTTGTCAGTTTTATAAAGAGCTCAGGATCCACTGAGAATCGTTCGTATTTTGTTAATTTTACGCTATTACGCACAACTATGAAATATTTTATGTTCATGATATTATTCTCTTTTGATTATAATTATACATCGTTTCAGCTTCCGTAATACCTTCGCTGCATGTTCATCCATTTGAAAAAGACGATGACGGAAATGGACATATTGACTTTATTACAGCAGCTTCTGTTAGTATCATCTCATGAAATTTACGATTTCAGTTGATGTACTACTATGCTTATAATTGTGCCTAATGACTTAACGCTATATCATTAATGGATAGTTTAGTATTTATAATATAGTCTATAAGTATTTCCACACTGTAGTTTTAAGAGAATAGTAATCTTGTCTGAAATTGTGATTTTGTGAAAATACAAATTGCTTCCTCAACTAAATTTATTTCGAAGTACTTTCAAGTAGCTTTATACGTATGCATAAAATCTGTATAAATTTTTATATTTGTTTAAAGCTATTTTAAATCTCTTAAAGAATCTTCGGGCTATGATGTATGGAATTGAAACTGTTGATAGACTAAAAACAAAAAGAATTGCTGGAAAGATAGTGCCCGCTATTGCTACGACAACTGCTACCGTTGCTGGTTTAGTAAGCAATTATATGGATCGATAATTTGTAAATCAATTAATTGAAAAAGATATGATACCGTCACAACCAGCTTCGTGACAAAGATAACGTAAAATAAATCTCTAAATTACTATAGTCTCTGGGATTCAGTATCCCTTAACTAACTCACAAGAATTTAGACGCTTTTGTTTCTACGTTAAACAACAATAGAACTCTCTTATATTCAACTATCTGCCGAGCTTAAATACCCTTCGGCAGCTGCTATCATGTATGAGTTATAACAGTTCATGAATTTAGTTCATATTGGATAGCTAAATTAATACAAAAATTAGTCATAATCTTAGACATGTACTGAACGATTCTAGATAATTAGATTACAGTATGTCCATACACAGAATTATTTATAGTATCATCGATAATTAAATGTCTTCAGGATATTCATCACAAGCGTTACAAGACATAAGACTATAATCAATTAGCATTAGTTACCTTATGAGAATTCTTACTACAGTACAACATAATTTACTGTAACAAAATAATAGCTACCGTAGTCCTTACTGTAAGTCATTATTAGTTATCTCCATATATATATATGTTAACCACTAAATTTAGTCATTTACTCTTCACGGTGGTTCGTACCGTGACAGATACCGATAACTAATTCATGTTAATGCTTAGGTTACGGCTGAATTAATCAAGATTGTAAGTCAATTACCTCTAAATGGCTATCGAAACGCGTTTATCAATTTGGCTATACCATTGGTACTCCTATCAGAACCTGGACCTGCAAATAAAACAGCTATTAAGTAACTATTATAAATAATAGTTTTATATCATTAAGAAAATTTTAAAATCTTTAGTTAACGAAATGCAGATCATAAATGGATAATAAATATTCTAACGACTTGATAGTGACGATATTTCGTATACGTCGTGGGACCGATGGGATGTTGTAGGAGATGAATCTTTTACATTGTCACAGTTTATACAGTGGTTCAAGGTAATCTATGTAAATTATATAAAATTACTAAACTCATTATTAAGATGGTTTGTTCCTTTTAGGATCATTATAAACTTACTGCTACGGCGGTCATGCATGGAGTTAAGATCATTTATATGGCCGTGATGCCTGGGCATGCTAAAAAAAGGGATCAAACGTAAGATATGAATTTAGAACACTTTCTTTACGCAAAATTGATTTTAGATTGCGTGCAATATAGCGATTTTGTTTTTTTAACATGTATGTTATTCCTTCTAGGATGAAGAAATTATTAAAGTTGCAAAGTAGCGTAAAAAGTGTCGAGTTAACTGTTTCGTTTGAAGACAAGTATGGCGATTCCGTGACTACTCCTCCAATACGTTATAGTTTAAGTTAGATGGGTGCTTTTCAAAGGCCAAAACTTTCTTTGATCAGATTCATTAAAATATTATTTTATGACATGTTAATAAGTATTTGTGCAAATGGAGAGAAGTGGTATGTTCTGTCAGAACCCTGCATGTCTAAAATTTTGTAAATAAAGATTTAAGTATATGTCTGTTATATTTTTATTTTGCGTACATTTAAATGTACTAATATATTGCTACTTCTGTTATAGAATTACAACAGCTTTAATTTTACCTATGCCACATTGCACCCTTAAATAGGTCTAACAAAGAAGAATTAAAAGCAGCACTTCATTCACTTCGAAATTTTATGGTTTTCTTTCGTTCTTTACATAGTAATCAACAGACTTTACTTATCATACAGATCAATGATACCATAAACGAACATAAATATTTCGGTGGATTCACCCCCCTATTCACAGATTTAGATCATTTACTTCTTTAAGCGAGATACAATCGTGCAAGGCATGAATTGATAATCTGTATTTGTTAGCGTCTGTATCTTTAAAATTTCTTTATCAAAATTAAAATAATTTTGCACAGTTCCACGTACAAAACCCATAAACACAATTGCTATCCGACGGAATAATTACTGTGCCTTGCAAGTTGCGATTTTCGTTTGTGATTGACTCTAAGCTAGACAATTTAGCAAACCAGTGGCGATAAAATTTATTTCCACATTTCCAGCAGTGACCTTTGGCTTTCATATCTTTAAGAATTTGCTGTGGTAAGGGGGAGTCACGGCAGTTAAAAGCAGCGACGATATCTAGTGAAACACAGAACTAATAATTCAAATATTGTCCTAGTATATAGTTGAGTAGTGGACTAAATAATGCATAGTGGGAGAGGTTAAACGTTATAATTAGATATTTGTGCCTCTTCTACTCACCTTCATTTAGTGCCCTAATACTTAATTCTACTAGCGGCAGTACCTTTTGCGATTTATTAGTTATAACGTCACCATCATTCGAAATTACGACCGCACGTTTATCTTGATCGTACAATTTAGATATGCATATATACAGTTAGAATGAAGTATTCACATCTGACTGATAGGAAAATACCTTCTTCCAAAGCTGGGGTTTACAATAATTTGTAATGTTGTAATCACTTATTTACAGCAAAAATAAAATTAAATTGAAGAATTTGCTTTTATTGTATGCGACTTACCGAGTACTATTTGCAACCTATCTTGAGTGTGTAGTTTTTCGTTACCACGAAGTGAGAAGTATTGAAGATTCTGTAGTTTGGCAATAGCTGCTGGTAGGTAGCTGAGCTGATTGTTATCGATAGTAATAACTGATAATGCTTTCATAGATGACATATCTGTTCCGAGGAGATAAAAAATATTTCCGTGACCGAGATTTAAGTTAATGGCAAAACTACAAATTTGAAATTTGCGCAACTTTGACCTTTTCTTGTATCCATTGGCTAGTAAAACTTACCATGAGGCAATTCGGTAATTTTGTTACCAGACACAGATAGATATTCTAATTTTGAAAGCATGATGATGCTGTTTGGTAGTCGTATCAAATCATTATATTCGGCAATTAAACAATCTAATTTATTACAATTTCCAAGTTCTTCCGGCAGTCTTCGTATTTGATTACTCGCTATATTTAAACTTTTTAATTGCTTAAGTTGGCCAATTTCTGTAATTCAATTAAGATATTGTGCACGTTGGGTTAGTCTATAACTTGTGTAAATTGTTTATTTATATGATTTCAATTTAATTTCATACTAAACATGTTTCATTAGCGTAATACTGCTATCGATAAGAATTATCGAGTTATAAATACAGTAGGTCGTTTTTCATTCTGATGATATCGTAGATTATATTATCACTATAATTAATAATAATATGGGTAGCAACTAGTCAATGATTACCTGACGGAAGATCATGCAATTTGTTTCTGTATAAGTTTAATCTTTGAAGTGAACCCATTTGCCCAATGTTAAGCGGTAAGCTTTGAAGTTGATTACAACTTACATCTAAAGTTTGTAGATTGCGAAGATTTCCAATTTCTGTAAGAGTAATACATAGGGTATTATATGCTGTATAATTTATTTATGGAGTCTTAAAAGTTTCTAATAAGTTCTATGAGAATTGATAATGCTTACAAACCGGAAGGTAAAGCTGTTAGATAGTTTAAGGGTAGATATCTGGAAAAGAGCCCAGTGTTATTATTGAGTTCAATAAACAAGTAACTTGAATGTTTAGCGAGTTGATATTACGGCGATTGTGGACTAATTCTTGCGATGATATTACAGTAAAATAATATTTTTGCTCATTACGTGAGGACGGAGGAGTTTACTCGCAGTAAAATATGAACAGTTTTAGCTTTTAGTGAGAAATACTTATGCAGCGGCAATAGTTAGAATTGAAAACAGAGAAGAAGCTTGACCAATTGTATATTATAAATTATTTAAAACATTATGGAATAATTTATTGCACTGTTTAGACTTACAATTGAACAAGTTGATGAAGTAAACCAATTCTAGGTGTCTGTATGAAATTCGGTAATAATTTATTGATCATATCATGCCATCAATTAGTAAAGGATCAAATGTATCTGGGTAAGCTAAAGATTATGAATTTACTTAGCATTATAAATGATCTTTTTAAAGGTCTTACCAATTCAGTTAGTTGATTACACTTAAGATACATGGTTTTGATTATATGAAAATGTTTTTCTTGATATATTGATAGGGGTAGTCGTTCTAAGGCACAATAGTTGAGTTCGACGGTTTCTGTTTAAGAATTAAGTGAGAGTATCACAAATAAAGTGAGAATCTAGTAAGGAGTTTCCGTGGGTAGTAGAACGAATTTACAATCGTATTATCGATTTTTAGTAGAATAGTACCGAGATGGCTAGCTCTTAGTAGCTCGATAAACTTTTTACAAGAGCACATAGATCTATACTGTCACCTGATGGTTCCATGTTTTGATTCTTTCTTTGACATTCTAGGTCAATCGATATGCGCAAGCTAATGACCGTTGATGTATTTCTATTCAAGACTATATGTAACAACGACTCTTCTATGATACCTGAAGAGATATTCTCTCCAATGACGTAAAAGGTCTAAAGATTTCAACTGATATTTAAAGATCTATTTTATGATTACTAATCTTATTAGTTAATCTGAGGTATGCAATCCTTTCATTATTTATTTCAGCTTATTAACTTTCTCGATAACGTAGTACTACAGTATATTATTGATTTCCAGTTGTATGCCGTATATTTGATGTTGACTCAAGATGGCTACCTATCATGATCTTTTCTCACTAAAGTTGATAAAGTATTCGACTAAAATTAATTAATAGGTATTTATCTAGAAATAGTAATCACGTGAGGAATAGGAAAATGTCATGCGCAAAGCTCATCACTATCTTCCAGCCGTATTGAATTCAGGCTGGAAAGACATTAGCGTAAATTAGACGGCCAGGCTAAAGACGTTGAATGTGGTAGTCAACCGATCTTCTTGGGGGATTATAGATTGTAGAATATCTTTGGTCTAATTTAAATTAATTTTATGCTTATTTACTGATACGGTGCATATTTTACAAGTTGTACTAGTGGTTGAGTTGTAAATAATGCATCTTTTAAACATTTCATATTCATCGTAGAGCTCTCTCTCTTTCTCTCTCTCTCTATATATATATATTAATTAGGAATCGTTATAAAGTTAGCATAGGACAATATCTGTGGCAATAATAGAAATAGCTTATGTGAGTTAACTATTAATAGAACTGATTGCATGGCTATCCTGACATCCTGACACATATGTTAGTGGCAAGTGGGTAACGCTTTTCAATATGGCTCCGAAACGGTTATGAACCGGTACTGCCAGAAATTCGCTACACTGTACATACTGTACTGTACAGTACACTGTATAGTATTCTCTCAACGGGTCACTAACCGGCCAGCAAACATTCCATTATAGTAAATACGCTCTATTAATCATTATGTTGAATGCTTATAAGTTTAGTATTAGTAATATGTAGACGAAATACTACATCATGAATATGTATAAAGTTCTATGGGTATTATATGCACAAAAGAAGTAGAGCTAATCTATACGTATCATGTAACACTGTCTACGCGATTAACTTAGTGAAATAGTCCTATCTTTAATATAATTCGAATTAGTAACGATAAATGCATTTATATTATAATTAGTGAAGGATATTATTTCATCGATTTATTAATAAGGACTGAGACATCATATGATCTTTGCATGATGAATTTTTTGTAGCATAAGTAATATTAGTGACAAAGAATACGATGGATATTAATATCATACATTACATGTATAGGTTTCATGTCAGCATTTTTTATAAATGCGGTAGCTTTCTGAAAGGTATCCAATGTACTGTACTGTAAGTAATGTCATTGTAGTGTGGATTAGAATTGATTCAAGAAGTTTTTCAACAATATGTCTGCAAAAATTTGAGAATCTTTGATAGAAATAATACTACACATGCAAGTACGGTATGTAGTAACGTCGTATGCATTCTAATCGCAGTTTTAGACAACGGGTATTGTATATGCCATGACTGTGTTAACGTGAGTAATCTATCGTCTAAGACTCGAATCTAAGTTTGGTTGATTAAAGAGTGCTTAGAGTTAGTTGCTTAGATAGTTAAGTCTACTTTAGAGGAAAGAATCCCGTTTAATTCTTGTGTTACAATCTCGGTTGTGACAAGAACGTACATTGCGTTTTCAACAGAAATGCACGAATAGGTAAGAGTTTATAAATATCCTCCTGAGATTATATTAAACTAGCAAATTGCTAATATTAGCAGTTAGATTGCTTCGTAGCGTAAAAGACAACATTCTGTTGCCGGAACGTTTAATCTGCAGTCAAGGCCGGATATGCTGGAGTAAAAACGAACCAAATCATTTAAATTGTTAAAGTATGCAAATCCGTCCTGAAATAAAGAAGAAAAAAATAATTAGAAACTTTTGGATAGTTATGAAGATAAATTTTAGTTTGTTATGTATATTCTTGTAAATTGCCATTATTCAGATGCTAGTGTTTGGAAATTATAGCTACTGAAGCTTATAAATGCGATAATAAATGTTTTAAATATGGGATGAAGTCTTAAAGTGTAATTAATGTAGCTTCTTTACGTATGCATATCAACGGTATAAGAGATTAATTTTAATTGTCACTATATTGTTGATTTCAGTGACAATTTATACGAGTATTTTCTGATAGATAGTGACTGTATGTGGACTTTTTTATATTAATAGTTACAAATTTTTTACATTTATTTTCCTCAACTAACCTTTTCTTTATCAAATATTTCATAGCGCTGGAAACGTTTTCGATAGGTAATTTCATAGTCAATAATGCTAGCATTGAGGCTAGCACGACATTCGGGATCGAAATTGGGTATAACTAATACACTTAGAATTAGGTGACCAAGATCAGTCTGGCTTTGTCGTATAACGAAAACGCCTCTGGTTTTGGCTTGATGGAGAAAAGATACGGTATCAGACCTACAATATAGACGTATGTTTGAAATGATGAGAACTGGTGCTAATTTAATAAATATTAATTAGTAGGCATTTTATACGGTATATACGTAATCATGGGATACCTACTATAATTGTTCACAAAGAAATTACAGAGGCAAGCAACAGGTTGTTTTAAGCTTACCAAGAGAAATCTAGTCTCAACCAACGTCTTGCTCCATCGTATAAAGATATATGGCTAAATTATAAATACAAAAACATTTGATAAAGATTTATAAAGGCACTGTAGTAACTGACTAGTTTATATTTATTTGATAAATATGCCAGAGCTATTAGATTGTTAATATCATTAGATTAAAGCATTTTTCACATGTAGGTTGATTTTTAATTTCATATTTTAATTATATGCGGAGTGATAAACAATTTGTCACCTGTGGTGTGGCAAGAACAAACGTTGTTATCAGACATAATGACTTCTCAAAAACCTTTACATTTATTGAAGGCACTGTAATATCCTATATTACTAACATGACGGTAACAGCATTGATTTAAATTAAGCCATCGCCTTTTATGATAATAAATTGCGTACCATGATCTCTAGAGCAACGGTAAGTTGCATCATTGTTATCATTTTAGATAGTTTAGAGATATATGTGCGTATCCGCGGTAAATGTCAACTCGAATGTTCTAAATTCTATTTTAGAAATAAAATATTTTGCTGATACCGATACTGCAAACGTGGTCTAAATTTCAGATAGCGCCCGTTCGATGTGATATTTTAGCAGTATGAATAATCATATTATTACCTTAGGAGAAGACTAACTTTTGAGTTCTTAAAAAGAGGTTAATGAGTTAATAAGTGTTTCAGTGATATTTTTTCATAATGATTTCATTAATAAATTAGCTTTATTCTATTTATTCAATAATTTGGATACGGGTAATAAAATTTTTTGGCTATCATCTATTATGATAAGGACACTAGGAGTCGCCGTAATCACACATTGTAATCTGTAGAATACTTGTATTGCTTGATATCACTGGATTAATAAATTTACTAACAGTAAAATCATAATTGGTTAAAGAACTTCTAATAGAAGAACTCATCAAATTCGATACAATGCTGGTAGCATAAATCCCGATATGTTATTAATTGACTGTGAGAAATAAATATTCGAAATCATACTGTCAACAAACTGAGTTACGAATTTAAGGAAGCACTATGTCAATTCTAATGTATTGCGCTGGTTAATTTGATCACGATTGTCATTTTTAGAGGACATTTCAGCGTTGAATTTGTATAAACATAAAGACTAGAGCCTTTCGCTTTTGATGTAGTTACTTAATCGATTCGCTACATAATCTTGCTTACTAGCAAACTACCTGAATTGTTGTCGTAGCTGATAGTAGGCTTTTCTATCATTCATTCGAAGCGATTTGATTAATTCGAGGAAATTTGGCGTTGAAGTTGAAATCATCCTTGTTGAGCGTTGACTTGACAGTTCTTGTTTTAAATTAAAGGCGTGTACTATATTCTCGTACTATTATTACTCTGTGAGTTAAAATTGAAGAGAAACCAAGTAATATTCTTGAAATAATCTTGCTTGGCAGTCAAGTTAGGGAATAGTTAAATGATTTGATGGGCGCAAATATCTTCTTGATTTAACAGAAAAAAAAGCAATGACGAGTTAAATGAAATCCAAAGTAATTGATAGGCTGATATAGTAATTATAATTATCGGTGGGCCATCAATTATTATCCTTGGTATCTAGTTATGCGAGCATAATTACTTCTGGTAGACTCAATTACGCCAATATGAATCATCAACCGTTTGTTATTTATTATTAACTGGTTAACAAAGGAGTATTCTGTCTATTTTAAAGATTACTAGACAACATACATATGCATATAGAAAAGCATAATACGTTGTTAGTAAAGCGAGTATCATCACGTGTCTAATTGAAGGCATTCATCGTCCACCCATACGAGAATAGGCTAAAATAATATTGTTATCACAACAGGCTATTAGCCGTTCTAAGTGCTTAGGGGGTATTTCATTAAATCTCCGTTATAAGAGTATATTTACTTCGATGAGTTAGAAAGAGATATACTTATGACTACACTTTGGTGAACAGTAGTCTATGGTAATAATTATATCATTAAATTTGTTTACGTATTAGTTGCTATAATGGAGTGATGATCATTGACCAGAGCGTAATGATTACCATAGTTTTAAATTTAGTCTAGTTGTAATTTTTTTAAACTTCGAAATGTGCGTTCTATGTTTCTACTTGGGTTTTGTATTACGGCTATTAGCCTATTACACCTATTGAGATTTCTTGTTTATGTATTGTGTGATTTACGTCATATTTTGCACAGCAACGAAGAGGAAGAAAGTCTAAACTAAAATTTTTTTAAATAATTAATATCGCATCGAATCTATAATAAACTCCGGCATAATTAATCAAGAAACTCATCATAATGATATACATAAACGAGATTCATGGAACTCGTAAAATATTTTTATCATTTCCTCATCTTATACCTACAACATTGGTGATTCCATTGCCTTAGCATTGCGAGAACGATAGATCTTGTGTTGGATATTAACTGGAGTACAGTCCAACTTATTAACTGAAGTTGAAAGTTGGGTTGTTCGCTTTGTTACAACACTTTTGAGCTAATAAATTAATGCAATGGTGAAAGTACTGTAATCTGTAGGATTACTTCAAAGACATAGTCTACAGAGGTGACTTTTTTTCTATTTACGATATAATATATCATTGCTTTTATTTCTAAACTACAGATACTGCTTTACTTAACTGTAGATAAAATCGAAGGTAAAAATCTATGCTGGCATCATTCGTAGAGTAGTACCTTCTTGATATTGTTTCGTCCAAAAATTGACTCTAAATCAGCACTGGCTGTAATTGTAATTGCAGCCACTGCAGTTTAACTATCCCGTCGCCTTCATCTAGTGTACAGACATGAGTCATAAATATTATAGAAAACCCCTATCGATAAGTCCCAGGGAATCTCTGCAATTGCTTTATGGCTTATCAGTTCTATAAATAGTTCATTAAATTAAGATAGATGCTTTACAGGAGGCGTTCGTTAGTCTTTCAGAACTTAATATTGGAGTAATGGCAGCAGTTTGTTTGATGTAGTACTTGGGCTGGCCACTTCATTATTTTTTTCCTAGCATGATTCTAGTATGGAAAGAAGATTTCATACTTTGGTCTAGCCTTCATCAAAAGCGGAATGATTGAATCATTGTGGTCAATGGTCCTATCTTGTCCAACCTAGATTTAATCATGGACTACTAGAAAAATGCTTCTAGTAGTCCATGATTTACTATACGTATAAATACAGTAATACTGCATAGAGTACTGTACAGTGTAACTAACTAATCTGATTTGATAAACAAACAAAAATACTTGTTAATTTAAATAAGAAATGGAAAAGATTTAATACCAAAATAGATACTGATTGATTTGGATTTGAAAGTTTAATTTAAGTCATAAGAGTTATTGCTAACTGAACTATTTTTTACGAGCCATTAAACGTCGCTACTGTAAGGCATGGAGTACAACAGAAATAGTAGTGTACGTCGATTCCATGTAGATTTCCATGCGTTCTCTGATATTAATAATTCACTTTCCAGCAGTAAGAATATTACTAGAACGATTCAGTGCTCATGGTATGTATTTGAAGACTGTTAATGTGATTTTTGTGTCATACAGTATACATAATTATATTTGCCTATCCCGTAGAAGTGGGATTACTATTAATTAGTGAACCTAGAAGTGATCAATACGGCTAATTAAACTTGTACGATAGTCCCTTATCCCTTATGCCATAGACTTCTGAAAGATGCGTAGACTACTACTAGAAGTAAGTTTAGTAGTCCATGTCTATGCGCTTTCTTCTGAAAGAGTCTAGAAGGAGTTTGGCTGCCATGTGCTTTCGTACACTGCAGGCAGACTTTTAGATACAGTACTACGCAGGTCCATATTTTTAGTACAGTACAGTACAGTACGTACTGTACTCCACAGTGTTAATACTGTAGCATACACCGTGCATTGTACTGTACTTTACGGTACAGTACAGTACTGTAATGTCCTGTATTGTGGCCTGGCTAATAAGGCTACAAAAAGGACCTCGCAGTTGCTGGCTTTAATTGAAGGATAGATTATCCAGTCATTAAAGTTCTTCAATTTCGTTCTAGTTAATTGCAGCTATTGGAAGATAGTGGGTTTGGTTTGTCCTGGTATTGTAAGTGATCTGATCCTGCTGCTATTATGAGAAATTTAAGGCTTATCAACGCAACAACTATTAGCTCGTTATGCTGCCTTGTTCGATGCATCGCTGTTAACAATCTGCAACGAGAAGTGTATCTTCTAACTTGCAATAAGATTATCATCTTGAGCCTGGATAATAATAATGTATGTTTTTGGCCCTTGGAAAGTTGTATATGTGTGTATATATACGCGAGATGGGAGAGGCATTTAGTTATCGTTAGTTCTATTAGGGAAACTGACTATTAGCTAGCTAGTTCGAATTATATTGTCTATGGTATTAGTACTGTATGCGAGCTAGCTTTTTAAATGTCAATTAGGTTGTTGCATACATGATAGAACGTTTACTGTTACAATTTTGTTGTCAGAAATTGCATTTACTTGATATAACTTGTAAAAATGTTATTATATTACTGGTGCGTGCATGATGATTGATTAAATGTGCGATGAATTATGTTACGATACGTATTGGCTTAATAATGTGGAGTAATAGATTGATCCCAGCTACATTGCTTAACTAGTGCTAGCACAAACTTTGGGTGTACTAACAGCTAATTACTTTAATCTTAGATGCCACTAGATTGATCGATGTGAATAGGATTCTTTTTTTACAATAATAATACTGCTATAATAATAAGGATTTGCTACTCTAATTGAAAGGTCATCGACAGTGTAGAAATTGATCCTATCGAGGATCAGAATAGGTTCCCTGTAAATGCTGAATATTTACTTGAAAGCGAATCTTTGTGTATTGCCATGAAAGATGGGGACGTTTTATTATATCATTGCAATAGCCAGCAAATTGAATGTGTCGGGTCTGTTGAATCTGGTATAAATTGCATGGCATGGTCACCAGATCAGGAATTAGTGCTTCTCTCGACAGGTAATATAGCTTGCTCAGCGAGCGATCAGTAGATTTTTCAGAGCTAACGGCTATACCTTGTCAACTTTGAGACTAAGTTGTCAATGTTAGTTAACAAATTATTATATCGATTATACATAATTAGATTAAAGCTTATCGCACATGTCTGCTCGCTAATCTAAATTTTTCTTAATTTAATATCACATCATCAACAGCTGAAAGTAAGATTATTATGATGACTAAAGATTTTGATGTTATTACTGAAATTTCATCTCAAACGGAAGATTTTGGTGAAAGTAAGTCATGTAGTGGAGATGAAAAAGTATGGTTTTGTAACAATAATGTTGTGCTGTCGCAATTTTATGCTATTTGTACTCAAATACAGAAAATTGCAGCCTAAAGTAGATTTCACCTGGTGAATTTACTGCTCACTACCAGGTTATTTACGTACAAGGAAACAGTGCGATAGTCCAGTATTGAAACTAGTTGTTATATTTTTTACTTTATGGGTACTTTGTGGTAGGGTCTTAATTCAAAGTAGATAGAATAATTCGTATAATCTGCTGGAAATATCAAATAGTTACCGTGCGACTGCGACTGTTAATATTTCGCATTTGATTTCTTGTAATATTGTTGCAAGGGTTGCATATACGCGTAATTTTTCTATTGTGAAATTACGAAGGATTAATGGTTATGCTAGATACTTAAATCAGTATTATTACCCTAACTTTTAGATAAACCAATAAATGTCGGATGGGGTAAAAAAGAAACTCAATTTCATGGCTCTGCCGGCAAACCTAAAGTTGGTGACGGTATGGAAAAGGTATCATAATGACATTTGCTCGTACTCGTATTTTTTGCAAGTTACTACTGAGGACGTATACTTTATTTTGTATGTATGTAATGGAATTGTTCTATATCTAGGCTCCTGTACCTGTAGCAGATTGGGATGATGGCCTATCTAAGTTAAGCTGGCGAGGTGATGGACAGTATTTTGTTTGCAATGTTGTAAATCAAACAACAGGTAAATCTCGTTCCTATATTTGCTGATACTGCTTCACCCTTTACAACATTATCGTGAAATAGTTATTAACTAACTATACGTAGGTGCCCGGCAGCTGAGATTTTGGAGTCGTGAGGGTATTTTACAATCTACTAGTGAGAATAGTGACGGTCTAGAGGGACCACTACATTGGAGGTAAGATCATTGTCTTACTTTGTATGCTGGTATATTTAAATTTTATATTGGGTAGACTTTGATTTGAATTATAACTTGTAATCACAGGCCATCTGGTAATCTAATTGCTACTGCACAACGTAAACCACAATACTACAACGTGCTATTCTTTGAAAGAAATGGTTTACGCAGAAGTGAATTTACGCTACCTTTTAGTGATTCTGAAACTAGGGTAACAATACTGTTACGACTATATTTTGTGTCTTTACGTACAGATCATATATTATTATTATGTTTAATACATAGGTTATCGACTTAGTTTGGAATCTCGATTCAAAACTGTTAGCTGTTCGGCTAGAAACAACTACTTTTCATAACGATGTTGATGGATCGGATATTCGATCTTACGGTATGGTTTATTCTAATCACTTCAGCTGCAAATTAAAGACATAACACTAGCAATGAATTGAATGTTATTAACCTAATGCATGAGATGTATTTATCATTTTCAGTGCAATTATGGTTTTGCAATAATTCTCATTGGTACTGCAAACAGGAAATATCATTTACAACTGCCGATCGTATAGCGTGTATACAATGGGATACTGATGTATCTTACCGTCTGCATATTGCAACTTTTGGTAAGGAAAAAGTAAAAGTTATAATATGAAGGAATCAAGAGTAAAACTAATTCATTTGTGGAATGTACATACACATAGGGGGAAAGTATTTGCAGTACAATTGGTATTGGGATGTTGATTATAGCCAAGCACATGTAGCTGGCAACCTTTCATCTGTCGCTGTAATTGATGGAGGTCAGATATTATAGCGTAGAATTTTAGTAAACGTCGTATAATATGATAGTAAACCCAATGATATTTAACTTAAGTAATTGAGTAATCAGATCGACTCTGCTGTTTATTTAGATCGTTTACTGGTAACTCCATTCTCTATAATGGTTATGCCTCCGCCGATGTCGGCATACTACATAAAAGCAGAGAGCTCTATTAATCAAGTTTGTTTTGGTCCATCTGGCATTAGTAATGACTTTGCTATTGTGTTAGCTAACATGAACATTGCAATTTATACCTACTGTGATGGCCCTGATACTTTAACAAATGAAAAATCGATTAAATTGAGTGGTACAGGTGGTGTAGGATTTAAAACTTCATTAAAATTACCTAGACTTCAAGGAACCTTTAAGTGAGTAACATTCACTGCATAATAAAAACATAGCAGCCATTCTAAGGAAAATGTTATATATACTCTTTTGTTTTAGATTATTTCTTAAAGACAGTAAACCAATCAATAATTTATATCAGTTGCAACATTTATCATGGCTTACTTCTAATAAGTTTCTTGCCATCATGTGGGATGACTGTAACATGAAGAATTATTTACTTTATCTTCATTTAATAGAAGACGAAGAGAAGAGAATTATTGTTAGGTATAGAGTTCACTCACACTGTTCAGCATAATGGTTTAAAGTAGTGTATCACTACCAGATAGCTGTAAGGAATGCAGCACCTTATGTTAACCCCAGTTTATCATTTCTCAACTAGGGATACGTTAGAACTGCCCAAGATGGTGCTACGATTAGTTACCAATCATGATACTCTGTCTACAATTATACAATATGTAGATGGCAGCGTCTGGCGATATTGTCACGGTAACATAATAGGTTTTTGTAAATATTTTCATAATATTTTAAGGCTTGTACAGTATTGCTTAGACTAGATAATCACTTCATCTAGACGATCATATGAAGTTGATTCCTTGGCTATTGCCGAATGGAATGTCTCTTCAGCTACCACAACCATGCCAATACATTGCTACAGCTGTAATGAATGATTCGGTTCGGTTTTAGTTGTAGTTTGATTTGTATATTACATGAAACCTTGCATTAATTGTTATGGGTATAACTATATCTCGCCACAGGAGGTTGTGATCGGTAGCAATGAAAGATTTAGAATATATATTAATGATAAAGAGGTATTTTGCACCTTTGCTACTATACTTTATATACACCGGTTTAGATAAATATGATTGGTCTAATGAGAATCGTTTATTGATTTTGTTGACAGATTGCTAACAACTGCACATCTTTTTGTGTGCATGATTCGTTTCTAATATTTTCGACTCATTCGCATACATGCCGATTTGTAAGTTTGTTATCAGATTGGGAAAGTGAGTAATCGTCGTTTTATTTTCTTGCCACTTACACACATGTAATCGTCGCTGCTAATTTTATTATAAGATATTAGGTCATATCCAACTAATGAGTCAGCGCCATTTGATGAGAATGTTCGTCGTATGGAAAGGGGATCTAAAATTGTTTTGGCTGTTTCTGATAGTACAAAACTTGTATTTCAGGTATTTATTTCATCTGCTTTTATCTCAGTACTATTTTCAGTTAATTGTTTATACCAATTTCATAGATGCCTCGGGGTAATTTAGAAGCCATCCATCCGCGCGCATTGCTGTTGCATTCCGTCCGACGATTACTGGATAAGTAAGCAGGAACTTCCGTACGCATAAAGTTTAGTGTAAACAGATTGATTCTTATATATCTTCTATCACTTGACGATTATAAATGGAGGCTAAACTTTGGAGAGGCGTTCTTATTAATGCGCAAACATAGAATCAATTCAAATCTTCTATATGATCACAATCCGAAGGTTAGCTAAGAGATAGTTCGATAGCATAAGTTTTAAAAAACAACGGCTTTAAAATAGTACGGGATAAAAAATGACCAAGATTTAACACTTCTCTGTACATTCACTAGGGTTTTATGGAAAACATCGATATCTTCATTAGGCAAATAGACGATGTCAACTTCATTAATCTCTTTCTATCGGATTTAAGGTGGATATACACAATCACTGTTTCAGAATGACATTCTTTGCCAGCATAGGGGTAAATTTCGTTTGTAAAATATACAATAAATCTTAATTTTATAAACTATAAAAATTATAGAGAAGAAGATGTCACAATTACCATGTACACAGCTGAACAATCAAGGCCATCTTCAAGGTTGGTTTTTTGCAGTGCTAAAGGATGAAATCGATTAAATTTGATTAAGTTTTATTCTTTACTTTTAATCCAACACTGAAGCATTCCGCTTACTGGAAGTAAAATCGATAAAATTTGCGACGCCGTTCGTGAATCGCTTACTTTAATAAATTTTAATAAGTAAGCGACCAAAATAAAATTTAACATGAATTGTATTAAGTTATTAAAAGTTACTTTGTTGTAATAAATATAAATTTACTTTGAAGATATATCCTCTCAGTCATCACGTCGTATGTGAAAAAAACCACAGCAGAATTAGATAAAGCCTTACAACTTATAAAATCGTTAGCAGGTTACTAATGATTTTAATCATTACCTTAATGTGAACATAAAATTTCATCATATTTATTAATTTTTCTTAGATAAAACAGCAGTCTCAGAAGGAGGTGTTAGCTACCTGGAAGCATTGAAGTACTTACTAGTTTTAGTTGATGTTAACGAACTGTACAATGTTGCTTTAGGAATGTATGACTTCGATATCGTCTTAATGGTAGCCGAAAGATCGCAGAAGGTTAATACTCATAGGAATGATTACTATAAATATTCTTACGTATATAAATACTCATGGTCTGATTTTAATAAGTAGGATCCTAAAGAGTATCTGCCATTTCTGAATTCCCTTAAAAAGATGGAATCTAATTACTCAAAATACAGTATTGATAAATTCTTAAAAAAATATGATAGAGCTATTGTTCATCTCAGTCGATGTGGTAGCGAGTACTTCGATGAACTGTTGCAATTGATTGAGAAGCAGAAATTATATCGGCAAGCCCTTTCTTTATATCCGGTTGATTCAGATCGATTCAAAGTGAGAATTTAGTGTGACCTCGTTGTTATCCGATTCAAGTTTGCTTATAAGTTTCTTTTTATAATTATCCACATGTTCATTTTTTAGTCAATTTGTAAGAAATACGGCTTATACCTAAAGAATATAGATAATCATTTGGAAGCTGCACTTAGTAAGAAACCATGACATGAATTCTTTTAGTTATATTTATAATTATGATTTTTATGAAATTGTTATATTTGTAACACCATAATTTGTGATTGTAGTGTTTGCGAAGGGTAATGAATATGAATTAGCCAGGATATCATTTATAAAGTGTCGTAATTGGCAGCAAGCGTTCTGTATGGCATCAAAGCTACGATTTAGCATAGCTGAAACATCAAAAATGGCGAATAAAATTGCTAGTAAGATTTTCTTGCTAGTGTAATTTCCTAATTGTAAAGTATTGAAAGTTTGAATTATAAAACTGTTTAGGCGACTTGTGCGATGCACGAAATCATCCCTGGCAGCTGCTACAGTACTCTTAGACTATGCTAACGTAAGTGTGTGCAGTCAGCAGTCTCTAGAGCAGTAAAGTTTAGATATGACTGAACTCTTACATAAGTAATTAAAATTTTGGTAGGAAACCGAACAAGCGATCGTAACATTGATTAATGGTTGCTTATGGAATGAAGCATTGAGATTAGTAAGAGAAGTGAACCTGGAGAGTTTATTGACACTTCAGATTGCTATCGTAGATTGTATTTTATAACGTTAAATTAATTTTATTTTTGCAGATGCATCGTCACGATAGGACTGATATGATAGAGAGTCATTTTTTGAGTGCTTTAATAGATAGTAAGATCAGATGTTATTCAGCAGAGCTATTAAATACTGTAGTTTTATAGCTTTTGTGATTGCTTATGCAATTATGACTCAATGACTATTTATTATAGGCTATCAGGCACAAAGCGCATATTTGAAAAATAGCATTACTCAGTTCAGGAGACATAATGATAGATTGATAAAAGTAAGAGAAGAAAAGAGGGAAAAAATGCAAGAGGTTGCAGGTAAGAATACTGTTGGCCTTATTAATTAGTATAAAATAACTTTGGAATTTTTAATTTTACTTAGATGGCGGCGATGATGGGGATTTGTATTCAGAGACTACAAGTATTACTGGTCGATCTACAAGATCAAGTATTTATAGTAGGACTACAGGGTAAGCATATTTCCTAAAATTACTCAACTAATTATTGTTATCAGAAGTATCAATTTAATTTAATTTAATGCAGCCGTACTTCGAAAAGTCGAAGAAAAGTTGAAAGAAAGAGATATAGCTTACGTGAAGGAAGTCCGTACGAAGATATTGCTTTAATGGAGGCTCTAAGTCAAATGATTAGGACGTTGTCTACAACTAAAGGTTACTAATTAGTTTGCTATAGTTATACTGTAAACATTCAATCCAATTAAAATTCGATTTTATGCCAATGATTTTTCTAAATGCAAAGACGATATTCGTTCCCTGATGGAAATATTAATCATTTTCAATCACGATTCGGAGGCAGCTGTGCTGCAAGATATTCTTGAAGAATATATGACCACTGTTAAAACTTCACTCAAAAATATATGGCCGTCTGATGGAGTTTATCACCATGTAAGATTAATGTTACTCTACTATGTAATCATCAAATAAAACTTCTCTAATTATCGATCTAATATTGATACATTCAATAGCAATTTGGACCTGATTATAACACCAGTGATATTGCTGATGCTACGTTAAATAAAACCAAACCTGCAATGGCTTTGGCAGTGGACAATGATATAGACTATCCAAGTACGTGGATTTCCTATCTAAGAATTATTTAGCAACGTTAGTTATAGACGGCAGTATTTCTTAATTCTAATTCAACATGTGTGCAATTGTAGCTCAACCCGATATAGCGAAAACCATATTGTTTGAGAGCAAATGGAAATTGGAACTGTTTAAATAAGATTCGCCGAGATTTGATAAAGCCATTTCAATTTAAACTAGGGCATCACGATTATTTCGTAAATTTTTAAAAATATTAATGTGAGCTTATATAAAATTTCTCATAAGACCTGAATTTAACGAATATTTCATAATAAGGCTGTTTATATCTTATGCAAGCCGAGGTAACAATTTGCGTAATAAAAGTACTGATAGCTCTGGAATAGACTGCTTTTTATTACACCATCTATTAATTTACATACTTTTAATTGACGGCAGTTTATTATTTAAATTGCTTTATAGTATGTTAAGTATAAACTTCTACGACATTACTATAAAATATCAGTTCAATAACACAGATTTAGTAATGGGAAGGAATGATGTACAAAACCATAAAGTCACCTACATCAGATTTGATGTCGGTGATTGTTAGTGTTAACTTTGCAGATACTTATTTGGATTAGGAGCTTCGTGCAATGTGCCAAGGATATCAAGGTGTGATTAATAAATTTAATGCAATTCTTGAAATATAAGGACGCAGTGGCATTTCATCGAACAGCTAAGAAATTATTGGCTTTGTACAAATAATCATAAGATATACTTACAAGAAATTGTAAACAGGTTGATAAATATCAAATCGTTCTTTTCAGTATTACCTACTGCATGTGAATATTATTACATCAGAATACTCGTAGATTGATGTATTAATAACGGTTATTTACTACGAAATAGATGTAATGCAGTAGACCTAATAGTGAGCGAAAGATTTTAGCTTTACGAAGAGGTTCATCGAAAAATATAGGTGCAGCGTAATTTTTAACTGTAAATATCTTGGAACTAAATGCAAGATCCATCAATAGAATTCAATAGATCAATACATATAGTTTTAGCACAAATTGAAGTTAAATTTTTCTTAAAAAATAATTTATCCATAAATCGTGGCGAGATAAGTCGCATTGCTGGTAACAGCAACAATAACTTCGTGAAACGTTCCGTTCGTTCTTTTCTTCGATTGCGGCAGTAATTTTCAAGTAAGGATAGCATTCTATCATGATGATTTCCGATATCTTCACGGCGGACTAGCATAGCATGACAACGATCTGTTGCACATTACATAAAATCCAGTTTTATTGGCAGTATAAAAATGGCTATCATATTACATAAGAAACTAGCTTGAGATTATTTATACCACTGTTATCTATGATTACTAAATACGACTAATCTTGCGATTTTATTGCTATACTTTTGAAATAAACAACTACTATATTTAAATTAAGCATATTGCTCATGAATCTTATGAGAGCATACATAAACTACGAAGTAGATTTAAATGGGTACTACACTACGTAGATTTATTTTTGTGCCTCAAAATAAGGCTGTATGCATCTCGATTATAGGATATGTCTAATGCCACTTACCAGATCTTAAAAACAGGATCAACAGTAGAAATTCGTATTCATTCGAATCTAGTTGATAGCTGCTTAACTTAAAGTTAATATCCATCCATGTTCGGGTACTTAGAGTAATGTCTTTAATAATATCAGCACCATCGAAATGGAGATCAAGAGATGCTATAATATCCTCAGTATTGAAAGTAAATCTCCAACGGTTAGCGAAGATAATAAATAAATCAACCCAGTTATATTCTATTAAAGTACTCAGATCTCGCGATAATAACCAATTTAATTGTGATGAAGATTTGACCCATTTTACGACATTGTTTAAGAGTTCGATTGCATTTCGATAGCTACTGGAAACGATTAAATAGTTTGCTTGCATAGATGTTGGTAGCGGAGGAATTATAGAATTTGGATGGTATCTAAGCCTTGAGTGATGATAGAAATTAGGCTGAATTGTTGATAAGGGTGCAGTAGTCGATGGCGTTGATGGTATAGAACTATAGCCTAATGGTGACACTGTTAGTGATGGCGGATAGTAGATATTAGTTAAACTATTAAATGGGTAAGGCTGGCGATAGGAAATATCAGGTGGATTAGATCTACTGTTTGCTTGATTATTTGGCGATTCGTGTATTGATATTGTCATACGCGGCTGTTGATGTAATGAAGCAGCATGCACCGATAACATTTTATTTCTTGCAGAGCGTGGTTCACGTTCATTTTGCACAGCTATAATGGAAGTTAATAGAGAATAATTTGAATACAATCTAATTTTAACAGCTTGCCTGTAGTAAATTATTGCAAAAATCGAATTTTACGTCAATCAGTTACGACAGTAACGTGAATTAGCTATTACCTAAATATACTATCATATGATTTTTATTGATATTTAGTTATTACTATCTATCTGTTTATAAAGTCGTAAGTCAAGTTTACTGTAAAAATATGAGAATTTAGCTAGCAAAGCGGTTAGCCCAAGGCTAGTTTACTACAAAAATAATAAACTTTGATATGCGCTTATTATCACAGTATAATACCAAGTGTGGATTGACGTGTAAACTATAGCGCATTTCGTACATAAGAAATAAAGGTAAAGTTACACGCTGGTTACCGTGAACATGGTTACAAATGTTGGACTAGGGTAAGACATACGGTACTCGCGTACATTAAAATAGCCATCGTATTATGCTAATATTGATGGAATATGGTAGTTGTAACGTCAGCTAGACCAAATTTTAATATCATATTTCCAAAGCTATTAATGTTTTACTTGCAACGAAATTTGTTTCGAAAACTGAGCTGTGTAAAATATTTAATTTATTATTACATTATATACGCGTAAAAGCTATCGGCACTAGAAAGGCTTAAAAATAATGAATCTATAGTAATTTAAAATACATTTTCGGTTGAAATATCGTAACTATCAAGCTGTCATCTTCTTTATCACTACGTCATCATAGGGTGATAATTATAATTACTATATTGAAAAGGCAACCCTTTCAACGTAAATTCATAATGGTATAGCAGTGATAGGGGCAGTTATTTGGAATGACAGAAAAATTAAAATATGTCAAATCCTGTACATATGAAGACTTTAACCGACTACAATAATGGACTTACCATCTTTGTTCATATTTGCTTGCAGGCACTTTTTTAGACGACAGGCCTGACACTATACAGGATGAAAGAAATTATTATTTGGAAACTGGAAAACTGTCTGATAATATAATAATTATGGTAACTCATTTTTCTTTATATAAAGATATAATCAATATAGTATTCCCGGTATTAAAAATTCTGATTGTAAACTTACTAGCATTTTTTAATTAAAATTTAGTTTATACATATACCGTAAACGTATTGCTTAACACTTAGGTTTAATGCGTCTCTATATTTAACATTATGAGGACTTTATGGGTTATGCCAGTAAATATGTAATGAATATTTTAATACGAAAATGGTATGGAGTTAGTTGATAAATTGAAGTTGAAGATATTATGAACATCGGAAAAATAATCTAGATGGTATACACAGTTTTATCAATGGTTCATCATAAGTAGGAACATTACAAACGTTATAATGACTATGCGTAAATTAATCTATAAAAGGAATCATTTTGAGCTCTTCTTTCGCTCTTGTGATATATGATATTGACATAGCGTTTATTTTTTATCACGAGTTATATACGCGACGTATTGAAATAAACGATCATGATATGTTACTTTTTCTATGATGTGATGTGACCAAACATAATAAGTTTTACTAAATGTTACGGACTAAAGTTTGTACATTATTAAATATGGATAGAGTGAACGTATAAATGAAAGCTTTTCCTATAGTATACGGATCAGTATCGCTTTAAGTGGACTGGCAAGGTTCACGCTGCTATTAGTTCACAAAACGTCTTAAAACTAACAACTTGGTTCATTTTCCTTTTCGGACTCCACTGCAACCATCGCAAGCAAATATTCCGTAATGTCTACCTAATTGTAGAGCAATAACAGTGTAGAATTTAAGTACAATATTAAAAGGTATTAGATTATAAATGTTCTCATTACATTATCGACGGGTTACTAAAAGTATAATCATATATGCTGGAGTTATATATGTATTACATGAATTCAAAATAATTTCAAAATAAATTTATAATAAATAATTTTGATAAGAAATCTTTCTGTCATTTAGTTAAAATACTACTATGCTAGATTTATGTTAAAGAACTTGTATAGCGCAAACGCCCATACCTGATGACTTATCTCCACAGACACGACAAATTGCAGTTTCTCCCTGAATTGGTGTCTCTATCGCTATTCCAGATATAACATACAAGTGCGATATAATAAAAGATGTTCATTTCATTTGTGTGAATTAGACCGTATTAACTAGCATAATCTTATATCGACCAGATCATTAATGTATAAATAAGATATATTAGAATTAGCTATACGGATTAAACTTACGCATGACGTCAATTGAAATAAATGATTTAGACTGGATGTATGCAGTAAACTGATATAGCTGACTAAGGTAGCAGACGATTGATGATGATGATTTCTAATTAAATAAGGAATGGAAAAGTCGCTTTTCTACCGCTTTAAGAAAAGTTGGCAATTTTGACATTTAAACTTGAAAAATAGGTACTTGTAACTACTGAACGGTGCAATGATTGAGAATAAATAAGCAGATAATCAATCTTGGTGTGTATTTATACAGCAAAATTTTAAGACAATGAGATAATTGTGGTTAAATTAGTGGTTAACCAGACAATATTTTACGTGAATGATTTCTTGATATGTATAACGATACAGTAGCCTAAGAAGTATTTGCATCAACCAAAAGATTGATCTTGCATGCTATTGTTAATTTATTGTATTAGATGTTGATTTGTTTTGAAATGTTTTACCACCTGCAATAACAAATTCCAATTCAATATAGTCACCATATCATATTCTAGCCTTTTTCAAGTATAGTTTTCTTATCAATGACTACTAGATTTCATATCACGTTACATTCTCATCCATAATTATTCTTATGGGCAGCAGCTTCAAAATTAAATGTTAATGAAGATTCCATTTTTTGTTTTATTTAGGTGCATATTCTACATAAGTAGTAGATTTTGGTAACGAAGTTCTCTATATGATATTGAAAATGTTGATTATTAAATGTTTTTACAAATAATAAAATGGCTATAGATTAACTTATTTTGTAGTATTTTAATTAGTATGAGGCGTATTATCGCTTTATTATTATACTCTTGAAGAGGGACATAAATTCGAATGAAATCGCCATCAAGCTAAATTCCTATCATTAAAACGACAGCTTAAATGATTTGACTTTTTAATTCATTCTTAAATCATGCATGCTTGATTAACTATTAATTCTGATTGATTCTAGGCTGAATAGCATTCAATTGATGTTAATGCATATTTTAATCATACATATCTGATAATCTAACTTTGATTCTATTCTTATTGAATAACTTACATTTTTTATTGATATTGTTGAAGTGAAAGTATGCTTAAATACAAGAGTATTTAATTAATTAGCTAAATACCGATATTAAATTCTATAATTCTATAGGTGATAATTTTGAGCAATCTCTGCGATGTCAGTGTTCGTATTATCTCTATCTAAGCAATATTTGCTTGAAATAAGGTAAAATTTGAAAAGTAGAATTCGTCATTTCAAGTAATTTTTAAAGCCATGCTGCATTAAACCAAATCGGATAATAAGGCTTTCAATTTTTTGTCAATTAAAAACTATCCATTATTTCTCATAAAACTTTAAACAAATAATTTTGTAAACGTACGTTATCTATTTAAATCGCTTAGTAACTCGTCGCTATTGTCTCGGTACGGTTCAATTTCAAGATTGATATTCTATTTGCGTTAGAATTTTAGACTGAGATTACTTCTAAATTCAACTTACAGGCTTCAAGTAAACAGACGTTGACGAAAAATTAATACGCGTGGCTCATACTGCCAACAGTGGCAATGTTTCTTTCTTTATTTATTTTCATGTTCTTATACAGCTTACAGATTATAGAGCTATGTCCTTATTTCCAACCAGAATCTCTACAATGAACTATATGTAAATCTAAATACTGTAAATGATTAATTTTCCTATTCGAGTATTAATAACTTAGAATTCTTTATATGATTGTATACTATTGTGAGTATCAAGGGTTCTTAATCGTTGCATTAGGACATACTGCTTTCTTGACAATATAACAAGAAGGATTAGATTGAAAAATCAGCAATTATTCTATGGTTGTTTGTTGTTAGATGAAATGATGATTTCATAACATCATTACTTCTATCCGATCTATTGGCCCTTTATATTGTATTTAATGCTATTTTGATTTGGCTTACTCATCTAGTCAATTGTTAGACTTTATTTTTATATTATTTACGATATTTGTATCATTGAATCACTTGGACATATTACTAAAATAGACTGTAACAATCAATTTTCTTTTATAGCTTGTCATTACATTCTTCCTGTCCACGTACAGCCTGAATTACGAGATATCATGACTGAGATTTGGAATGAACAGCTGAACACGGCTTCAAATGCTGTATAGTATAAGCATTGGTTATGGTAATAATTTAATCCTTTAATTTTGTGATAGATTACGATTGTTGCGCTATCATCACTTGCGTAATCCAAAATAGCTATAAATTAACAAAATATTTTGTTACTGGCTGCAATTATAAATTTATATAAATCCAGAATACTCACTGAATAGATTAATAGCATAAAAAATGAAACATGAGCTAGAGATTCAAGAATTCATAACATTAACATTATGTTTGCTGAGTCAATCTGATCTAATGAATGATTTCTTATTTTTGCCTTAAGGTCGTATTGATTATCTTGACGCATTAACGATTGATGTCATTTAATTATTGTATGCTAGAGGTCAAAAATAGAAAATTTATAGGTTCAGATTTTAAGATCGAGGCATTTTTAACCGGATACATTACTGAATTTGCCTTATATGCTACTTATAGCAATTATAGGCCGTTAAATGATTTAATTTAAGTGGCCTGAGGATATGTCGTATCTATAGAACCGTTGTTTATTGTCCATGTAAATGATACTAATATCAAAATTCTCGGAACTCGGAAAGCCTTGATTGGTTTTTCTTGGATGAATAAAATCTTAATGAAGGACTTGGAAATCATATCATACAAATACACAATGCAATAGATTAGCATTTCTACTAAAAGTGATCTATATTTCCATATTAAAGAATATGCGAGAAACAAAACTGTATTCGTATATTCATATGCTTGGAAGACTATAAATTCGTTGAAATTCAGTTAGCTAAAAATTTAATACACTATTTCACAATTACATATCCATCCAGTTTTAGTCATCATTCTGCAGGCTCAAGTGATTAGTAGGATGAAAGCAATGAAAATCGATATTTTCGGTCGGATTATACAATATATTAAAACGGTCAAAGTCAACATCAAATAACCGCAACTATTCCTAGTAACAATAAGCGTAATTACTATTAAGTGTAGGTAAATCAATCAGCAAGTATTGCCCACGGCAATTTTGATATAATTATGATGAAACAAAAGAGATGGAAAAAGATGAAGTATTACCCGGATTTCGGTTGTAGATACTACCGGTATAACAGGCCATAATGAAGTCAATTTAAGATTATCGAAAAAGGAAAAGTCTTTATCATCCTTGAAATTACACTTAGTGGATATTTATTAAGTTTTCGATCTTTATAAATTAATAGCTGCATTACTTACTCTTATTTAGGCAAGTATGAAGTGATTATATAGGTACGTCTCAACGCTTGATTACCGTATAGTTACGTTGATGAACATTGAGTTGTTCAAAGCCGATATAGCATAGTATAGCGGCTGGGTAATCACAAAATAAATGACAAACTATAACCTGGATCCCACTTCTACGGAGTGTACTCAGTGTTTAGCTGCTACATCGAGAAAACTGTTTTTCAAGAAGTTACTTGTATACAAACAAATACATGTTTCTCATACCGCAAAATAAATGAAAGAATGAGAGCTGAAAATTATAAAGCTTGAAACTGAATCATTATTATAGATCAGTCAGTTGATTTAAGATTTGGTTATCTTTCGTGTTGCATTAAGCTTCTTTCAGCTAGCTAATGGCATACTTTCTGATGACTATAAGTATTCATATTGTGTGTTTTCGTATCATGTTATATAAATGTATATAACAAGCTATCGAAATATTTACTAGACTGATTTATGGATGTTTACATAACCTAGCATTAGAATGAGCTGGCGGCCTGAATGAAGTTAGAATTTAACAGTTTAGTTGGATGAGAAGAGATTGTATGTTCTTGGTTACAATATCGATGATTCCAAGATTACAGCGATCTATGGATTCGCTACTGTATAGTATTAGCCATGCTACAATCAGTGCGATACGCTATTCGTTGGTAGCTTCAGATTTGTATGGATTTTCTGGTGACTTTTTAAATTTGAGATATGCTCGTAAATAAATCAGCAATAGACTAAACATCGAACGTTATATAGGAACCAGTAAAATTATTTTACCCAAAAACGAAATTCTTTTCCGAAACGATCTAATTTGGAATCGAAGTTGTTCGGAAGTCTACCTTCCAGCACAGGTATATAACATTTTATACGGTAGCTGATCTGTAATCGAAACCATTTCCCGTAATCAAAATGGCTCTATAGCTACCATATTCTGCAATTCATTAATTGTGGCGTTTCTATTGTGAAATTAAAGTAGTGATTTGTTTATATAAAACATTACAGTCTGATATCTGTATTTAGCTGCAAAATTCTTGGATAACCAATTTTTTCTGATAATCATCATGACCTTTCGTGTAACTCATATCGTAGTAGTCTGCAAGACGCGTAAACTTATAGTAGCGATTAATAGTATGGTATTGTATAATTTTATTGCTGTAAATTTTCAATTGGATTTTAACTATTCTTTTAGCCTGTTTATTGTTAGTATACTCGTATGCGGCAGCAATGTTACAGAAATATTTTGGTTAAGAATGATAACTATGAATAGCAATACAATTATTATTGGATTCTCTAATTATTTATTATTATTGATTATGGCTATTAATATCTAATATGATATCATGTCTGTGATCAAAAAGAAGTTCATTACAGTTCGGATTTATAGTTTGCCGTTGAAGAGATGATAACATCAAACAACAAGTATGATCTTCTACGATGCTGCTAAGAACTGAACTCCAGAATTGCTCAGAATTGAGCAATCGTAATGCTTTTAAAATTTAATAATAAAAGATGATTGATAACAAAACAACAATAGTAACTTAATTCAGAGTAACATGTACCCTGGAGTTTATTGCTTTAGGCTTATAGTAACATTATTCTTCTCGAATTATACTATATCATTACCAGGTTTAATACCTACCCAATTATTGCTTAAATTGTATTGTTACCACCTTATCAGTACACATGTTTGTAATTAATGATACTCTTTTATTCCAGACAATACATTATAAGATCAGTAGGAAAATTTCGTGGGAAAACATCTGCATGAAAGTGATGGGGTTGGCTATTAATAGCATTCAAATTGCATCTTTATACTTATGATCGAGGCATTAAAAAATAACATTAAACGTCTTGATGTCTGACAGTTTAATACATTGATGTATTAATTATTAATCATATGACGGCACAAACCTATTGCGGTAGTAATATAGTTTGAGATCACGATAAGAATATAATATTTTTATGATATGGCCATTAAGGGTACAGTATACCACCAATCTAGCATATTTAGTATGCTAGTTAACGATTGAAATCTAAACTCCAAATTTAAGTAGCAGCACTGCAACATTTATTAAATTCTCATCAAGTGATCATATATAGCTAGTTGATGATATAGCAGGAAGCAGTAACCTTTGTTAAAAGCATAGTGGAAAATTTAAAAAATCCTGGTCACCAAGACCTTCAACACCTATAATCTTACAGGAAATAAAATAAATATATTTATCAGATTTAAAAAATTTTTAATCATAAATCCCATTTATAGGACATTGCGTAATTCTGGTAACAGTAAACGGTAATTTCCAGTAAATTCTTATGCTAAGCACAGATAAATTTTAAATATAATGAAGTAAAATAATAATTTCTCAAAGTTCATACAATGAAATGATTTTTAATAGCACCTGTACTACTGTAAATGAGCTTTTATTAATAACTTGTTACAGCAATTTGCGGTGTGGAGAAAATTTATTTGTTAGTGTTATCTAAACTTTAACAAATGCAATCGTGATGCACACGTAATTTTATATGAAACAGAATCTAGTAACTGAATGATCCCCCATTTATATAGTTTAAAAAATGCAAGGGATGTATACCAAATTGATGTTATGTTTACTACATGATTAAGAACGAATTCAGCTATTCAAGATTATGTAATGCCATAAAAGAAAATTCAAAGAATTAAATACATCCTCAAGGCTAATTAAATCTTGATAAGAAAGTTAATTATATACGTATTGCCCTTTTAATACAAAACTTGACTATTGTTGCACTAGATGCACCTGGATTGTATAGCAACGTTATTACTTTTCCCTTAGCTACTGTATCCTAAAAGACGACATGAAGATTTCTATCGTACAGATTTTTAACAGCTACTCTTAGAAACAGTAGCTAGATAATGTGTTTACAGTGTAGAAGATTTGATAATATTGTGATTACAAATCTACTTCATAAAGGAATCATATCTAGGAGAAAAAATAAAAGTATACGGCGCGATATGTGAGAGGCTATGGTTCAGTAGAATTAATGTTAAATTCTGTAGCAGGCTTAAGAACTTTAGAATTGATTTTTAAAAGTTGGTAAATTGGTATTTTAACAAATTGTAGTATATAAATTCGAGAAATAAATAGAATTAGATTTATTTAAATGATAAAAAATGTGCATTCCGAATGAAATAAAATACGTACTTGAAAATTATAATGAGTGATAGTTGAGTTTTGATTTGGCTCTTTCAAGTAATCTATAGTTATGATCACACTATAACACACCCATTGCAGTTATAGTTTTTAGACTTACCTGGCTGACGTATATTATATTATCATATATATCAGGTTAAAATATCATTCATCGATATTCTCTCCTGAGTCAGCTTAAGAACTACTGACGTTAGCACTGGTATAGTTTTATAATAATAAGATACTAGTTTTTTTTGGTAAGGATGCACTAATCTTATCTTTACCTTAGACAGTTACATTGGAGTTATAAGCATTGATATCATACTTGTATAGCTTTAAAATAGATAAGATTTTTAAGGAACGCTCGCACATGCTCAATCTTCTTTGGTAGATAAAAGAGGTACTTAAAAGTATTTTAGAAATGCATTGCATGAAAATAACTATCCTGTCTTTCGTATCTCTAATCTTAATACATAATAATATAGTGTTAAATTAACGTTTTATCTTTCGCGTGTGAATGCGTAACAATTTGAGCATAAGGTATAGATAAAATTAAAGATATTATCACTCCTAGTCTTCTACATTTAGGAAGCTACCAGCTTAGACATCGATTGATTTGATTTACTTGCTAATATTGAAAGATGATGCAGCTAAAGCTGTAATATTAATGGTTCTCAAGAAAACGCAATGCCGTCGATACTCTATTGGACTAATAATTTATTGCACGAGCCACGTAACTGCAGGCACCGATAACTGGACTGATGTTTTACATACGAATACACAGAGATAGCGTGCAGGTACATCTACAATAGCTTAATCTACGGCTTAGGTTGTGGCATAATGTGTTGTATATAATATACACGGACATACCGTATATGTTCCTAATATGTAATCTGTTTTTCGCATTTATGGTGATCTAAGATTCGACTTAACAATCCTGTACAGTATAGTTATTCCATGTGCTCAGTATAATAATATGGGCATGTAAATATGAAATATGTGAATTGTATCACTAATAAAACTCTACAGGATTAAATAATTGTTATAAGGCATAAATCGATAAATAAGACGCGATATTACGTTATCGGTGGTAGAGTACACATATGCTCTACAGCAAGAATCATGTCTTTACAATATACGCTCCTTAAGTGAATATATCTATACTTAAACTATTGCCTTAGTAAAGTATAGATCAAAACGATGCACATAACGGTGTAGAGTTCAATGTTTGTGATCATGTAATTCATTATTAATTGAATTCATCAAACCCATAAATAATTACATCACAATATGATACTTTTTCGACTTGTATGGAAATATAGTATGTAAAGCATGCCATCGTACGTTTAAAGCACTGTAAGTTATTAGGAATAAATACGGTATATTGCAAAAGCGTGTAAGATCCATTATCACTGGAGAAAACATGAAATAGCACGTACCTTGGACGTTATGAAGTCTCAATGGTTAACTACTAAACTTACCAAGGACTACCTGCCTTCAGTCTACAACTGTCTAACTTATTACATGAGAACGTACAATTTATATATACAATTCTTAAAATTTTACAGATTAAAACGAGTTTATTTAATACTTGTATTTGTTGCGGAGCGGAAGCTACTGTATTCTGTCATACGCACAGAGGGTGCAAGGCATGTCTTTAACTATTTCACGGTGTCTAATTTATTTGTTTTACGATTACATCAATTAATGATTTATTATTTCACATTGTAGCACAGAATAGATCTACTAGGTCTAATAGGCCATAGCTTATATGTATATATAACATATATATATAGTCGTATATGCATAATAGTTTCTGGATGTAAGCAAGGATGAAAATCTTTTAGTAAACATACTTTCATGAATGAATTTCGACTGCTAAAAAATTTCAATTGGGATCATCGCCTAAACTGTTCAGAGCATTTGATTATATAGAATATAGAATATATTCAACTTATATTTAAATCTTACATACATAAACAGTCTCTGGATATAGACAATGGAAAAATCTTTTAGTAAAGAATTTCAAACGGGATCATTGCTTCAACTGCTCAGGTTATTTGATTATCGTTAATTCAAGTTATATTTAAATCTTGTAATCATAGATAGCAGACATTGCTACTGCGGTCTACATTGTCATGACGCTTAACTTCATACGCATGCCTGCATATAGAACAAGGTCAACTTAGCCTTTTTAGCTTTCATACTATAGTTGATAGGATTATCATTCCTTCGACCCGCTGAGAATAGTTCACCAGTATATATATTGTAGCAAAAACAGTGCATAAATAACTTTTTAAGGTAAATCAATAGCTAGGGTAGAAATTTCAGTTGTCGTTATAGATGTTACAGTGTATGCAGTCCCAGCTACGCAAAAGATAAAATGTTTCCGGTACACATAATTTACTGCATGTGGGCAGAATTAAAATTTAGGCGTAGACTTATTTAAATCTCTTTCCACGTCAATTTCCTTTCATGCACTGTTGATTACATCTTTCAATAACCTTTCACTGTTAGTGACTGATGTTGTGGCGATCAAAAATTCAGTATCTAAAGAATTTCAGGAATTACATGATATAGCATTACTTTTTTGTACTAATCAAACGCTCTGACTGTTAAAAATTGGATTGATTGAATGATGCTATTTTTATCGTGCATTTTCACTTACTAAGCTGTTTTCCGAGAAAACGTAGAGCAGCTATTTCGGAGTATGTACAACCCCCAATGAAATATACCATAACAATGGGAGTTTGTCGATTTGCGCCTATATAAATCGATTAGTAAATTACTGAATATAAGATACCTAAAGTTATGCATCATCATTGACGGCTAATACAGGTGAAGTTAAAAAATATCGACATGTTACATACTGATGGTAGATGCGTTGATAATGCAAGAACAGTCACAATTTAGAATTTTGCCAATATCATCATCATCTCTGAATGAATTTGGGAATGTGAGCACCTATAATAATTAATTATGGTACGATCAGATATCTATATCTAGGTCTTCCCAGGACATTAAGATCGTTTAACCTTAACCAAAGCGATAATAAATCTATATAGTATTCTTACATGCTCAATTAATTTACAACTCATCGGGGCATATTGACCGCCGTGAATGTATGCCATGCTTTTGGGCTTAGATAAATCAACTTCCGTCGGTGTTTTAGGAATCTAGTAAAAGCAAGATTTCTATTATAGACATTATATAATCTATAATTCTATATACGTAATTACAAGTTTACGCAAAGAAAGGCCAAGTTTTATTCAGACTTACTAAGCCCAGTTTCTTGCAAATGGCTTTGAATTTATTTTTTTTCTGTTAATTTTCATGTAATTATGTACATACAAAGTTTAGATTGAATAAAAGTCAAATATGAGAAGCGAAGGCAACATCTTAAAGCGATCTTTAAGATTAAACTTACGGTTGTTTGTTCCGTAAATAAGCCAGATTTTTTTAATACATACTGGGTAGAAACTAGCTTGTCGTAACCGTGACTCTACAGCGGGGAAATATGGACATTAATAATGGATCATCTGTAATGTTTGTTTACGAACAGTACCAGTTGACATCTTGTCGCTTCGCTGACGGAGATACTACATTTAACTTTCTATTTTTAATATAACAATTAATGCAGTAGTAATATAACGATTTCTACCTGTAAAAACTGTAGCCATAGTGAATGATATTGAGCTGATGGTAGACCTAGAGTATATTAGGCAGGCATTGTGAAACTTTCTATTGTTATAATATTGCATGAAGGATAAATTTACCATCATGAGTGACGGAATAGAGGCACATAAGTCTTAAAGCGGAGGTAATATCCTATAGAAAAGTTATAATATTTAATTTTCTGTATCACATTACACTGGATTATTTCTGTTACAGTAAACCAATCAGCAATAAAATTCGTCATTAAACGAATATCTAATTTCTGTTGAAAATATCAGAAACCTTATCTATGATACAAGTTTCAATAAAATCAAGGCACTCTTTTTCATTCGTTCCAGCTAGCATATCTGTCATATCAATCAGAGTTGCCATGAACACTACTGTTCAAAATATACTCAAAATATCGACTATAAATCAGTGGTAATTTAAAGTAACTCTAGTGGGTCGATCATGCTACGTACAACTTTCTTGCGTTAGTAAGTATTCCAAATTTTCTTTCGTCTTTGTAGTCATTAAATTTTCACACAATGATAAATCTGGTGGGTTTTTTGTAGTAATGTAATGAATTAATTACAAAAATAAATTCAGTGGCCGCTTTCATAGGAAATCACTAAGTGATGCTTACGTCCAGTTAAAGATTTATGTTGACTTTGCAAATCCTTAAATTCGTTTCGTACGAAATCTTTTAATCCACTTACACTTTTGTAATCATGGCGTTTCTATTGTGATGAAAGAAATAAAGATTGTAGAATAATTATCAACATTACTATACGTATTTGATTGTATACAAACATCGTATCCTGATTGAATTTCTTTCGCTCGCTCTCGGATAATTCCGAAGACTGTAGTAATATGACTATCCCTAATGTTAGCAAAAATCTGAAGAAGACACACATAATGATTATAGTAATGTATCTACTAAGATAGTACGAGTTAGGATTGCAACGCTTTAATTAAAGTATGTGGATGTACCTGGTCGCTGGAATTTAATAGCATTTTTATACTACCCTTTCCTACGTTACTGGACGGACCTAAGACAAGGTAACCTATAGAGTAGATCGATCAAATGCCGTAACAAAATATCAGTATCAATTAGCCACTACATATATTATCAGTACAATAACTGAGAATTTCAACAGTGTAACCAAACTGACCGTTTTCGATACCAAATGTATCGTCGATGATTCCTTGATACGTAACTTGAGTTAATAGAGGTGAAATATAATCCACGTCTAATGGGCAAAGTAAAGTTAAATACAATCAGTTGTGTACGAATGCCCTAAATAATTTGATCATTGCCTGTTTTCTACTCGTACGTCTATTCTGTACTTGCCTCGATCTATCATAATAAGAGTATCAAGTTTCGTAGCAGATACATCTGCCATTACGTTAGGATCTGAATCTACGTTTTTGGCTAGGACTTCAGCTAAGTTCCATATTTTCTGTAATAAATTTCGTCAGAGTGTGCACATTACGGTAAGTCGTCACAGTACTTTCATGATAAAAGCGCTCGTCTCGATTTACCATTTAACTGTAAAAATTATTTGTTACCTTGGAATAGTCTCCGATTGTGTAAACTCGATTAAATTCTCCAAACAACGATTGCGAGCTAACCAAAGATTGGGCTATACTTTTAATCCAGGATCGGTCACGATGCTATAAAAATTAGAGGGTCAATGTAATGTACGATTGCAATTATATTACAAAGGTCGATAACCTTATCTCTAGCATACTGTAAATTCATGATGGTCAAATCAAGAATTGTTTACTGTACTGTAATCTTACAGCAAAGTAGCTTGGGAATATAGCTGGTACTTCGAATGACAATAAATCTTTATCCATAGGTATTAATTCCAAGTCTAATACTTCAATTGTAACATCTATAACGTAGCAATCAGTGTGATAGTTTGACTCCTAATGACGTTGGTTAATAGGTAGATGGGTACAATCCAAATAGATTTGAAGATAATTTACCTCCATAAATTCCTTCCTGTTCTAGGTAAACTTCACAAGCATAGAACTATGGCAAACATAAAGTTATGATTAATTTCATACAGTTAAACGATGCATTTAATTATTTTCTCTACTGATAAATGAATATTGCATCAGGTTTTGTGTAAACACATGATTGATAGTACACAATAAACTTTGCCTAAAAAAAGCCTGCGGTGATTCAGATATTAAGGTATGCGATTGAATCAATCCCCGCTGGATCGGCACAGCATTTAGCTGTACGGTTAGCTAGCTATTCAAAGTTTTAATTTGATACCTTGCATGGAGTAAAAATGATTTTATATGATTTCCTAGTGCCATTTCTCTTGTCGCAGCTGATTCTTTCTTAATATTTCAGAATAAATATCGTCAAGGCACCGGTTGTTATCGGCTAAAGATATGTTGAGGAGAATCTTGAATTATGAGTAGCAATATACCTGAGATCATCTTGAGGTTTGTAATGTTTGGACGAGTAACGTATATAAGGCTGTAAATTAAGAGGAAATCGTTAATATGATATTATTTATTTATAAGTCATTAACAGTATGTTATATAAAATTTATATTAAAAATCCATCAGTAAAATCATACTAGATGCAAGTGTCATTGCAATATTTGACTGCGTAGCAATTATTACTAATTCCTGAGCATAAATTGACAATCTAGATGGCAGCGATTAATGCGGTATGTTAATCCTATACACTACTATTACCCACGATTTATTTTCTTATTATATCGTAGTAGATACAATAACTGCTAGTGCTTAGCAAATTTTTAAATTGGACTCTTTTAACTACAGTATCATAATGATAAACAAATAAATGTAAATAAACTTACTTTTCCGTGACGATATTAATCATGGATGGTTCTAGCCGGTAGACTTTGTTAACACCATGGCGCTGATACGTCAATGCGTAATATCAAAAACAATTTTGTAAGATAATCTAGTAACTTTAAAGCGGGATGATCATGACAAGTATTTTTAATGGTGAAACAACTATTCATAAGCGTACGTGACTATCTATACTTCCGATAGATATTACAGTATAACAAAATTTTATGCACTTGTATAGGTTGTGGGTGAGCAGTGATGTAAAAAGCACAAATGGATATACTAAGAGGGAAATACGCACATGAAAGTACAGCGTGGTAACATCAGCAGAATAGCATCTAATCGATATTAAGTAGTATAATAACAAAACTAGTGTAAACTAGCTTGCAAGTTTAGAAGCTATCGAGTTTGTGTCGATATTGTAATGTATTAAGCCAGGCTAAGCTATCCTTACCTTTAACGTTTGGAAATTCGCTACGAAATCAAATAAGCGGATAATTCTACTATCTATGATGACATCTTTATCTCCGGATTCCTAATCACTCATGCAAATTAGATCTATTTAACTTCAAATTTAATTAAAGTACTGTTGTACCCTGTCAACAACCAGATTATCATAAAAATAGAATTGAAATCATTCCAATGTAATCTGCTTATATCCTTGCAATTGATTCGATGCCTACAATGTATCCTCTTTTAATACTATGCTTAAGATATCAATGTACTGTAATATCAGTAATAAAATGATATGAAATGCTCATTAAATTCGTAAAATATCCAACACTTGACAAAAGACCCAACTTGAGACTGATTCACTAAGATTAATACCGTTTCGAGCAAGGAGATGAGACGAGCTTCCGCTAGCTTTTTCAAGACGGATAAATCTGGTAAAGTCATTGCAGTACCGTCTATTTTGTCAGGACGTTCTCAGTAATGTAAAGAATGATGTTGTAAATGCTGTCAATGTTTTCTCAGTTGTATGGGGAGAAGAATAGCAAACTTTGCTGAATTTAGTTGTGATCTGAAATAAAATTGACTTCCATCTAAAGCATAATAAGAGTTTCAGCAGGAGCCGTTATTGAAAGGCTGCAGGTTGTGCAGGACTTCTGATAGGTACTGGTACTGTACGCTGAACACTGAGTGTACAGTACATTGAAAACTTTATCTTCATCTAACAGCTCGTCTGGTGTCTCGTCCGTCAGTGTCTGGCAGAGATTACAGTACAGTACTGTACACTTCTAGAGCGAAGTACTGTACACTGTATCGTAAACAGATTAGTACAGTACTGTACTGTATACTGTGTACAGTACAGTACTGTACTGTACTGTACGCAATTAAAACATGCTTACAGTATAAGTACTGTACCGCATTACACACCTTCTACTGCAATAAAAGTGTCATAATCAACTGTCTTAGTCAAAGGGTAATTTGTTCGAGGTATTTTCGAAAAGGCTTTTGCAAGAATAGCAGAGCAATAATTAATTGATTACTACAAGAATTTAGTCTAAAGTATTCCGAGCTCAAAGCGAAGCAAAGTCTCTTCTCTCCGCTTGAGCTCATCTCTGCAGTTCTTAAATACATTTGGCTAAATCTACATTTAGGACAACTTCAATTAATGTACAATCACACTTGAGTCATCAAACAGAACATTTTTATCTCAAAGAGAACATCATCTTCTACAATCGAAATCATTCTACTGAAGATATCACTACTGTACTCTTCTACTAATGTCCAGCACCTTTCGGTGTTAGTACTACATTAAAGCTGAAAGTGAGTAAATACTGGTTGAGTAAAGTGTCTATTTTTTTCCATTGCAAACGCAAGGTATATCAGAAGCTGTAAACATTTTCTACACTAGTTCACCAGTACAGTACGAAGTGGATAATACTGCTTTGCAACAACTCGATGAGCTGAAGCATTAATTTACTCCACTGTGCTGCGCGCAGACTGGACAGTGTACATGCCGCATAGGTCCTCAGTAATGCAATGAATGTGGAATCCACAATTGTGGATAGCTTCAGCAGTTTACACATAAATCAGTGTTAAATACGGAGATAAATAGGGGACGCTAATGAAGATATTAAAAGGGTAATGCATTTCTTGACCGATTTATTCATATAATAATAAAATAATACATGTTAATGTTACAGAAATATCAAAACAAACTAATGCTTATTTCTTTGTTTCTCAAAATACAAAAATCCTCTACTAAAATGTTGAATTTCAGCTTTACACATTAATGAATGGTTGCTTTATGTTGGGATGTTAACCTTTAATGTTTTGTCCGCTATGCTTGGTAATGAATTAACTATGAGAAAATACATCTATGCTCAATTACTATTTTAGAATTATGTATGACATTTGTTTTATCAGTAAAAGCATAGTAAAAGTAACTCTTCAGAAATACATAAGAAAATTAAGTATACGTATGCTCTCAAACTACGATTGTAAATCAATTGATAGTAAATTGATTAGTATATAATGACGTGGAAAGATCCTACTCTTTCTTGAAGGATAGATAGGTATAGAATAGCTTAAAATTTACATTTACTTTGAAAACTAGCTTTAAGATCGTTTGAACTTGTTTGGCATCATGAAGGTAATAGAAAAAACGGATATTGCATTATTATTATTATTGCCAAGAAAAAGTTATTATTCAAGAAGTTGGCTATCAGCTCGATCTTTTTTTCTACGACGGCGGCCAAAACAGCACACAAGAATTATGATAATGAGAACGACTGCTCCGACCGATCCTATCGATGCACTTACAATAGCAGTTAAGGCTACTTTACTTGTTTTCTTGGCACATATATCACCTATAAATCCTTCAACACAAATGCATTGACGAGCGCTCAATTCTTGTATGCATGTACCTCCGTTAAGGCAATAATCATTGGTGCATGCAAAGTAGCATCCTTTATAAGGATCGCCGTGATAACCTACTGGACAGTAACAACTATAGGATCCTTTAGTATTAGTGCATGTTGCATTACCACCGCAGGGTACTTTAGTGATACATTCGTTAATATCGATACAATTTGAACCTGTGTAGCCTGCTAGACATTTACACGAGTATGAGCCATGCAAATTAACACATGTCTGATTTGAGGCGCACAAGTTATCATCACGACTTGCACATTCATTGTAATCTCGAATATTTACTTCTTCAATCTCTTTTCTATCAATTGTTGTATTACTACCGGAGATCGATTTGGTTAACTGGCCTAAGTCAATATTTTTTCCATTATGATCGAATACGACTGAAAATTCGACAACAATTCGAGTATTGGTATTTCCTGAGGTAAAGCTTGTAATTGTAACACGCTTAAAGCTCATTTTTGTCATGCTAAGTGAGTTAAATTTGTCTTCTAGTGCTTTTATAACTAATGCCGATAACGTTAGATGCTCGTTACTATTAAGAATCGCAAGTCCTGGTTTAAATTGATCAATAATCTTGAATGTTCCCAGAAAGACTTGACCAGGTTGACAATGTGAATCAGATTTGTATTGATCTACTGCCAACTGATCATTGCTGCTATAGTAACCTAACCTGCAAATACAGTAGTAACCAGTGTCAGTGGATGCGCACGTTGCTTTTTTGCCACAGCTGCGATTTTGACTGCAGTATGTGCTTTTTGTGCATTTATTTCCATTTCCATAATAACCCGATCGACAACGACAGGTATATGATCCACGTGTATTTTGGCAATCTGCATTAGTATCGCATTTGTTTTGATTATTTAAGCATTCGTTAATGTCTGTGCAGGAAGTTGTTCCATCACCAGAAAATCCAGTTTGACATTTGCATTGATAAGATCCATTGTTATTGATACATGCCCCGTCGATTGCGCAATGAAATAGATTGGAGTTGCATTCATCAATATCGAAGCAATTAAAACCGCTGCCAGTGTAGCCTGTTTTACACTTGCAAGTATACGATCCATCATTATTAGTACATGTAGCTTGTGCTGAACAACTATGCTTATTCAATGAACATTCGTCAATATCTTGGCATGTCAGACCATCACCTTTATATCCTGCTTTACATTGACAACCATATGATCCTTTAGTATTATAGCAATTAGCGTGAGCTGAGCAATTGTGTTTATGTTGAGTGGATGTACTCGTACATTCGTTAACGTCATTGCATGTTATGCCGTATCCTTGATAACCGGTTTTACAGATACATTGATAAGATCCATCTATGTTAATGCAGTTTGCATTTATATTGCACAAGTTATCTGCTGTACATTCGTTAATATCTCGACATGTTCGACCATCTTGGCTTAATTTAAAACCAGATCTACATGAACACGATTGCAATCCGTTTATCATGGTGCAAGTATGTGTACAGTTATTGACACTAGCGCACTGACTAAGCGGGGTGCATGTAAGACCGTCATCGCTCAATTTAAAACCTTGGCCACATTGACAACGATAGGAACCTTGCGTATTAACACATTTTTGATCGCATTGATTAGCTTGTGGCCGCAAGCATTCATTTATATCAACACAAGTGTGGTAATGACTGCTGATTTCATAGCCTGGATAACACGAGCATTTATAACTGCCTGGAGTATTCTGGCATATTTGATTACATTGGCCGTTATTTATTTTACATTCGTTGATTTCAGTACAATTTCTTCCGTCACCTAGGTAGCCAGACTTACAAATGCAATCATATGAACCTGGTTGATTAATACAGATAGCATCATCACTGCAATTATGAGATCCTATAGCACATTCATCAATATCCAGACATCCTCTATTGTCGCTCTCTAACATGTATCCAGATTGACATTCACAAGTATAAGTTCCTTCTTCATTTATACATGTTTGATTACATTGATGTGTACCATATTCACATTCATCGTAGTCATGACACTTTAAACCATCGCCAGTATATCCTGAAGGGCAATCACCACATTGATAGCCAGATAATGGGACAATATTATCTATACAAGTAACATTGTCAAAGCAAGGTTGATCAGAGCAAGCATCATAATCTTGTGTACAATTATCCCCAGTCCATGCTGAATCACATACACACTCGACGACGTCGATGTTATTAATACGTGCCGTCTCTACTGTATAATCGCAAGTTCCGTTATTTGGGCAGTAGCATAGGATAATTTGTGGTGTAAATTCACTTCTTGCACCTTTTGAGTCTGTAGCTACGAACTTGAATGAAATATTTTGGTAATTCGAAACATTCCATGTGAATGTATAAGCAACTGTATCGAAGTAAGAGTTGTCAGGAGCATCGATAATTTGAACTGTAAGTATATCATCTTGATTCTTATCAGTTACGTTAAATCGAGTATGAAATATTTGCCCATACGTAACATTAAACGTTGTCAATCCAGAAATATCAGGTGGAAAGTTCTCTAATAGTTGGCTTGTTTCTTTATAGATTTCCGATGTATCTTTACTCCTAACAGCAGCTTCAAGATTCATAGTTAGGCCAGCATCAAATAGACAGTCACTATTATTTTTGCACCGCATAACCGATAGATCATAGAAATCCATCTTATCCGTAAATAACTCTGTGATATTATCAACTAACACAGGTATAAAGCTTAAGTTTCTATAATTTTTAGCAGTTTTCCCACTTGGATAAGTAAATAAAGAGTCACTAGCGTTAATCATCCACAACTGGCCAAAGTCATAGAATATCTGCGAACTATTCGATTTAATATCCAGGAAAGACCCATCTGGTCGTTTAAAATCATCAATAGTATTGTCATTCCATGTGCCTAATAGCCCTGAAGTCTTACCTTTAATTTCATCCGGTGCATTGAAGGCAATCGTCAGCATTTGTGTCAACAATGTTACCTCTAGAGATATTCCAGACGAAAAGATGGCTGCAACAGATATCGTCGATGTCTTTGCTAAATCAACATTATTAAATTCACGCGTCTCATTATTTGACATACTATGCATGCTGAAGGATCTAGTTCTATTAACTAAAATATTGATTCCATTAAGCGTTGAATTAAGAGTAAATTGCACAGTATCAGCACCAGCTGAAATAGTAGCGAATCCAGATAATACCGTAGCAGGTGCTGAGACGTTACCGTTGTTTAAAGCTTGCATAGTGCGTCCTTGCAGGATAAAAGAGCGATCATCAGTTTGCAATAAAACGTATTCTCCAAGCCCATTAAAGGTATATTGATTACCATCTAATGTTCTAATATGTGGATCTCCCCAGAACCAGGCTCTTCTCGGTGGTCGATATCCTGAACAACGATTAATTGGCCTCTTAATGGCGTAGAGATTACACATACTTGATTGGACGCAGCAGTCTCTGTACGCAATTTTGTTAGCATTTTGCAATACATGATCTCGGAAAATGAATGAACTTCCGTATGGATAAGTAGTTAATAGTGAACCTAAAGAATTTTGTCGTGTTGAATAACAACATTGTTGATAGATACGTTCGCCGTTACTTGCTCTTGTTGGAAAAGTTGATCTTGCGCAAAATGTATCAAAATTAAATCGGAATCGCCTATCACGAATAGCCTGCATGCTAGAGCAAGGGCAATGTCGATTCCTTAACGCTCTAAGATAAATTATTGGATCTGCTTCATTAGCGTACCAATTTTGACATCGATCAGCATAGTTAATTCGGTCGCTTGCTGGATCATCTACGCGAAACATCCATCGTCCTTTCTTACCATAGTTACCCACGATACTGTCAATTTTTAACAGTTCTTTCGTGTTGGAATTTGGTAGTTCATAAGCATATTTTGTAACTGATGCCACTTGGCTAGCGAAACCAGCTCGTGGGCGAATATGACCAAAACGTTGCCACCAGTTCATGCCTTTATCATCGTAAATAAAGGAAGCGAATAAATTGACACCATTAGAAATCAAAACTAATTGAAACGTATTAGTGACGTCATATTTAGCAGTAGTTTTAGAAGGGAAAGGGATAACTTTGTGCCAAGTAATGATTGTAACTAATGATGCATGGAAATTAGAGACGGTGCGATTAAATAGCCCATAGAGATTAGATGTATTTGGATTGTTATTAACGTAGTTTTGAAAAGCACTGACATCATTGGTTGCATTTCGTAATATGGCTGTGGTCAAACTAGAAGGACTAAGAGATGAATATTGATTAATATATATTCTAGCAGTACTAGATTGACGAGCATCAGCATCTGCATAGAATGGCGCTATAAGAGGTGGATATTTCTCCGAGGTGAATGGTCGATTTGGCCTGCCGCTGTACCTCTTAACAAAGGAGATAAATCCGTTCATGGAGACCTAATGGTGTAATTTCATCATAATAGCCTTTAAATTCAGCTAAAGTCAACTATTTGATAGTTTCTACTCGAAAATTTTACAAATAACTGAAGAAACACTTACGTAAACTTTCCTGTAAAATGCATTGGTAAATTGAATCGGTGATCGCAAGTAAATACGATATTGTCGGTCATCTACTCTACCAACAGAAATATCGCCATACTGCGGTCCATAGGGATAAAGTCTTAACTCTAGATACGGATCAAATTTTTACGGTAATCTATTAATAGTTCTACTAGAAAATTATCCTTCTTTGCAGCAACAACTGCTTGTTATCGATCAAACTGACAATGGTTTAAAGTTAAGATAGAAAAATAAAGAATTGCTTAAATTGAAACGATTACTGACAAATATTCATAACTACCTTTACATGAGAGTCCATTTCCGATGTATCCTGGCTTGCAAGTGCATGAATAGGAAACATTATTACTGTTGATATGGCATACAGCATTTCTGTCGCATCGATAGCATGGTAGTTTCGTTTCATCAGGTTTGTCATCTGAACCTGCATATTTGATTCATTGATTACATTTGTTAGTATAGTATAAGGTATCAGAACTACTGTAATGGGTACGTTAGCTTAGTTTACTTGCACTTCATATAAACAAATTTTTATTTGTAACCGCTGATAGTGGTACACATTTCAGATGGTCTTACTTGCTCATGACTCATCTTGGCATCATCATACTATACTTTTATGAATATTGAAACTGAACTTCTTAAATGTAATAGAATATCAAATCGCTATTCATTTTAGATAAAATATACTCGTATATTGTAGAGAGATAGCAAAGTTAAACACTTTTATATATCATTAGCATTTATGAAGGCATCATGATGTAAATTAAGTGTGCTGATCAAACTTTAGTGAGTTAATCATAGATAGCATGATTAAATAGATTAGATTACAGAATTGATCATTTTAGTTTTAGAAGCAATATGAAAAGATGCAACTATAGCACATGTTGTAATGCATTAATTTTGTTTTAACGAATGTTCCTTATCGCACCTTCTCTAGTTTCACACTGATGTCCTTTCCATCCAGAATTGCATTCACAAGTATATCCAGAATTGAGTCTACTGATGCATAAGCCATTGATACAAGGGATAGATGAGCAGCTATCAACTAGGTGTTGCAAAAGAATCGGTTTGTGAATATATCGAGAGCCAATCATATATTATTTTGTTTTGAAAAATAAAATGAAATTATATAGAATTAATTTGCCGATTTAGAATTCAATGCACTCACCAGCGCATTGAACTCCAGCATAATTGTTAGAATAGCTGTCGCAATTTCCGATACTTCCCCAGTTTAAATTGGAACAGCGAGAAAGTGAGCATTCATTGCCTCGACATCCAATATTTTTTAACCAAAGTGGAGTAATCTCTGTTGTGGTAAAGTTAGAACAACAATATATTTTGACGGCTAAATCGAATCCTAATTGACGACAAACGACCCTTGCGCTTTGAAAATTCCAGTCATAGCCGCAAATTCCTCCCCATCTACCATTGTAGTATACTTGTACGTTTCCATTAGTCGAATTGCGTCCATCAACTAATCGAACATCTCCATTATTCACTAGGCCTACAATGTTAAAGCAGATATCTGTAACTTTTTGTATGTTGTGGCAAATCGAATCGTTAGTAACTATATAAGTTTTATCTATCCCAGATTATGATGGTTTTTGATATGAAAGAAAATCTACCTAATGAGCAGTGTGATCCAAAATAGCCCTGAGAACATCTACAAGAATAAGCTCCTATACCATTAATACATGTAGCATTATTTGGGCATGGATTTGAATCACATTCTTGACCAGCTAAAATTGAAATAAAAAACAATATTTTATGCTGTATTGCAGGGATTTTAATCAAATTTTAACTTAAATTATCCTCACCCGCCATGGTATAAAGAGTGCTGAATATTAGTAACGAAAATTTTTTTAAACTTAACCGATATGACCTTAATCAGATAGACTAGTGCCTGCTATATCTGAAGATTTTAACAGACGAAAATTTACTCACTATTTCAGATTAATAAGTAAGAACAGCCAATCATTTACTTCTGTTATTAATACGCTAATAAAATTATTTTAAATAGGATGGATGAACTTTTAGCGATATGCTTCCCTTCACGATAGGTAAATCTGCTTAGATTAGTGGGTGTAAGTTTTTTATTATTGAAGTCTTTTATCGTAGAATGGAATGTATAAAACTAATGATCTAAGTTACAATAAAATTTAGATGAAATATGATTTACGATGAATTTAGGCCTTTACAATATTAATAAGTTTTAGTTTACTAGTTATCACTATCAAAGATTTTATAAGAAGAGTAGTTCCTTTAGATATGTATCATAATAAATACTAGAAGTAATAATGTACATACCGAGCGTCTGCCTTAACAGCTGGAAATATATGACGATCTATGACGAAGGTAGAAATATAGTTTAAAAAGTGATGATGAATCTATTTAATTATCTTTTAATACGTCATGCTCAGTAAAATAACATGACGTTAATTGGTGATAAATTTATTTATTAGTTACTCACGCTAATGCTAGCTATGATTTTATTTCGTTTAATAATCTATTTTAGATTAGTACCGACCTACACCTCTTTATAAAACGTTTACGTTTAAAATTTGATCTTCCGATAGTTTGCAATTTTAAGGCAATTATCTTGGACTTTACACGGGGATGATAAAATAGATGAAAATTGGCTGCAGTCTTAACAATTATTCTAAAATGTGCTTCACGTAACGAATTTTGGGGTTTAAATAGATAAATTATAGTTTTCTTTATGATACTGTTTTTTTGTGCACGGTATTCTTCACAAATTTAGAATTAAAAGGATGATACTCTGATACCGTAATGCTTTCTTACATGATAATTATTATCTATATTTACTACTAAATTTTATTTCACGCAATATCTATGTGTTAAAGTTCTATTAAACAATTATCTCAGATTACAGCATTATTGATGGAGCTCAATGGATTGAAATTTAGCCAGATGATAGATTTCAGATATATACTAGCGTCCATCGGGATTCGTAGTCTGGTAGGGTTATGAGTTATCAATTCCCTGAAGTTTAATTAAATGTTAGATATTTTCTCTTACGTTATAGTATCTTTGCAACTAGAGCAACTGAATCGAGATAAAACTCTTGTCTACACAATTTCATATATTGAAAATGTAGGATTTCAGTTCGTATCAACTAAGTGAAGAACAATAATCCGTTCCTATTTAGTAGTTAAGTTTAGAATGATTTATCAAAAAAACTGAGTTTTTTTGTTAGCTTTAGAGTTAAAAAAAACGGCATATACCATAACAAAATTGTACTCTTAATATTTAAAACTGATATTCAAAGTAGAATTTTTAACGACCTTTTTGAAAATAGAATATCGTTCTTTTATTTAAATAGACTTACTATGATTGCTGTAATCAGTAATTGATTTACCACCTTCGCCATTCCTAGGTTGCGATCATAATCTATCTTTTGACGTGTCTGAAGTTAAAGGTGAATTTAGTTTTCGCTAACCTTCTTTTGTAGTTAATCTGAGGCTTCAAGTATACCAATAATTCTTCTCAGTCCTTGCCCGCTGGTTTCTCAGTAGAATTAATTTTCACTTCGAGGCTCATTATATCAGCAATTATTGTCTTAGTAGATTACGTTAGCTTGCACTATAATAACTAGTTGAATTGTTATAGATATTACATTGTTCTGCTTAGATTTTACAGTCATAGTTATTTAACTGTATAATATTCATGATGGGCAGCTAGGTGCCGCAAGAAAGAAAGCATCGAGGTCAGGCTCTATACGGAGCTCGATTTAGTCTTACGAAAATTAAGATAAATTAAGCCTTATTAATTATAAAATCAGGATCTCTGCGTTATTTATGGCAACTAAACTTCAGAGCTAAATAGCTTATGACTAACATGTACTCTTACAATTTTGTGTCTGCTTTTATAGAGATGATATAAGTTAGTTTACTGTTGTGTATCATGTTATTATATCGCTTGAACTAGCGATTGTTAAAATATTTGTTGCGCTACCCTATTTGTTTTCTGACAATGTTAACGAAAATTTCATGTCTGGCGACGCTTTCTTCGACAAATTCTAAAAGTTGCCTATAGCAATATGGTTTTGGACGACTTTTATATAAGTATGTTGGCAGCTATGAGGATCATCAGGTTGATTTTATGAACATATTGTTAGTCTAGACTTATTTTAGCTATTTCATACTTCCTGTTCACAATAGTTACAATAATAAACGTATGTATTGAATGCAATCCTTAAACAATGGCCAAGGTCACGAAACTGAGTCTAATATTGTGCCTCAAAGTAGGCGGTCTTACCATTACTAACAATAAAAATATAATGAGTATTAATTTCTATTAGTGATGGTGATAGTTTATGATAACGCACATCATCATTTTATGAACGTGTACGGGAAGAATATGAGTAATATATATCACAGCAGCCAATGCCACTTCTATGCATACACACTTTGATTCAATATTTATATTCCAATATTTTATTTACTTATATTCGAAAGAGAGAGAGCAAATAACTTATTGAAATCTATGGGCCTAGCGGTATTTATACAGCTTAATACGACTATCATTAAACCCCTCGTTCTATGAAAGGGCGCGTGGGATAGATAAATATAGCGCGGTACTTGCAGTTGCTATGTATTTTGAAGGAAGAGGATACGGTGAAGTTGGTGACACTTTTTAACTAGATAGCATACCATACTTGGCTATTTTATGTACTCTACGTCTATTACAAGAAAGGCAAATTAAGTGATTAATGATGTTTCTATTTAAGCAGTTCGAGTCAACAATATGCATATTCTACTCATTTAGAAAAACAAATTTATCACAAAATGTTAGCTTTGCTTCGGTTGATTTAAGATATATTTGATACATCGTGGTTTTGGACTACCGATATGTTAGATAATTAGAAATTTTTCTGGCGTTAAAACATTCCTGTGAAAATTGCTATTTGATTTGGTGACGATCGTTAGCAAATGGCTTGAAATTTGAACCATTGCTATTAAATACTCGGCAATGTTTCAATTAGATTGACAGATACATACCGGTAGCATCTTACTGGTATTTTCGTAGTTATTATTAATAAATGAATAGATACTGACAAAAAATTAGAAATTAAGTCTAAATTAATGACAGTGTCCTTAGCTGCATCAACTGTAATCATTAATTAGTTGACGATACATGTTATCTTCCAGTACTATGACAAGTATTTAAAGTAGAAACAAGTTTTACGCCGAGAACCTTCAAAATGCAGAGGATTATATCCCTTTATAATGGCTATAGTTCATGTAGCTGTTTAGCAATTAACTTTCGCAAAATAAAGCGCCAATATTATATGCATAAGATACAATGCATCACTTAATATTTTTGTGTTCTGCAGCCCTAACTCTAATAATCTGACTAATTCCAAGCTGGATAAAGTCATACACTCACGAATGTGTTACATTCTATAAACACTATCGGCATATGTTATTATTATAGGACTATATAGCGCTTACAGGTGTTTATTGATCGAACGGAAATTAATTCCTTACTCCATAATAGAGTTAACAGTAACTTGCCAGGTTACAATAATGGCATATGCCGAGTGACACGTAATGTAGTTTATAGGGAAGCTTTACATTGAATTAGTGATTATAATACTATACTTAGGATAAAGCGTCTAGGCAAATATCATTTATATAACACATTTTGCAGCCACAAAAATGTAATGCTTTAATTCCGAACGTAAAGTAAATAAATTTCATTGCATTATGAATTTGTGATATGTAAGGGAGTAATTGCCATATTACTTTTATTGTTCCTTTGCAATACATCAATAATATTCTAATCAGCATTATAGAGTAATCGGATGTTAATGAAATGTTGTCAAATTATGCAAAGTAAACTTGCAAATGAGTGTTCAATCATAATATTACTACTCAGCAATGGTTAATATAATTTTAATCTGTCCAGTAGCATTATTCTTCACATTAGGATATGTAGAGCAGATATTATAATTGCCGAATTATTATTAAAGACTGTAATAAGGTTTCATCCGTGAATGCATTATTGAAAAGTAGTATTCTAGAAGCATAGTTGTGAATATACTGTAGTGCCCGGCTATTACCGGGATATATATAATGTCGAATGGTAATAATAACTATTAATTATTAACAAATGGGTACGTTATCAAATGCCCGTAGACCTGTCAGAGGTTCGGTTCGGTTCAGAAGGAACCGATGTATGTCGATGTGAACTGTGGTTCGTCGGTTCAGTTCTACTACAATTAAGTAAATAAACAAATTGTTACATAATAGTAAAATTTTAACGATGATAATTTTGGAATGGCTATTAATTAGGTATTGAAGAATTATTTGCATGGGTGCTCTCGCCTTGCTTAAAGTATGTAATAACTTTATCGCTAACGCCGTAATTCATGATATTATCTATTCGTAATGACTTCAGTCCAGCTTCAACGTAGTTATTGGAACTCACTGGCAGTGGCTGGCTATCTATGAAGGAGATATTTACTTGATTGTGTGTTTTCTTCTTAAATTGTTCGTTCTGCATGTAACCTAAAAGAAGTAAAGCTGCGAAGATGATTACTACACCAATAGATCCCACAGCGATACCAATAACTGCTCCCTGAGGAAGTCCAATATTAATATGAATATCACATCTTGTCCCAGTATAAGCCTTATCGCAAGTACACGAAAGTTGATTGTTTTTGTACATACAGGTTCCGCCATTTTGACAATAATCTACGTTACAGGCTATACTACAGCCTGTAACTGAATATGGATCGCCTTGATATCCTACTTGACAAGTACATGTATAAGATCCTGCTGTATTCGAACATATAGTGTTATTTCTACATGGTCGTGATATAGTACATTCATCAATATCGACACAACTAAAACCGGTATAACCTGTCTTACATTGACAAGTATAGGTACCAGGTAAATTAATACACTTTTGGTTATTATTACATGTGTTATCTATTGCTCTAGCGCACTCATTGAAATCAGTAACTGTTACATTTTGTATCGATTGTCCTTGGATAGTTAAATTGCTAGTAGAGAGGACATTAATTAACTCGCTTTCATTAATATTAGAGTTTTGTTTAAAAACTGTATAATATTGTGTAATGATACTACCTACTTTGAAACCTGTAACAACTACACGTTCAAAGCTATTTTTCGTAGTAGAAGATGAATTAAATGTTGCTGTGAGAGCAGTTACGACTTTTTGTTTAAGTGTTTGATATGTCGTCGTGTTAGGATTATTTAGTTGTTGATCGAAAGTACCGGCGAGTTTAAGACTACCGTTAAAGATATCTCCACGTTGACAATGAGTATCTGATTGAAGTCGTGTTTCAGATAATACACTATTAGAATAATATCCGATCTTACAGCTGCAATAGTTATTATTATTGTATATGAGACAGCTTGCTTTGGTATCGCAGTTATTATTTCCATAGCAGGTAACAATCGGAGTACAAGAGATACCATTTCCGTAATAGCCAGATTTACAACGACAACGGAATGATCCAAGAGTATTAATACATTGAGCATTAGTGTGACAGTTATCTAGATTATATGAACATTCGTCTATATCTGTACAAGATATTAATCCGTTTCCAGAGAATCCAGTATTACATAGACAGTCGTACGATCCGTTCGTATTAACGCAGTTCGAGTTATTACTACACATGTTAAGGTTATTAGTAATACATTCATCGATATCTTGACAAGCGATGCCGTTACCTTTGTAACCGTTATTACAAGTACACATATACGATCCAATAGTGTTATTACAGTTTGCGTAGATATAACAGTTGTAAGTTTCTGATGTACACTCGTTAATATCGTTGCAAGATATTCCGTTACCCGAAAATCCTATGTTGCATTGACAAGTATAAGATCCGATCGTGTTATTACAATAAGCGTGGATTGAATATCGATGTACTTCTGATAGACATTCATCGACATCGTTACACGTTCTACCATCGCCTACATATCCGTTATTACATTGGCACGTATAAGATCCGACTGAATTAATACATTGAGCGTTAGTGTGACAGTTATCTAGATTATATGAACATTCGTCTATATCTGTACAAGATATTAATCCGTTTCCAGAGAATCCAGTATTACATAGACAGTCGTACGATCCGTTCGTATTAACGCAGTTCGAGTTATTACTACACATGTTAAGGTTATTAGTAATACATTCATCGATATCTTGACAAGCGATGCCGTTACCTTTGTAACCGTTATTACAAGTACACATATACGATCTAACAGTGTTATTACAGTTTGCGTAGATAGAACAGCTGTAAGTTTCTGATGTACACTCGTTAATATCGTTGCAAGATATTCCGTTACCCGAAAATCCTATGTTGCATTGACAAGTATAAGATCCGATCGTGTTATTACAATAAGCGTGGATTGAACATCGATGTACTTCTGATAGACATTCATCGACATCGTTACACGTTCTACCATCGCCTACATATCCGTTATTACATTGGCACGTATAAGATCCGGCTGTATTATTACAATTAGCGTTAGGATCGCATTGATTTATTGTAGAGCATTCGTTGACGTCTTGGCATGTAAATCCGTTTCCAGAATAACCAATATGACATATACAAGTATAAGACCCATTATTGTTATAGCAATCGGCATTAACGAAACATGAATGAGTTTCTGATGTGCATTCGTTATTATCTGTACATGTAATTCCATCGCCTGTGTATCCTTGCGTACAATGACACGTGTATGAGCCTTTAGTATTTATACAGTTAGCATTATTACTACATTGTTTGATCGATAAACATTCATTAATATCAATACATGTAAATCCGTTTCCGCTATATCCTGTCTTGCATGTACATCGATATGATCCGTGATTATTAATACAATCGGCGTTAATAGAACAAACATGACTGCCCGATGAGCATTCATTGTTATCAGTACATATTGTTCCATTACCTGTATAACCTTGTTTACATTGACATGTATATGAACCATCAGTATTTATGCAATTAGCGTTACTATTGCAATAACTACTTATTGAACATTCGTTAATATCTTGACATGTAGATCCATTACCAGTATAGCCCATCTTGCATGTACAAGAATATGAACCGTTGTTATTGTAGCAATTAGCATCACTAGAGCAGGTATGATTACCTACTGAGCATTCATTGATATCTATGCAAGTTGTTCCATTACCCGTATAGCCTGTCTTACACTGGCAAGAGTATACTCCAAGCGAATTGACACAATCTGCATGAGAATTATCGTAAAAATTTGAGTATGAGAAAGTATCCCAATAGTGTATAAAAGTATACATGACGGAACAATTTTAATTTAATTAATCAAATAGTGAATTTATATTCAGTAATAGATTCACACTAGTTATACTTGGCGTATTGTTATTACTTTAATACTCTTGATAACCGTAAT